CCATATCATTAAACAGTAGTGAAAATGGGGTAAGATAAACGCTTTATAAAGGCGAAGCATAATTTCAGATAAGATAAGTTTGCCAAATCTTTTGAAGACACTGAACTGATTATTTATTTTTTTGCATACAGAGGATATGTGATCCTTGAAATTAAGTTCATTGTCTAGAGATATTCCAAAAAGATCCAGGCATCTTGTGGTTAAAAAGGAGAAAGGGTAATCGGTTTTGCCAAGAACCATCCCTTGATGTTTAGCAGGGTTTGCTTTCATCCCATTGTCTTCGAACCATTTATTTGCTATTTGTACATCATGATTGATCCGCCGTTCCAAGGCCACTGGGTCTACATCAGATGAGTGCAGTTGGCAGTCATCGGCATAAGTGTTTAATTTTACAGACTTAATGTGAAAGATGAAGATCATAGTCATTCCAGTCGTGACAATGCGACCCCATCCAGCGACACATCCCCATTAGCCTCTTATAAGGAAGAACCCCCCGGCAATGTTCGTCTCTGTTTTGTTATAACTATAAATGAAATGCTTGGGAAACATAGTAAGCAGTGACTCTGACTTAACTTCCAAAGCGAGTTGTAAAGGGTGAGTAATTGTTAATAATAAATAAAATCAACTATACAGCTGCTTATTAAACCGAATGGGCTCCCTTGAGTCAGTCGCGAGATACAGCTCAATCTGTATAAGAACGCAGTAGTTTTCGCTTTTAAAATCAGCGATTATGTTTTTTTTATTAGTTTTACGTTTTCTGTAGTAGGTTATTTTCAAGAGATAATAAAGGGTCATTTCACATTTCATTGACCTCCTTGACCTCCTTTGACATTTCTAACTCCTTACTCACATTCCCGCGCTTCGCGGGGATTCCAGGGGCGGATCCTGTATTTTCCATGGGAGGGGGCTGACTCGTTGCCAGTCTTCTCTAAGTTATCTCTACTCATTAATTATTTACTAGGGAAGCGCTTGAGTTATGCGCGCGGGGAAGATGGGAAGACGGGAGGAGGGGAGACGACGTCTCTCCCTTCTCCTTTTTTCCTTTCCGTCGTCCCCTAGCCTTCGTTAAAGAACCCGTTCTAGTCTTCCACGCCAAAAACTAATAATGAGAGACGACTGGGGAGGAGCCAGAGGAGGGGTTGCACCACTAAGAAATGGCGTTACCGACTGGTGATGTAACCATACTTTAAAAGCGAATACGAAGAAGGCTTTTGCCATAGGCAATGACATAATGTGAACTGCTGAGAATACATATCAACATATTAACTTCGTCTCATTTTTTACTTCAACACCAATAAACTACAAAGAAAATTCAACCTACGGTCACGTTCCAAAGCCTCTTAGTTCAGTGTCCGTATTAACGGAGTTTGACTGTACCTTTGTTGGCCTTTACCTGTACTTTGAAATATTTCATTATGCATGTCAGGTTCGTACCAGCTGTTTTTTATCAATTCAGCTGATCCATTCATGAAGTAAAAATAAAGTAATTATTATTATGGACCTCGTTTTGGAGATTGCTCTGTTAGTGATCCAGGCCTCTTGGCGAAGTTTATCAATAAATAAATTATCATCATCATTATTCATTCTCATCATCATTATCATTATCATCATCAAGCCCTCTACAGTCAACTCTCGCCTTACGAACACCCCAATAATACGGAAAGCAGCTAAATCCAGGCAAAAATAAATTGGAGATGCTTGACTGAAATAAACTCCCGCTATTACGGACTCTCCCGAATGAGGACACTAACTGAAGACCCCTACAGTGTCCGCTATAAAGGGACTGTTAAACGTGTTAGATGTACCGTTTATCGAATTGTTATTAGCACTGAACACTTGGCTTTACTTACTGCTGTTTTTTGGTTTTGTTGGCTAGTTTTGCAGTTTAGAGAAAGGAATAGTTTTATCAGTTTAGTTTAAAAACCAATAATTACATTTAATTAACAGATTTCAATACACAAAACTATACCTAATAATGTGCGAAACCTTCTAACAGATAACTATAGTTAGTAGTTATCAGTAGTTTGCGCTGATTTCCAAGATTAACTGTAAGCACTTAGCCAATGAAGAAGAGAGATAGTACAATGTATAATAAATGGTGAAATTGTTAATTTTCACACAATTCTTACTTTTTACAAATGTGGGAAACCATGGTCTTTTGATCTCCATGTAAAATATTCATTTTAAACTTTTTTCTTTATCCCTTGAGCCTCAGATCTAGTATCGTATCGTAAATACATCGTATTGATCGTGTGTTATACCTCGGAACCTACAAATATTATGCAAATTAGGTCACGTAAGCTTACAGCTCCACAAAGTCTCACAAAATCTTTAAGAAAAAGTGGGCACGCTTTATAGCAAGGGTTATAATTTTACTTAACTGGTACAAGAAAATACCAAATATAAGCCCTTACAAATCCACGTTTGGCTACTTTAAAATATCTGGTTTATTTTGAAAATATACAGGTTTTCCGACTAGTACCCAGTCTCCCAATACAAGTGTATCACTACAACCTGCTTTTCCTTTAAAAATCTTGACATTGTCAAGCACAGAAATGACATTACCTAACGGCCTTAAAATAATGAACTAGTAGAAACATTAAGAAAACAGGAAAAAGTGTGCCCATTTTAGTTCAAAGCTTTTCTGGGCGTGGCGAGTTGCGTGACCTCACTTGCGTATTTGTTCCTGGCCAAAAAGACAAAAATTAGCAGTGTATCTTTCTGACAAGTTTCCAGCCTTCTACTACTAATGCATCGAAAGATAAACCACCCCTTCACTTTTTGACTTAATAACTATGGACCCATGCTTTAATTTGAACTTGAGTGCATCAAGTAATTTAATTATAAAAGGATTGCCCAGTGTTGATCGCTTGGAGAGATGAGTAAAGCCACGTTTTGCACCGTCAGGTCCACAAAAATATATAGCAAAAGAGTCTGACGGGATTGATAATCATTCCATTCTATTCAGGTTAAACCTTAGTACTGCATTGCGCAACGGCCTTACTGCGCAGAATTTTAAGCGTGATTAGCGCATGCACATAAAATATGGCGGTTTTTCCTTAAGACTGGAACTCTCAAGTAAGGTATAAAAATTTTCATTTTCTCTTTAACGAGCGTGGTGACACATATTTTTATTTCTTCTTCCAATAGTAGTAGTAACTTTCTTTGCCTAGAATAAATATAGACTAATTCCCAGTGGAGAAAAAGAAACATTTATCGAAAACGTGTTAATGGCTCCCAAACGGGCTCTCTGAAAAGCCACCTCCCAGTTCCCCGTCCCCCTATAGGGTAGGCAGTCAAGTGGTTGAAAATGGCCCATTTAACTGGCCTCGAGCTGCAAATGGTTAAGATTGTGTTTGGATTACTCCTATAAGATTCACTGACGATCGGTCACGTAAGGATCAGTTAAGAGCAAAATTCACTTCTGATAAGATGGATATAGAACAGTGAGGCTTTTGTGTGGCTAATGAGCGTACTAGAAGCTCTAATGTGGCACGTGGGCCGTAATGGACCTCTTTACTTTGTATGTTTTGTTTTCCCAATGTACGTCATGTGATAATACTCCAAAGAACTGTTTATTTCAATTCGTCTTATACACGTCTATATGTACGCATAATTCCTGAAAGAAGCAAAGGGACAAATTCCCCTCCGACCTTCACTGGGAATATATTAAAACATACAAGCCTAAACGGTCTACTTAGTGACACCTCGTTGCCATGGTGATCAAAAGACGAATTTCTCCCTGCGATATAATCAAGAGGCTTTTTGAGAGTAAAAACAAATGGTTACATAATGACTGCCATGATATATCCATCTTTATTATATACATACTGAGAAATACTCACCAAAAAGCTATGTCGTAAATTTTCGTACGCAAATGAGTTCTAGCCAATCAGAGGAGCGAACGATGGTTTTCACACGTGAAAAAAATGATACGTCCAATCAGAATGGCGAACGATGTTTTTTCACGAGTGAGAAAAATGATACGTCCAATCAGAAGCCACAGAGGTGTGTGAGTTTCGCGCCAAAATTCCCGCCTTTTATTGCAGCTTGCTGCGCCGCTTCGCACACATTCAACGAGAAAAGTTTTACTCAAAGAGTTTTTCTCACTAAAAAAGTGAAAAACATTTCGGAAATGGAGTGGAATAGTTTCGTTTGTTTCACTGTCGATAAAGAAAACGGTAGACAGCCGGCGAAACAACAGCGGAAAGGGAAAAACAGAACGAGACGTAAGCTTTTGTTGTGCTTTTTGTCGGAGCTACTTTGCCTTCATTTAAGCTTAAGCTTATATTGAAACCGGCCATTTTACTTAAATTCACTCATTTTCAATTGTGCATTGAGAACAAACAGTTAAGATTACTTATAGTTCTTGGATTACCCCATATCCTTACCGTCATTTATGTTTTTAACAAACGTTTTTACCAAAAAGCTGATACTTCGTTTTCGTTGTCATTTTGCAGTAAGTGTGTAGCGGCAAATTTTAGCATTTTTGAAAGATTTAAAATAAAAAGGCCGCCAAAATGATGAATGTCTCAGTATGTATATAATAAACACAATACCACATGGAAAGTGCTGGCGTACGGTATTTACGCACTCGTTGTTTTTGTATCAGAAATCTTACTCGTTCGCTGCGCTCACTCGTTCGATTTCTGATACGTCAACAACTCGTGCGTAAATACCGTACGCCAGCACTTTCCATGAAGTATTCTCTATTTCTCAACTTATCTGCCTAACTAGAAGAGTAGTAAAGAACTGAGAGCTGGAGAATTGAGTTTGACAGTCGACGGAAGGCTTAAGGAATTAAACATCAAACATGGAATTCGCGAAAGTTATACCACAGGTCACATTAGGGTTAAAACTAGGGTGCAGTATAGCAACTGACAATTCACGTACAGCATCAAACAGTCCGAAGCAGACTCGCAAATATCTGAGGTCAAGCAAATTGTTTTTCAGCCGGAGTCTATCTAAACACACGTCCTAGTGTCTTTAACTCAGCGCGAATTGCTTTTTCATCATGGCTAAAGGAAGAGGCCTGATAATCTGCGTGTCTGTTGCTTATATTATTTTGGGCGCTTCCATGGCTTTTTGTGGCGCCTTTCAAATTATTCTTCATCTGAGATATCTGTGGTTGGACTCTGTCTACGCTGGTGTCTGGGTTGGGATGTGGGTAAGTAAGTATCAGTATATGGTGTACTTGTATCTCATAGCAGCAGAAAATGCACGATCTCTTCCTCTTAAACTCATTAACGAATTGTCAAGAGAAAAGAAGGGCAGCTCACTGGAATATTGAATATTGATCGCCATAAAATCATCGAACGTACTAAGCTTTCACCTTCTTGCGGAGGAAAAGTTCACTAGTTGAAATGCTTCATCTCACTTCCGAGATTTCGACACCAATTTTTGGTCTAAAACAATGAAAACTTGGTTTTAAATACACATTTGGTGTTTCGTGGATGTTCAACACTATAAATGCGTGTGCGTTGACAAAAGAGAACGTTCAAATCGTTAACACTGTTATCATATAGGGATATGGGTAGCACCCTTCATCTCACTAAGCAAAACGACCTCTTCTTACGATTCGGTGCGATTGTTGCGAATATTTGATTGTACAAAGGCTCGGGAAATCCTTAACTAAAGTTAACTACATTTTAAATACACGAAAGAATTGAGGCTGACACAAAAACCCACTTTCAAAGGGGCAACATGATATGCGGAAGTATGGCAATTGTAGAAAGTGTAGAGTCCATAAGACGCCTTGAAATTTGAAACAATTTAAAAGGCTTGTCGAATAAATTTGAAACACTGGGACTTAAGTGAATAATAGTCAGTTTAAATTACTAAATTTATCGTGATATACAAATATTCAGTTGCACTTAATTAATAGATTTTTTCTTTATGAATGGGATCTCTAAATTTTAATATTGATGATGATATTTATATATTTTTATCGTTGATGCCCACCATTCTAAGACTAATTCGTTTCCTACAGGTTTTGTTTACAGTAAATTTTTCATACGAAAACTAAATGTTTAAGAAACGCTTGAACTATTAAATAACACGTACTTCATGATCAGCCGACACAACATTCTAGAAAATAAATATAATGTAATTTTTTGTTGTCTGACTGATTACTATAACCTTGACACTTAGAGAAGACATTTGAGAACTTTATCTGTGCATTATTTATTGACCTCACTAGCCCTAAAGCGTTGTTTTGCAGTAACTGATAGCACTTATAAATGCGCATCTCAATGTCTAAGTAAAGTAAAGTGGAGATTCATTAAGATGGATTGGTTTGTTCGAAGTTTATTTTTCATTAACATCGATCAATGCAGTAAAATGGGAGATCAACAGGGCTTGAAAAAAAAGTTTATGACAATCGCATCTCATCAAACAGGGAAGAGTTAGGTGAACGTCATGAAAATTAAGCCGTCTTAAATTGTTCAAAATTGTAATTTTAAGCTTCAATACATTTGGAGAAAATTCCGTACTATTCTAGTACTGTAGCCGGTTCATTCTAGTGAAAGATCCCGCAAATCAGTCATACCGCAGTCATATTTCCCGAACACTTCCTTGAAGGCCTCTTGAGTCGTAATTTTGGTGCTGATTTCTTGCAGATGATCGTCACAGGAATCATGGGTATTATCTCCAGTTTTAATAAGTGCGCCACATACTTTGTAAGTACCACTGGAAATCGAGTCACTTTACATACAAAAATACTATTATTGAATTTAGCTACTAGTTTTAGAGGTATAATGACCCCTGAAAAGTTAATGTACAGTAACTGTTGGAAACAGTGGAGAGACTGAAATTTGCTTGTCGCCACGGCCGCTTGTGTTGTGCGCTCTCTCTATTTGAATTTCGTGCTATCTATAAAGATGATGCGGTTGCCATGGTACCGTAAAAACCATAAAACTGACACAGCTCACTTCTGAAACGAGATCTATTTATGAATTTCGTGCTGATTTTATTTAACCCGCGGGATGAAGAATTAAATGCAGAGAAGACCATTACAGTTAAAAACGTATCTTACTGCAGTTACGAAAAGAGAGCTTGAAAAAATTTTCAGGCTAGTCTGGGATTTGAACCGCCTGCCCTCTGCGATACTCGGTGCTGCGCTTACTTCTGTTGAGTCAGAAGCTCAAGAACTACGCAACTCCTTTTGTTTTCTCGTTTTTGTTATCGTCGTCGTTATGGTTGCATATATAAAGCTCCGATCAATAGTTAAACACCACGACCGTCAAGTGCTTTCCATCCTTTCAAATGATTGATTCTCATGGTTCTTGCTAAAAGCTGGTCACTCCTGAGTGCTCAATTATGATATCCGATGATCAGCCAATTTTTTTTTGTATTATTTCAGATTTTTGTCTTCATGATCTTTTCTTTCATATCCACCTTGCTGGGTTTGGAAATCGTTAGCTATTACACCTACACCGGCGCTGCTCATTGGAGTGTTTATTTGAGCTCCCGTAATTACCTGATCATCGCTTCAGTCACTTGTTTCTTCGCCATTGTGGAGATCATCACAGGGATCTGCGCATTGTACTTTAGTTACGTGCTCCGTCGCAACGTAAGATATCTTATTTTTCTTCTTCATACATCACGCAGCTGGTTTATAAACAGATTTAAAGCCTTAAACACTGAAAAAACTGGACCTTTTAAAAACTCAATAAAATGTCTATAACTTTTTAATTTATAGCACTTTTTATAAAGGTGCAAATCTTCCCCTCTTTCTCACAAGGAAGCAAAATGTCTGTAAAATCATTTTTGCAGACATTTTAAGGAGTTCTTTTCAATAATCATAACAAGAATGATTACGAAAAGTCTTTAAACTATACCTGCGGAAAATTATTAGCGGAAAAATTTGCTGGGAGATTAAAAGCCAGTTGGAAACGGCGAAATATTTTAAATATATAGTAAATTAATCTGTGAGCCTATTTTCGAATTATACAATATCAAATTTTGTCCTGACCCGACCCAGGGTTCTCTACTCTGAGAAGCACCAAGCAAACTTATTAAGAAACCTTCCTCAATTGGCTTAATTAATATCCTGGTTCTTAAAAAGGTAAATTCCAGAGGGTCCCTGAAAGACTGATTAGCGCTAATCCAGGATAAAAAATTGGTTCTACTTTTGAATTTACCTTCCTTTTTCTCTGGTATTTTACATTCCACAAAAACAGGTACGGAGGATTGCCGCAGAAAATGCTTCAGCGCAAGTAAGTGATGTTGTCTGCTGCAAATCGTGGACACCAAATTTCGCGTGAATACAGTCATTCAGCTTCAGTTTTTCGACTCACTGTTAGGACTTACTCTACGGAGGGCTTACACGTACAGTTTCTGTTATCACATGAATTCCAGCACATGATTTTTACTCCTATTTTACTTTCCACAAATACAGGCCGCCCCAGGGAATGATGCAGGGCAGGTAAGTGATGTTGGTTGTTCAAGGTACTCCTGTTCATGCATCTTGATGAAATTTCTGAGTATGAATCACACCCTTTTCTAATTTCTTTTTTTATTATCACGATTTTGGAGTTGTAGTTAGAGGAAGTTGATGTTGATAGAAGTCATTGCATATTAAATACCGTGTTAGTTTACACAGGGTCAAACTCTATTCCAGGTTAATAAATTAGCTGGCAGAGATTAAAAGCTAGTAAGAATCGTCTTTGGTATTTTACATTCCACAAAAACTGGTACGGAGGATTGCCGCAAAAAATGCTTCAGCGCAAGTAACTGATGTTGTCTGCTACAAATCGTGGACACCAAATTTCGCGTGAATACAGTCATTCAGCTTGTTTTTCCAAGCACTGTTGTCAGGACTTAATCCACGGAGGGCTTACACGTACAGTTTCTGTTATCACATGAATTCCTGTACCAGATTTTTACTCCTATTTTACTTTCCACAAATACAGGCTGCCTCAGGGAATGATGCAGGGCAGGTAAGTGATGTTGGTTGTCCAAGGTACTCCTGTTCATCTTAATGAAATTTCTGAGTATGAATCATACCCTTTTCTAATTTCATTATTATTATCACGATTTTGGAGTTAGTAGTAGTAGGGGAAAGTGAGGCAGAGAATAAAAATCATTGCCAAAATACCATGTTAGTTTACATAGGATCAAACTCTATTCCAGGTTAATAAATTAGCTGGCAGAGATTAAAAGCTAGTAAGAATCGTCTTTGGTATTTTACATTCCACAAAAACCGGTACGGAGGATTGCCGCAAAACATGCTTCAGCGCAAGTAAGTGATGTTGTCTGCTGCAAATCGTGGACACCAAATTTCGCGTGAATACAGTCATTCAGCTTGTTTTTCGAATCACTGGTACGACTTAATCTACGGAGGGCTTACACGTACAGTTTCTGTCATCACATGAATTCCAGTCCATGGTTCTTTTTTTTCTCTCTCTCTCTCTCTCTTTTACGTAGATTGTCAGTCAAAGATATAGACCTACTAATTTCAAAAACTTGTTGTTTTTAAGACGCTATAATTGATTTTTACTCCTATTTTACTTTCCACAAATACAGGCTGCCCCAGGGAATGTGGCAGGACAGGTAAGTGATGTTGGTTGTCCAAGGTACTCCTGTTCATCTTAATGAAATTTCTGGGTATGAATCACTGAACCCTTTTCTAATTTCTTTTTTTATCACGACTTTGGAGTAGTAGTAAGAGAAAGTGAGGCAGATAGAAGTCATTACAAATGAAATACCGTGTTAGTTTACACAGGATCAAACTCCGTGATTCCAGAGCCAGCCATGTAAGTGTAGAAGGTAACAATTAAACTAGCAGTATAGAGCATTTCCACTAACGTGGGCAGCAGTTATAGAGTTATTGGGGCAAAATGAACTGTTTACATACCAAAAAGTTTCAATTCCTACAGGATTGGTCACCGCCGTTTTTAATGTTGTCTAGGGACATACAAAATGGCGGACGCGAAGTCAAGCGAAAAGATTCTCTTTGTAGCATAGCCAGAGAGAATGAAGCTATTAAAAGAGTCTAATTCTCTGCAGGCTTTGAGGGTTTCGTTAATCATTGTACGTATTCCATGTATTCCATTTTTAGGCAGAAATTTGGGTTCTTGATCGGCCAGACTGGAATGAACTGCCGAGAGCAACTGTCAGACAGCAAAATTCGTTAGCCGAGGCCACGTACAGTTTCTGTTATCACATGAATTCCAGTCCATGATTCTTTTTTTTTTCTCTTTTACGTAGATTGTCAGTCAAAGATATAGACCTACTTATTTAAAAACACTTGTTGGTTTTAAGACGCTATAATTGATTTTTATTCCTATTTTACTTTCCACAAATACAGGCTGCCCCAGGGAATGATGCAGGACAAGTAAGTGATGATGGCTGTCCAAGGCATTCCTGTTTATCTAATTAATGAGATTTCTGAGTATGAATCACGCCCTTTTTTAATTTCTTTTTTTATTATCACAATGTTGGAGTAGTAGTAGGAGAAAGTGAGGCAGAGAATAAAAGTAATTGCAAAAATACCGTGTTAGTTTACACATGATCAAACTCGATTCCAGGTTAATAAATTAGCTGGGAGAGATTAAAAGCCAGTAAGAATCGTCGAAATATTTTGAATGTTGTATGATAAATTAATAAAGCCTGAATTAATCTGTAAGCTCATGAATGCTCAAATTATACAATGTAAAATTTTTCCTGACCCAGGGTTCTCTACTCTGAAAAGCACTAAATAAAGTTTATCTGGAAAATTCCCTTTAAAAAAAATAAATTCGATATAGACCCGGGTCCTGAAAGACCGATTATCGCTTAATCAAGAGAAAAATGTTGTTCTACTTTTGTATTTACCTTCCTTTTTCTCTGGTATGTTACATTTCACAAAAATAGGCACTGAGCCTAACTGCCGTAGAAGCTGCTGCAGCGCAAGTAACTGGGTGATGTTGGCTGCTACAAATCGTGGACACCAAATTTCGCGTGAATACAGTCACTCAGCTTGTTTTTTGTCTCACAGTTAGAACTTAATCTACGGAGGGCTCACACGTACAGTCTCTGTTATCACATGAATTCCAGTCCATGATTCTTCTGTTTTTCTCTTTTATGCAGATTGTCAGTCAAAGATATGGACCTGGTATTTAAAGAACTTGTTGTTTCTAAGACACTGTCGATTTTTACTCATATAGTTTTACATTCCACAAATACAGGTTGAAGCAGGAAATGATGCAGGGCAGGTAATTGACGATAGTTGTCCAAGGTACTCTTAATGAGGTTTCTGCTCAAAAACTTGCGGAGTATGATTCACGCCCTTTTCTGATTTCTTTTTTTATTATCACGATTTTGGAGTAGTAGTAAGAGAAAGTGAGGCACATAGAAGTCATTACAAATTAAATACCCTGTTAGTTTACACACGGTCAAACTCCAGAGCCAGCCATGCAAGTATAGTAGGTAAAAAACTAGAAGTATAGAGCTTTTTTACTAACGTGGGCAGCAGTTATAGAGTTATTGGGGCAAAATGAACTGTTTACATAACCAAAAGTTTCAATTCTTACAGGATTGGTTACCGCCGTTTTTAATATTGTCTAGGGACATACAAAATGGCGGACGCGACGTCAACCGAAAAGATTCTCTTTGTAGCATAGCCAGAGAGATTGTAGCTATTAAAAGAGTCTAATTCTCTGGAAGCTTTGAAGGCTTCGTTAATCATTGTCCGTATTTCATGTATTCCATTTTTAGGCAGAAGTTTGGATTCTTGATCGGCCATGGAATGAACTGCCGAGAGAAGCTATCAGAGAGCAGCAAAATTCGTTAGGAGAGGGTCACTTTGGTGTGGTTAATAGGGGTGAAGTACAAATTGATGGAGAATGGATACCATGTGCAATAAAGAGAGTACGAAATGGTAAATTAACTTTCCATGGGTTGATTCCTACTAGCTTACGTTATGGAATTAAATGCTAACAGTATGTCTTTAACTTAATGTCTTTAATGTCGTCTGATACAGCTCAAGCTAATATTGATTTCATGAACCTCATAACTAAATAGGGCCATAAGTCGGATACCATTTCAGTCTTAACTAATAAATGTGAGTCGTGTCCATTCCATAATGAATGTAGATCATGTTCTCCTTGGTATTCTTCTTCCTCGCTTTTCGGAACTCGCCCCTTCATTGATGCAATTAGCCAACTGGGGCCCGAGAATTATTGTTACCGTCACATGATAGAGACCGTCTCATCTTTTAATTAAAGAAGTACAGTTACTGCAGAATTAAAGTACTTAAAGTATAGGATCTGGCGGCTTCAATCGACCTTGTATTTTTAATATTACTTTTTGGAAACTGTTAGCCTTCAGTGTAGAGGTATTTTGGGCGGGGAAAGCTGCTCGCTTTACATATTCGTATTGTTGTAGCCGCCATCTTTAATCATCTGCATCAGGCTAGGAAACTGTACGATCTTTAATTAATTATTCAGTCTGCAATAAAATGCTCGAAGGATGTTATTCTCCTTGTCTATTGTATATAGCAGAAAATGCGAGGCTGTCAGGTGTGCGGAACGCCCTTTTGGAAGAACTGAGAATCATGGTTACAGTTGGTGACCATCCCAATATCATAAGTCTTATTGGGGCCTGTACAACAATTGGTAGGTACACCGAAAAATCCACGCGTATTTAGTTTTCAAGCAGTCTTCGCAACGGTCGTCTGAAATGCCATACGTCTCCACCAAGAGAGAATGATCTAATTCATTCTCTCTTGGTCTCTACCCCCTAACCCGTGGGGGACGCGGGGGAGAGAAAGATAAAATACGCAATAAAAACTTGAATAATAATTTGAATCAAAATGTTAACGTGACAAAACGAGCAAGGTTCGCAATACTCGCGGTAAGTATCCTAGACAATTTACATAATATAATTTATTTAATTTACACAAGAGAGAATAAGCTTTGAGAGGGAGTCCCTGTGCTCCATGATACCTTTTTAAAATCTATTTAAAGTTCGCGGGCTTGCTGCTGTGGTTTTTTTTGTCTGTTGTTTCCGCGACTCGCGCGGTCTACTTTCACGTGAACGCGACATGTTTCTCCGCCAAGCAGTTGAAGTATGACAGCCGTTAAAGTATATAATTAGCGCGCTAATAGACTGCTAGCAGTCTCTTAGTTTTCTTTGCAAAGTTACTGCACGCGAGCGGCGAAGCCGCTTGCCGCGAGAAACGATCAGTCCCTAAATAATAACATCGTGGTTTGCAATCGCGCTGGATGAGATAAGAACTGGACGGATTTTAAGAGAAAAGGCGGACTGCAAGCAGTCTAGCGCGCTAAAGGCTTAAGTTGTTGACACGTTTTTGATCTGCGCGTTCCGCTCATAATTTAGGAATGAATTCATTTACAAAGGGATTGTAGTATTAGGTAGCCTGCGAAAACAGCCGTTTCTCCTCGCTCTTCGCCTCTGAGGACGTTTCGCTAGGAATAACGTCTGCGACTCAGCGACAGAAATTCCATACTGATGACGTACAATCTGTCCGGAATCCGGTCAGAAGCGCTGATTGGTCGACCGAGTAGTTACATTGTTTTAGCTATTGTTTACTCGAATGACAGACAAAAGACAAAAGGCCACGAAGGTCAAATGTAAACGCGATGAATCTCTAACAAAACAGTCAAAATTGGTGGAATATTCCTTCTCTAGAAGAAACATTTGAGTTTTGCTGGAGCTCGTTTTAGATGTAAATGTAAATGTAAATGTCGCGATTGAGAGGACAAACATACATTTCCTCTTTACATAGCTTTTTTGCAGTGGGCTCGGACATCAGCATACTAAGGGCGCCGATGGCAGCCGCTATCAGTCCATTTATGAGCCCACTGAACCCTCCCAACCCATGATGAGTGATGATGTAAGTGATGAAGATAGACCACAACACCAGGAACTACGTCCCCTACTCTTTTCGAATAGTGTGTGGGTTCTTTAACGTCCCACAACACAACACTTTAGTAAAATCGACAAGGAGAAACGTAAAATTGAACAAATTTGGATGTGGAACCCCATCACTACCGGATATATTATGTAAACACTGATTTATGTCATCAGTATGGAATTTCTAACGCTGAGTCGCAAACGTTCCTCCGCGCGAAACGTCCCCAGCGGCGAAGGGCTGGACAAACGGCTGTTTCCGAAGGCTAAGTATTAGAGTCAAAATTTCACTTTGAGATTAAAGACTGAGCTTTTCTAACGACTGGTATCCTCATTTAAAGTAACGAATATTAAGAGACAGTTGCCATTTAAAATAGGCTGTTGCTTGTTTAAATACTAATGTAGCGAAGACGACAAAAAGGAATTTTCGCCGAGGCTGAACCGCTTTCTCCGGCGAGCCAAGGAATCCAGGACCGTTTTCTCGTCGGAAGCTTCTCTGGCCAGTTTTTTCCTCGTAGAAATCTTTTGACTCGTAGACGAAAGTAAATACCGCGTCATATCGCTTGCTGCGCGTGTACGGCAGTGAAATGAATTACCCGCCAAGTTTAAAATTACATGACGCCACTCTAATCGACCAATAAGGTGGCGCCCTTAAAATACGCAGTATGACACAGAACCAAGAACACATTGAAAATAATTTTCATGGAAAGAAGTAGCCTTTGTAGAATGGCGGTTTTGGTTGGGCGCGCTTAATAATAAAGGCGGGCAAGGGCAGAGAAACCGTGAGGAGATTGGGGCGGGAACAACCTTTTTTATTTTTCTCGCCGCTTCGCCGCTCAGTCGTGATCCTGACAAAACCGCAATGCTACGCAGGCTAAGAAAGAGGGTCATGCATGGGGGATTAGATCTCTTAGATCATTCTTTCCTGATTTACATAAAAGGAAACACAATCAAAATACCATTGCCGCCATTTATCATCGACGTGCCATCCGGATCAATTTCCATGATCACTCTTGACGTTCTCAGCAGTTGCCGAATAAACTGCCTGTTGTCAAGGGTTTTTTTTTGGCAGTTGGGGACACGCTTTAGTGGCCGTTGCTATTGTAGAGAGGTAGCCGTTGAACAAAGGTTTAAATAAGAGTAAATGCGTGGACTGTCCGCAGAGGGTTCGACTGTATAATACGAACAAATTGAATGACTAGCTGCCAGTTCGCTTGCCTGGTATCGGTGGGGGGCAGAGCCAGTAGTTTTCGCAACTGCATCACAGTTGTGTATTTAACTGTGATGATTTCTCTGCATTTAATTTCCTTTCAGTCATAAATTTGTATTAGAAGCTATACTTAATATATAATTTTATAGGCTGTTTGAACAAACCTTCAGTTGTGGTGTTGATTTAAGGTAACTACCGGAAAGTAAATTTTGACAAGGGAACAAACAAATCAAGGAATGTTCTCTTGATTTTATCATAAAATTTAATTGCCCTTGTAAGTCAGATTTGAATTGCTTAAACCTGAACTTCTTTGATCAATTGATCAAATGGCCCGCAATTTAATGTTGATTACACGCCTTTTTTAATTAGAGCCAATACTGATTGTCGTGCGCCTGGCAGAAAATGGCAACCTGGAAGAATATCTCAGAAGAAATCAAGGAAATCCCTATATCGACCAAAGATAAGATCAAGATCGCCAGAGATGTGGCCAATGGAATGTTGCACCTGTCCAGCAAAAGGGTATTTTTTTCACTTAATAACAATTTCAACTCTAAAGTTTTTACATTAACAAGTACTTTTCTGTCTGTTTGATTTTGGAATGCCGTATAATATCCAAACACATTGACTTACGTAAACTTTGCTCTGCTATGTACCTGTTGTTTCGCCCCAAACACAAAATAATTTATATTAGGCTGAGTGAATTCTCGAATGCTCGAATTTCTTTCGTCTTCCCTTTGGAGCGCCTGCCACACTGGATAAAAAAAAATTAGGCTAGCTTTCACAACTGCTCTTCTCGGCTATTACTGGGTTTCTAATATTCAATACCGATCCACTATATTGCCTAATGGAAAAATACCATTTCTGAGTATCTAACAAACAATGAAGGACCTGTAAGTAAGAACGAGGGTTTTAACCAGGAATAGACCCAGAGAGGTATGAAGCCAAGTAAAAGAGCTCTGTTGACCGGGCCCGAAGCTGAAATGTATGTAGCACGTTCTAAGAGAACGCCATCAAATTTATCTTCATCATCGATCATCTTCATCACCATCGCCATCACCAACATCATCATCTTCTTCTTCTTCCTCTCCTTCATGATCATCATCATTTAATTTGATTTAATCCATTTTCACTGCATACACAGACACAAGTTAGCAGCGGGGAAGGACTACTAAGAAGGGAACAGAAGAACCATACGGGCTAGTTCACCCAATTTAAAAACACGTCATATTGTAAAATAAGAAGAAAAAGGACATGATTGTCAGAAAAAGTAACACATATAAATTGTTAACCGCTGTGATTTCATGCCCAAGTAACTTGTGGGTGATCAGGATCAAAGCCGTCAATCGAATCTCTGCAATGTTTTTTGAAGCAAGACAGGCTTTCTACTGTAGGTCTTCAGTTCTAAGGCTGTTGGGCAAGTTCTTCCATAAATAAGGAATTCTATTTTTTAAAAAAAGTTCCCTTAGTTGAAGAGTTAGGTTTTTACTAACATTTAATCTAAGTTTATTACTTGAGAATGACCTTAGTCTGTTATCAGAGCAAAACTGAAGAAAATAGGAGTCAAACAAAGCAATTATAGTGACCATGCTTGAATTTTTTAAACTGAGTAACAAGGTCTCTGATTTCTCGTCGGTAAGTCAACGGAAGTAGATGCAATCGTTCAAGTCGGTCGTTGTAGCTCAACGTTGAACCCCCTCAACTAGCTTTATCATAGAAATATACCTCGGGCTCTAGATTTCAGAGGCATAATCAAGGTGGGAACGCACAAGGGCCGTGTAAAGGGATTTCAGTGTACGTAAATATAATAATATTGCTCTGCTAATGACTTGTGCTGATGGTTCGACGAATGATTCCTAGCATCTTATAGCTTCTTATTAGCTTTATTAATTGAACCTGAGCGTAAATGAGGTTCATTAAAACGAGCGTCACAAGAATTAAGAACACCAAAGGCCACACTGGACGTCAACCCTTATCAAGGTTTAGTTTGCATGGTACATATATAATCATATGTAACTGGTTCGCGTTTTCTTGTTATCGAGAATAACGAGCGTTGTCTGTGTTAAAGACAAGCTTCCATTCATCACTCCATTCAACTAGATTGTCAATATATCACTTTGTAATGATTCACAGTCACTGACGGTTCTTGTAGTGTGAAAACACTTTACATCGTCGACAAATAAAGCCAGAGAACTTGAGTGAGACAAATCACATACATGAGACAAAGAAAGCAGACCCAAGCAGTGATCCTTGTGGGACTCCTGAGGTGACAGATAACCAGCCTGAGTGTTTGCCATCTATTACCACCGTTGCATCCTGTCTGTCAGATAACTGGTGAACAACTGCAGCAGGCGACAACAACTACATCTTCATCATCATCATCATCATCATCATCGTCATCACCATTATCATCAATCAATCATCGTCAATCATCTTCATCATCCTCCTTCTCATCCTCATCATCGTCATCATCTTTAGTCATCACCTTCTTTAAACAATCATGTGATGTCGCTTGTCTTATTGCAGTGTGTCCACCGCGACCTTGCGGCCCGGAACGTGTTGCTTGGCAAGGATAACGTTGCCATGGTTTCCGACTTTGGTCTGTCACGCGATGTGTATCAAAGTGGCGCATACGAACAGATAGATAAGGTAGGAGAATGAATGTTTTTAGTCACGTTTAAGTCTAAATCGGCAGCACCCCTAAGGTCTTTATGGTTTTCTGACTTTGACAGTAATTATTACCAGTTAGCATTTTTAACCTTGTTATGTTCTATTTCAATTCATTTGTTTCGTTATCCCTGAACAACCCCAAAAGAGAAAAGAATAATTAAGAATTTTCTTTTGTTACTAGCTGTTTCTTTTTATTTCTTGTATCCAGGGTCTCCAAACATGAAAGTAATTGCTCTCTGTTTATTTTTCTCTCTTTTTCTTTTCTTTCCTTTTTATTCCTTTCGTATTAAAGCAAAGGCCTTTGCCCATTCGATGGATGGCCATCGAGTGTTTAAATGGTTTGGCATTCACCACCGAATCTGACGTGTAAGTCTATTTGCTCATTCCACATGGAATAATTAAATAAAACAAACTTTAGACTAGACCAAGTAGAAAGACTGTGAACTACTATAGGAGTGTTGCCAGCACGTTCACTGTTTATTGCAATGACTCCCTCAATGATATTTTCTACAATATTCTCAGTATTCTTGACTGGTTAATAAGAGGGAGAAATATTATATACAAAAATTTATATATCATTAAAAACAAAACAAAACAAAAAATTAAATACAAGCCGAGCAAAGCTGGCGCATGTTTGATGTCTTACAGCAAACTTTTACTCAATAAATTACTGTAGAAATTTTGAAAGGAGTCGTCTGCAAATGGTGACTGATGCTGTTGGACAATTGACCGACGGGAAGGACTCCCCAATGCCTCAAATACCTTGTCAGTACTTTCAAGATACACGCCCGCATTTGATGTGACAGCGTACGCATTCCTTGAAATTGAATTGCATTATCCAATGATTCAGTTTTTTATATTTTTATTTTTCCTCCTGCCCCCTGATTTTAAATGTATTGACTAAGCATTGTACGCAGCGTGTACAATCCTAAGGAAATGATTGCAACGTGCTTTACGCGCCACTTCCCTGCAATTCTAGTTTTAGGTACACTGTAAAATGCGCTCCCGAATTAAAACGTACCTCCAAATTCAACGCGATATTGGCAAGATAATGCTCATAAAAATACCGTAAAATTCCGAAAATAAGCCCCTCCATGTAGAAGCCCCTCCAAATATAAGCCCCCCAAACGGGTAACGCAAAAAATCCTCCGTTAAATAATGCTCATGGAGAAAAATACAAATAAAACAAAGCAAAAACGGTGTTTTATAAGTCGCCCAATCAATTTAGAAACGCAAATTTCTTTCCGAGTTTGAATATTTTTGAAAATAAAGCCCCAGGGCTTATTTTCGGAATTTTACGGTAATTGTTTTATCATTCGATCACTGAGTTTGTTTTTTAATAAATAATATCTTCGGAAAGCGGTTAGCGCGCGCTGCCTTCCAGGAGTAATGACAGAGATCACATAAACGAGCAAGGAGCAAGCGTGGTTTCATTTACGCATGAGCAGAATAGTATTTGCAGCCTAAAACAGTTGAACAACATTGCGCATGAGCGCACCATTATTTGTAGGCAGTTATTTGCAGGTCACGTGGTGGGCTTTCGGCCAATGAAAAGGAAGAAACAACTGCTTCGAATGATAATAATTGTTATTAAACGGACATTCACCCAAGGAAAAAGAAACTTTATTCGCACTAAAGAGTGTTGTTTTCGATAAAACGCTATAGAAATTGCCCTTAATGATTGTTCTTCTTAATGCAAAAATCTTAATTAAATGTTTGCTACCTTGACTAAACTGTTTATACATTAAGTAAAATCAATGATATTTTCACGTTAATAAGAATTTATTTCCCCGTAATGAAGGGCAATAGGTGTAGAACAAATCATGTTATAATCTGAAGTCAACCTTCATTACTGATTTGAGGGATATATTTATTTTGCAGTTGGTCATTCGGAGTGTTGATGTGGGAAATAGAATCTGGAGGTACAGCTTAAAATTATAATGTCTTAGCCTAACCTTTTACATACATGTATATGAACTTTTACTATTCTGGTTTTAACTGAGCACTTCAAGACCTCGATCCTAACCAAACTCTCGCACCTTAATCTAATCTAACGCGGATGTAAGATGGCCTCAAAAAGGATTCCTACTTTTTGTTGCTTCTTCATTTTCACTCGAAGGTATTTACATTGAGAGAAATATGACTAGACGCCCATGGTGGGGGCTCATTGGGGTGCCGACTGGACGGTTTTAAGCCGGGGCTGTATGTACTGTTATGAATAAAACAGCCCAGTTAGCCTTATGAAACAATAAACGATTGGCATTATATTTTAACTGGGACATTTCCACAATGCATCTCCTCTGCCCCACAAAATATAGCATGACAGTATTTGATCTAACTGGAAACTCCAAAAATTATTATCCTTCTACTCTTATAACTCGTGACTGAGGGTCAACCTTTGATGTTTTTCAAAAACAGTGTTATTTAAAAGAAATCATTTCTGTTCCTTAAAATTTGCAAAGCAAATTTTAAAGTTTCAGTTTCATTTCTGTCGCATATTGCATTTAAAGCCCTTCTTCCATGGCAAGTGAATATGTTTAGATTTGACGGTGCGATCTACAAATAGCATACTCCTTTCTTGTTGTAAGGAAAGACTTTTCACATGCAGGGAGAGAACAGCAACAAGTTGAAGCTTTTCCCGTGGGAACCGTGGGAGGGCTGCTTGTTTCTGCAGTTCCCGCACAGGCTATAATTTCATCATCGAATACTGTAAATCATTCAGTCTGTCCGCCAGCTCCGTCCGCCATTTGTCTTTCTTTTACATAGACTGTCGACTTATTGTTTGATTAGGCGTGGCCCTTGAGACGGGCAACCCAAAAATTACCTCTTCCAGTTATGAAGAATTACAAAACTCGAAATGAACCAATCAAATAAAACGTCTTTAAAAGACAATACTGTGCTCAATCCCTGAAGTCAACGTTTTCAGTATTGTTATGTACTAAAGGGCAATTAAAGAATTAAAGAAAGTTCAACTTGCAATTGTGATTGTCTTTTTAGGAGCAAAACCATATCCCACTATGGGAAACGTCTTAGAGATTAAAGACTTTTTAAACAACGGAAGAAGGTTGACAAAACCCCATGGATGTTTGCCTGAGATGTAAGTTTTAAATAATGATGATATTTAACAATTATTCCTAGAGTGCACGTTGGCTTTAATCATGTCATATCTAACAAGACGCTATGGGAGCGTGCAATTCGGCGCCGTGGTTGTGGAAGTCGTCTAGGTGCATGGCCGCGTTTCGATTATAATTTCTGTCATAAATAAATTGTAAACGACAAGATCTCAGTTCCACTTCCATTATTTCCTCTACAACAACACTTTCCTTATGTTCAGTTAACTCCACACCTTCTCGAGCAACGTAACTAACATCAGTACACCCCATTAGAAAACTTGTTGAAAATGCACAATCTCCACACCGAGGATAATTCATATTCAACATCGCAACATAAGCTTTAATAAATTATTACATGAAAAGCAATAACACGCAATACAAAAACAAGCATAAAAACACCTACTCTTCCAAACAAAACTAAAAGAAGAACAATGAACCGTTACAGAACCACGTCAACTGCGTTTTGCTTCTCCTTGTTGACAATCTATCGCTCAGTCCGAATCAGCCGAATCGCTTCGTCTACACGCACGCAACGCAAACGACCGTACCACTTCCTCGATCTTCCTCTTTCGAATCACTCTTGCTACAATGATCTCCAGTAATCACTCTTAACGTTATACACATTTCTGTCCGCTTTTTTTTTTTTTCCATGAAGGCATGTAACTTGTTTTTAATTTTGAACAGACGTGTTCAGTTACCATATTTGGAGAGCATCGTATAATGGCTCACATACCATGATGGCTAAGCCAGTCAGAGCTCTAGAATTGCATTGTCCAATGATTCAGTTTTAAAAAATGATTAAGATGGTGAAAGTGGAGCCTCTATATGCCAGAACAATAGAAATAGAAATAAAATTGGTAGAATTTGTTAAATGCACTTGTTTATCGACATCATTCCTTCGTTTATCATGTTATTAAATATTCGTAAAAGCTTTTCCCTAGATTATGTATCGATACCGTTACGGGAAAATTGATGTTGGTCATTCTTGGGTCTTGATGTTAAGGGATGGGTCATTAGAAAAGTGATGGGAAGGTGGTGGTGGTGGGGGGTTAAGTTTGCATTATTTTTCCCTCGGTCATTGCTAATAAAGGAATTTTTTTCCGGGTAACACCCTTTGCAGCCATACCTATTTTGTGGACAAACAATACTCTCTAGACTTTTTCACTACGCTTAAAAAGCATATGGCGGACTGTTCACAGTCCCTGTATTTTTCTCTCACTTATAGTCTAAAAGCGCCCCCCTTAAGTAGTTTAAACATACTCATCCAAGATGGCTGCCCATAACGCAAAGCGCTCGATCTCGACAATCTTATGGAACAATTGGGGACTGTGGACAGTCTAAACAACATACATATACATTACATGCCAAGATCTGTTGAATATGCCGTTACATATACAGTGTAAACGCAATTTTAAATGAGTAAGGCAATTTAACACAGTTAACAAACTGTAAAATAGTCACTCTCTATTCATGACGTGATATATGATTTGCGATTACCACAGACCAAAGGACTCACCATTCAGCACCTCTACTTCAACTGGTTTTTTCTCGATGTAAACAATGTGGGAGAGGAGGAAGCTATTTGGAGAGGAAGGCTTCCCGGGGCAGACTTGTATACCCTCCCATCTGTTATTCCTCTCCCACAGCCCCATCATAAAAAAAAAGTCAATTTGGTATATCATTCATTGTATAAAAGTACAACAATAAAGGATATTACATATTAGTCTTAATTCACCGGACTATAACATTGACCAAAATCATGTCAAACACATTTCGCACCTGATGGATGACATGGATTGGTAGTTGTTGTTCCACGAATGTTGAAGGTGTGGGTGGAGATGGGTGTGTGGGTTAGTCCCATATCTCACTTTCTAGAGTAGGCAGCAGAACTCCTTATCCTTACTATAACGCAGTTCAAACTCCTATTCTTGATGCAAGTTCTCAAGTTCTAGTGTGGCTAATCCCCAACTGCTTGAAAACTATATCCTTGACATATGTATTCAAAAACATTGTTAGCCCTTAAATGTATAAACTAATGAAATATGACAATGAACCGTAAATTGTAAATATTTTATGATCAACTCCTCTCAGGGCTTTTCGGAGATACTTTTACAACATTGTTTGGGGTTCTTTTGCCAGACTGCTTATGGTGCAGTTTACAAATAATGATGGAATGTGTAATGATGCCTTCTATGTTAATGTGAATTTGGCACAGACCACCCACCGGGGACTACGCCCTCTACTCTTTACGAACAGTGTGTGGGTTCGTTAACTTCCCACAGAATTTATGATCGAGCAACTTAAGCAAGGCGACGGCAACGAGAACGGCAAAAAGCAATAGGTTTTTATTGGTAAAACAACAACTCTGCACGTGCATCACGGTTGTTTTATTCATTCTCGACTTCTCGTTCTCAGGAGGACACGAACACAAAACAACTACTCTCTTTCTCTTTTTCTAAACGTCGATATAGTCCTTGAGAATTCAACTCCACAAGAATTCACCAACGTTTCCGTCGTTGAGTTGTTCAAGGCTTGTGAGACGGGGCCTACGGTTTAATCGTCCCTATCCGTGAAGACCAGAAGGTAACCGTTTACAGATGTCATTACAAAGGAAGCACTTTCTCCTTGGTCACTTTAAGACCCTGAGTGCTGGTCCATCTGGGGTTTGAACCAGCGGCCTCCCGCCAGGCAGGCTGGCGCTTATCTAACTGAGCTAACTAGGCGTTTAAGTGGTATGTGATTTGCGATTTTAACATTCTATAAGACAAACTTGATTACTTTGCTTAATGTTTAGCTATGAAATAATGAAGAGATGTTGGGAAAAAGAACGTTCGGAACGTCCAACATTTCGTGAGCTTTTGGCGTCACTTGAGGAAGAATTGCGGAAATCAACAGGAGTAAGTATGCCACAACGTAACTGATAAAGAGTAAAAAGTTTAAAAGAACGCACAGTCCTGAACTTTATTTTCTTTTTCTTTGACTACTAAGCGCATAAAATAACATTTCGTCTTCCCTATATCAAAACAAGTCGGTCATATTACTATTATCAGACCTTTCTGCAGCATCTGATAAGATGGACAATGTAATACAACTATTTATAAAATAACTAAGATAGTACGCGCGCTCTGATTGGCCGAGAGGCGCGTGTTTGCATGAGAGTATGTAAACATGGTTAAAGTTTTTGAGTTGAAAACTCAGCAAGTTTAACTTATTTTCCCATTCCCTCGTCGGTTAAAACTTGGACAATCTTTACAAACGTGCTGTATCAATTTGTTTTCGCTTAAGCTGAAATTTTAAGCGAGAAAAATCTGTATTTTGCAAAACAAGAACTGATCATTATTAATTACGAGTGAACGACTTGGTGTACAAGACTTCGCGACTGGTAAAAATTTCTCTTTTAATCAGAACCAAAACAAAGAGTTCTGCGTTTTTTCACGAGAAAGTTAATTAATAAAAGCAATAGAAAACGTTTTTCCTGTATTTGCATAGCCTGATATAAACACTCAAAGGGTTGAGAGAATTCTCGACAGTAGTGCAAACCAGAGATGGAGTCGAGGGTTTGCATAACTGTCTCGAATTCTCCAAACCCCTCTCGTGTTTATATCAGGCTATGCAAACACGGAAAACGTTTTCTATTGCTTAACTCGACTCTCAAATCGTTTTGGAGTGAAGGGAGCTGCATTGGCCTCGTTTTCTCAGGCTATAACTCCTTCTAAGACATTGTCAACGGAACGCAAAGTGGACTTTTTCGCCTCAATATAAACAGTAATAATAATGATAATAATGATAATGATTGTCATAAGCCCCAACGCAAAAAATGACAATCACTTCTATATTTTATTTTACAAAAACTAGGCATCGGACCCAGTGATTAATCCAGGGCAAGAAAGTGAAGATAGAATGGCAGCACATGAAGACCAGCTACCAATGTATCAGAGAAGTCAGGTATAGGATTTAATGGGTGCTCAAGAACTTGAACTGGTGCTTTCTTTCAAGGACGCGCTGAGTAGTGCTGCTACTAACAGTTATTATGAGCAATATCTATGAAGGGCTTATAATTAAGCGTCTCTGCTATAACTTGAATTCCATGCGATCGATTGGGAAATCCGGATTTAGATTTTCAAAATCTATGTCCGGATTTCCCAATCGAACGCGAAATCCGAAAACGGATTTCACCTTCGAGAATCTGTCCTCAGGGTGGATTTCAATTAAGGAATCCAAATCCGGATTTCATGGATTCCTTTTTACCGTTCGATTGGGAAATCCGAAAAAGGATTTGCAAAACTACTCTCGTGAACAGTGGTCTTCTTTTTGCTAAGTATGCGTGCGCGTGCAAGACCGCTGTTCTTAAGGACAGTTTTTCAAATCTTTTTTTCGGATTTCCCAATCGAACGGTAAAAATAAAAATCCAAAAACAGATATCTCAGCGTTGAAATCCGTTTTCGGATTTCGCGTTCGATTGCAAAACCGAAATCCGGATTTTCAAAATCTAAATCCAGATTTCCCAATCGAACGCACCCCAAGATATATAACAATTATTCCCCGAAGTGGATGTGGCTAGTAGTGAAACTTTACCGATTTGTTTACCTCCTTGGGCGGAGGAAATTTCTTCAAAGGAGTTGTGAATTCTCTCTGTATTAAAAACCATTCTGTAAAAAAAGCATTAAAAGCTTATTTATGAACATGTAAGCTATAAATAAAGTAACGCAAGACTTAAGCTTAATTTGCATTTGCAAACAAAAAACTTTTTCACCGGTTTCATCGATAAATTCCAGTCAAACAGCCAAAGCTTTACCTGTTAGAACCTCCAAGCTGATTTCTGCCACCTTCTTCGTGTATTTCCACAACAGCTTGTTTGATTATTTGTGAAGATCCCTTTGTTACGGCAGAAAACCGGGAAGCCATTTTGCTCGTAACTTACGCGAGTTTGGCGTCGCTCGCTCGGAGGAACTGGAGGTGAATCAGTGAATAGAATTGAATATTCATTAATTGAGTATTTGCTTAATGTTTATTTACTTATTTATTTATTTTTATTTTTTACGAAAAACAGGCTTCGGGAGCTTCTTCCAACAGACCTGCCCCAGTGAATGATGCAGGGCCAGTAAGTATCAATAGAATATGTCAGGCTTAGCTCAGGGAGATCCGCTAAGGATGGATGACAGTTTCTCGTTATGGTTAACAGACATCTGGAACAGATAACTCAACTCAGAAGTTTTGAAAGCTATTATCCATTTAGGCCCCTGAGGACATTTCCAGTAATGAAAATAAGAGATGAGATAAGTTCCCGACTACCCAAGATACAAGATACACTGTACGTAACGTGCAAACAAGCGACATTGACACGAAGTTAGATAGGTAGGCAAGTAAGTCATGAACATAGGTAGGTAGGTGGGTATGTGGGTACCTGGTAGGTGGGTAGGCGGGTGAGTAACTAGTTAAGTAGGTAGGTTAGTGGGTGGATGGGCAAGTAGGTGGGTGGGTGGGTAGGGGGCTAGGTAAGTAGGGGGTAGGTAGCTATGTAAGGACAAAAAGAAAAAAGGGCATGTGCACAATTTGTTTTTGATTAACTTTCCTCTTTTTATTCCTTTTAATAGGCTCACGTAAGCTGCTGATAAGGAGCAAACGAAACGTCATCAGAAATAGAATTCGAAGTGCTGAAAAGTGGGATAATAGTCACACTATTTTATAGTTCGTATTTTTAATTTCACGGCACATGTTACTGCAATTGTGGGAATTAATTTACATTGTATTGCCAAGAGCCTTTCTCTATGATACATTTTGATTAAAAATAACTATAAATATAATAGAAGAGGGAGACTCTGTGAGCTAGGAGTTTGATTAGAGTGAAATGGCAATGAAATAGAGGCACTGGTTACAACAGTAAGCTTTAGTTGCACTCTCTCCTCCAGTAAGCAAAGGCCTCTTTGTGTCGTAGGGAGGCTGGGGAGAAGGAAAAAAAAAGAAAGCTCGCGGGGCATGATGGGAAGGGGCCTCTTTGCGAAGGTGACAGAGTTATTTGCATGACAATAGCAGAGTATCAAAGTCTTGCAAGAGCTACATATCTACCGTATGGCACGAAATTTTTGCGGGAGTTTATTTTTGCGGATTGGCGATTTTTTGTGCTTTGCGGAAACTAATTTTTGCGATTAGGACAGATGGGTTTTTCTTGCTGCGAACTATTTTTGCGATTTTCAGAAAGTACCCAGTACCCAGCATTGATCTGCACATTTTCGTTTTTGTTAAGTACATGCAATAGAAATACATATTTTCAAACATTACTACGGTATGCGTACCCTATGTAAACTAGTAATTTATTGTATGCCGTTTGTTTCTGAATAAAGGAGGAAAGTTGTAATAGAAAAGATCGCTAGAAAAATCGCAAAAATTAGAACCCGCATTGCCACACGGTACATCTAATTTTTGATTCGCTAATTAATTCAAATAAAATACACCATAACTTGAAATAAAATGAAATGAGTCACTGCTTTTAACGGACTCTCGACTATTCATACATTAAGAGTAATGATTCTGTAGAAAAGTTTGTCTCTTTTAAAAAGCATAATGAAATGAATGAAATTAATTGGATGCTGGTAAAATAATTGAATTCATGAAATGTGATAATAAAGTATCTTTTGATAATAGTCGTGGAAACAGGGTTATTTTACGTTCTATTTCAGTAAAGCACATATCTGTTATAGAGGAAAAGCTTGGGCACACTAGTTAAAAGTGATTCGTCTTCAATTGTTTTACATGCACACCAGTTACAGAGACTGTATAGCCTTTCACCACAGGGTATATTGTCGTATCTCCCTGTTTTAATCATAAGTTTGTGGCAATGATAATGAGGCTTGGTGGAGCAGGCTAACGCAGAATTGACTGAAAATGGCCCATTTTCCCTGGACTCGAATTCCGCCGCTCTGTCTAGATCGGTGGCCTATATATCATCACAAGGAAAAACACGCACAAAAGCCTAACTTATCATCAATGCACTTCCAAAAATTCTCAGCGTGGTCCAGGGGAATACACGGCATACCCTCAGACCTTGCCCCTTAAGAGCAGGCTGCTTGATTATTCAGCCAGTTCTTGTAAAGTTTAAATCTCGGCACCCTCGATAGCAGTTCTCGCCCCACCCTCCTACCCGCAGCGATGAGGCATACCTCGTATTCTCTTCTGGTTCACCGACTCGCAAAACCTCGGGCCGATACCCGATATGTTATGTATTTAGGCTCATTGGGCTTTGTGTGCGAGTGTTTCGGGTGAGAATTTTATATTGCTCCTTCATTTTTCTTAACAGCGGCTGGTCATCTGAATGCCATGGTATAGGACCTTAAGAGATACACGAAAAAATTCACCTGCCTAAATTAAAATCCGCTGTGGAAAGGACTGGAGCGAGTTACCGAAAAAAATACCTAAGGAGTAAAGACTTTAGTTTTGGAACTTTTGAGTCAGAATCAGTTCGGCATTTACTAGAACAAGATAGATTCAGAAGTCCATAACCCTCCTGGGCTCCTGACAGATTACAGCACAAATGCAGATTATAGACCAGTAATAAACGAAGGTTAATATGGAGTGCGGGCGACAACGATCGGAGGTCCAAACGCAGTTAAACGCTTTTGCTTCAACGCTGTGCTTTTGCGTCAGTTTCACTTGACACATGATCAAAACACGCGTGAACAGCTTACGCGGGGTAGAAGGTCGAAACGCAAGTGATCAAAAAACGTTTTGTGCATTTATTTCATTCTTAGTGGAAGTCAAAAGGAATGCTGGCCATATACATGCAACGCATGCGTAATAACAACTTGGAGATTAGCATTGCGGGCTCCTCTTGACGCCCGCAGTTAGTTTTTCGCTTTTTGTTAATAAATGTATAACTAGTAATAGTTGACACTACAGCTGCCTCCGCTCTGTACATTGTCGCTCAACAGCATTCTTGATCGTTGCGTAGCTCTTTGAAATATACCGATTCATAACAGAGTCTGGATTCATAATGAAGATTTTCACACATATTCCATACAATAGGTGAGATAAATACAGGAAACGCAAGGTTCCATGCACAGTTTCAGGTCGATTTACACAGCTTTGATCAAAACATTCTCAGTTTCGAGAATACATAAGAAGAGAGTTAATTAGAAGTTGAATTTTTCGCCTAATTTCTCTTTCACTTTTTACATTCAGTTCATTTTATTTGGCGGAAAGTAAGCCTTAGAAGTTAAAAGGAAGTTTGATCAATTCACGCTTACGCATTCTAGTCTTGTTTTAAACCATATAGCTGAAGGACATCTGTGAGCAGGGAATAAGTCAGAATTTGATTGTCGGCGAATTTCTGTAATCGTCCATCCTTCTGCTAGTGAGAAGCTAGCCGTTGTTCACTCGTCTTGCTTGTTTGGGGCTGAGTCTTATTCCGGTCAAAGAGAGAGAAAGAGTGTCTGGCAAGGTTTCCAATGAAAGATTTTTGAACTCGTGTCTGACAAACTCTCCAAGTGTTTATATATAGACAGTTATACGCACCTTATAACTTCTTCAGCGCTTAACGAGTGTCGTTAAAATTTTGGTCCATAACTTTCACCGAAACAACTGCTCCACAGAATGTCACTGATAACACGTAACGCAAAAGAGTGTCGAAGTATGGCTCCACAATAAATGTCACAAAATCTACCTAAGCGGTCCCTTGGGGATGTTCTGTCTTTACGTCATCTTAACCATTTCGTATTTGCGGGCGCAAACAATAGAAACGTCATCATTACCTACCGATTCCTCGCGGCCCCTGTTCAAACAAATCGAGATTTTTTCTATATTGACTGTATGACTGTATATTTCAGCTGTAAGTACTTTCCTTAATATACGCGCGAGTTACTGGAGTGCCTCCTCGGGATTTCGCCTTCTGGGCGAAATCCCTGCGGGGGCAATTATTTAAAAAAAACAGTCATTACAAAACGTATTTTGATCAGTACTGCTATGACTTGTTTTCTAGGGACAGCAGCGACCTTATTATAACCCAGATAATGGACATGTCATGATGCAACTACCTGGAGGTGTTCCTGTGCTCATTCCAATGCAAGCATCGGGCCTTCAGCACAGGCTTCCCACCAAACGATGGTGCTAGTGCTTTCTTCTGATGCCTTATCGGGTTCGATCAAATTGATGAAGAAGCCTCTATTGAAGGGGTGAACAATACCCTACCTGATGCAATGTTGACAGGCACAGATTTCTTACACTCACGGGTTCCTGCAGTACCTTGTCCGTCGTTCGAGCTTGGACGCCGTGCACCATTTCAAACTTTTAACGAACTATTTGGTCTGCTACAAGATCAGGAGCAGGTTGGATGGTTGGCTGTAGAGCTAAAGTTTGGCCCGGTGCTGAACTACTGCTTATTTTCTCCGAAAAAAAATCAAGAGGCTTGACCAAGAAAAAATAAAATCAAGCCGTGCAAGGCATGACGGGCTTTGCTCACCAAAAAAAATTATGCAAATTAGGCTAAGGGTAGATTGAATCTACCCATGGCTTATGATTAACTGAAACGGGAGATCACAATTCGCGCCTTCATACGACTGAGGTGTTACTTTGGAATCCTCGGTAATTACTTTTTTCGCACTTGCCGGCATCCAAAAACACCCGGCGTGGGAATCACGAGACGTGTAAATAAGACATTTCTTGACATAATAAAAAGGTTTTCCAGATACGGACACGCATTTGTTGGCTTTACTCGCGTGGAGACACACGTCAACAGTTACTTCTCACGCGAAATAGTATTCAAGGCATGGCTCTACTGTAAAAAAAACCCGCTCTTTATTGATCGCACAACCATAATTATAGCAGGCGATAGCAAGAGAAATAACTATCACTCGAATGGGATAATCGAAGATCAAGAACCAAACCTTAACGAGAGCGGGGTTTATATCTGTTACTAAAGAGAAATTGAAAATGAAACATAAACCCTTTGCCGACTCACAAAATATTACGAGAAGCTGAGGTTTACCACCCGAGAAACATTTTAATGACGGCCTAAATCTATTCTTACGGGAGGAATGAAATTATTTGCAATTATGTCGATCGAACAGTATACTATCTTCTTTCTATTACTGTGTAGTCGGCTGGAACATTACACAAAACGGCGTCAGCAACGAGGTTCGATGTGATAAATTAAGTACATTTACTTACCTGTGATAAATTAATGTTTACTCAATGAGAATGATTTAATCCCAGAGAAACTACGATTCCCGAAACAGGAACATTTGGAATTCTTGGACATCAGTAACTACAACTGACTTATAACCCCATAACAGCTTCATTTTAATAGCGACTTGATTCTATAATAATAAACCGTGAGATCTAACGCAAAGCTCACAGGGCACGGCGAAGGGAAGGTAACCAGAGGGTTTGAAGTAATCTCGGGAAGTTAACCCTAAGATTCTATTTTGCTAAAGTAATGCTTTGATTTATTTAACGTACGATAATTGACTCGGTTGTGTTTTACAAACACATTTTTTTGCAACCCAAGCTTCTTAATTAAGCCAGAGAGAAGGAATTTTTTGTCGTCGATTTTCATTGACAAAATCATTTGTAAGAACTAATAGACATGTGAGTGTTATAACTTTTCATTTGACGTTTTACAGTACGGATAGCTCGGTAACAAGCGACAAGATAATTTCATTTTTACATACATATATTAGCATCGTTTGAATTTAACGAATAACACTAATAATAAAAACGTTTTGATGGTGTTATCATGATTTTGGTTAAAACAATTTTGTCACATTGTGTCGCTGAAAGTTTATCTCATTACCCAAGCAATAATTGTAATAAAGTAAATTCTATGTGAATTTCTGAAAGAAAACTAAAGCAAATCAGTGTACACTCCATCACCTTCTGCAAATTATAGCCCTGTGTCAAAGAAAAATAGTTTTAAATCACTCAATAATGATGTTGATAATAATAGCAATAAACAATAATAATAATAATAATCCGAAACAGAACCAGTTAGTACAAAATGAAAATGATGAAAATTAGGTCCTGTCATCAGATAACAACAGTCCTCAAGTGAACTGACTACCCAAGAGAAACAGAACCAGTTAGTACAGAATGAAAATGATGAAAATTAGGTCCTGTCATCAGATAACAACAGCCCATAAAGAACTGACTACCCAAGAGAAACAGAACCAGTTAGTACAAAATGAAAAGTGTGATGAAAATTAGGTTCTGCCATCAGATAACAACAGCCCATAAATGAGCTGACTACCCAAGAGAAACAGAACCAGTTAGTACAAAATGAAAACTGTGATGAAAATTAGGTTCTGTCATCAGATAACAACAGTCCACAAATGAACTGACTACCCAAGAGAAACAGAACCAGTTAGTACAAAATGAAAATGATGAAAATTAGGTCCTGTCATCAGATAACAACAGCCCATAAATGAACTGACTACCCAAGAGAAACAGAACCAGTTAGTACAAAATGAAAATGATGAAAATTAGGTCCTGTCATCAGATAACAACAGCCCATAAATGAACTGACTACCCAAGAGAAACAGAACCAGTTAGTACAAAATGAAAACTGTGATGAAAATTAGGTCCTGTCATCAGATAACAACAGCCCATAAATGAACTGACTACCCAAGAGAAACAGAACCAGTTAGTACAAAATGAAAACTGTGATGAAAATTAGGTTCTGTCATCAGATAAAAACAGTCCACAAATGAACTGACTACCCAAGAGAAACAGAACCAGTTAGTACAAAATGAAAATGATGAAAATTAGGTCCTGTCATCAGATAACAACAGCCCATAAATGAACTGACTACCCAAGAGAAACAGAACCAGTTAGTACAAAATGAAAACTGTGATGAAAATTAGGTCTTGTCATTAGACTACCCAAGAGAAACAGTACCAGTTAGTTTAAAATAATAATGATAAAAATTAGGTTTTGTCATCAGATAACAACAGCCGATAAATGAACTGACTACCCAAGAGAAACAAAACCAGTTAGTACAAAATAAGCATGATAAAAATTAGATTTTGCCATTAGATAACAAAAGCCCATAAATAAACTGACTACCGAAGAGAAACAGAATAATAAAGCTAAATGATTTCTTTAAATTGAAGTGACCAGAAAACAGAAATACCTCACTGTTTTGGGAATAATTTGACTAAAAACAAACTTACCTCAAGTCTAATATCACTAATATGTAACTTGTGTCCGTAACAGAATTTACAAGGCCATCCGGTGGAATGATATTCTGGCGAAGAACATCAGTGATCAAACGAACGTGGAAGCGACGTACACAGTAGCTGGCATCATGTTGAATTCCACTTCGGCATAGGCCGATTTGGCGGGTTCAAGTTCCCGCGTTGCCACGTCTTTCGTCAGGAAATCTCCTAAATACTTCATTTTTGGAGAAACCCGTCGGCCGGACTCCACATATTTCTTTTTTGAGTGCATGCCAATGCTTTTGCGGGTTGTAACCCTCGACAGACTCGAAATGGGAAACGAAGACTCATACCGCCGACGGTCGCCTTCACTTCAAATGGTTTCGAAATCAAAACCACAGCGCTTTTGAACTTTGAAAGTCTAAGGTAGAATATTAATTAATTAGTAAGAATTTAACTCGGTCACATCGCATGATCGCTGCCTGACCCTCAAAAACAAAAAAAATCGTACATGTACGCTGCCGTCCATTCATTTGAGCGGCACTGGAAACAAGTTTTTGCGGCGCTTTGTCACACATTTCCACATGAAATACCGGTCGCTCCTTCAAAAATTTTATCAAAGTGACAAAGGAAATATAAAATGCTTTAACGTAATGTCTTTTAAGCCTGGCGTGCCCTGTCCAAATCACCGGCAGTCCGATCTGGATTTGTTTATCATGTAAATTACTTTCTACGGGTAGATGACGCGAGCTTTTATTTTTAAGATACATTTCGAATGATCAAAATCTTGTTCATTTTAAACAGAAAGGTCACGCCGCAATAAAACGGTTGCGTGGGATGCTGGCTCCCCGCCTTGCCTCGCGCTTAAATGACGCGTCTCTCGCGGATACTCGGTGTCTGGTTTACTTATTATGTTCCGGTCTTAATTAATTTTATGACACCAAGCAAACACCTTTCTATCGCGTACCAGGGCATCAATTTCCGGCGCCTGCTGAGATTTTTTTTCTTGAGCAAAGCTTCTCATGATAACTGTGAAGGAGTTAAAACGAGGTTTAATACCTAAGAGATTGACATAATAAATTAGGAAATGTCGAGCTCTAACACAGTGTACTTATGGTAAGACTTGCACTAGTTATTTTGGCGGAACACATAAACAGCCATAGAAGTGTGTATTAACGTGCATCTAACATATAAGCTTATAATTTTGTTTGAGTTTGAGTTTGAGTTTATTACTAGCAGATTAAATCGAAGAAGGAAGCTTACCCTGTCCACCAGCTTGTTTAGAACTGGTTGTAACTGCATAATAACTATATAATGACACAGGAAACGCTACATTTCAAACATTCCGGGATGAAGATATTCGGAATGACGAAGGTCGAGGCTGATATTACTTACAGAGAACTTGATTATTTCGGATATTACAAATATGTCAAATCGAGCAAAATCATGATCCAATTAAGTCAGTTTGTTGATTGATTAACAAAGGTTTGCGCATTTCAAGTTCAAAGAAAGAATAGGCCAACGTCGATGACAGCAATGAATGACCCTGATAGCTTGATTTTGAGACGCCCAAGGTCGATCGTGGGCCGTTCGCTTCTCTCTGTCTCCCATCGGGAGAAGGAGAGAAGCGAGGGGGCGCGATCGACCTCGGATGTCTGCCGATAATCGGGCTATGACTCTGAACAAGGATTCCGACATCGACTATGAAATAGTGATAGGGATCTCTAGACGGCCTAGACGTACCAATGGAAGGACTACATATTTGTTATTTATAACCTCCATTGATATTTTCCTGAAAGTACGTTAGTTTTGTTGAACTTGCTACAGTTATGAGAAGCTATGAGAATAAACGCCTCCTATATATTAAACGCCCTCTCTTGGACTCCTAAGGGACGGACCATTAGAAAAGTTATTGGGGGGGGGGGGGGATTTTCGAGCCGCAGGAATTTTTTTTCGTTATCAAATTCCTTGTATGAATTTTTTTAGGCCATAGCATGAATATTTTTTAGGACTAATTGGCGTGCATGAATTTTTTTTTTCATTTAATTTTCCCTTGCGCGAATATTTTTTTTGTACTTTGCCCGCCCACCCGTCCCTCCCATAAGTTTTCTAATGGTCCGTCCCTAAATTCAATTAACGCCCCTTTGTGCGTGAAACCTAGCTTCAGTCAGATAACTAACTTGTTATCTGTACGTTACGATAAAATGCTCACGTGAAAATGAGTTGCCCTGTATTAACAAAGACACTATACCTTTACCAGCCTTTCACCTTTCGATAACTTTGGGCATTGAAGTGCCTCTTGAAAGCCCACTTGAGTTGGACTAAGTTAAAAGGAGATCGGCTTTAGAGTTTACTGTCTTTACCCTTTGAATGGAATGTGGGAAATTAATACTTAGTCTACAGGTCATATCAAGTTTAAAGTATACCAGCCGACACTTAACAGCGACGAAGGGACAACACTACGACACGAAGTTCTCCGTGGTTGAGTAGAATTATTCACAGCCCGAGACACATCAGTAAGGTTCTTACTTTTACGAGTTGAATTTCATCATGCCAGTAGGATCATGCAAGATATTTTGCCTGTCTCTTGCGCATATTATGTTGGGGGCTTTCATGATGGTATGTGGCGCTGTTCAAGTTATTCTTCAAATGAAATATCTGTGGCTGGACTCTTTGTACGCTGGTATCTGGGTCGGGATATGGGTAAGGTATTGTGAATCTAGTCGCAGCATCTACACGATCTCATCTTCTCAAATTTAGGGTGAAATTAAGAAAATCCCCACTGAGATAATCGAGTTTTGACATACAGCCTTAACTCTCATACATGTGCTTAAGTAATTGATCATAAGTTTTGCGTATTTATCAGTCCGAATTTATTTAAGAATTATTATCCCAGCTTGATTTATAAGATCAATCAAGATCTGTTCTTACAAACGTGTTGTGGAAGTAAAGAACGCCAAACAGCTTTCTTTATATACAGAAAGAACTTTACAACCACCGCGAAAAGTATGAATGAAACCCGGAAGTAAAATGACCGCCATTGCAAACACCAAAAAGCTAAGCTAGTAATTGAGTCGGGTAGACTGTATTAAATTCTGCAAGCAGAATACTGTAATGCTGATAGTACTACGTGATCCTACGTTCGGCATATTCGTTTGCGGTCCTTTGCAGTCCTTTGTGGTTAATGTTTGTACTTTACATGGTGTATTTTGGGGCCGTAGATCTTTTATAGATCCGATATGCTGTAATTTTTGCAAGGTTCTGTCCATGTTTTTGACGTTGGTTTTAGCCAATCCTTTATTTTCTTTGCGAGACATCAACTTCACACTTGGACTCTTGCCCGCCAGGAGACACGTGGTATGGCGTGATTCTGTGGGTGTTGAGGGTTCTAGGTTAGGGCTTAAATCTGAGTGCGCGGATATTTTTCATCAGAGCTTACCTGGTTGTTACGCTACACTGACGAGCCCCAAAAAGGCCGAAACTGCTGTCTATGGCTACAATCCCGCTCTGTTTGAGTTCTTTCGGTGTCGTGTTGATGCCTTGCAAAGTTAATTTTCACATAGTACGATCAGTATTGCAGTATTCTGCTTGCAGAATTTAATATGTCCTCTTCTTATTTTTGCTGATCAGGTCTTTATATATCCTACGTTCGGCATGTTCGTTTGCGGTCCTTTGCAGTCCTTTGTGGTTAATGTTTGTACTCAATTCCAAACTGTTTTGTACCAAAGAGACTGTAACTCCGATTTTGCCCTAATTGGACACGACAACGTGATGTTTTACACAATGAAAATACAAGGAGCTTGCGCACTAACAGTGGTTGAAAACTCTACCTTTTGAAAAAGAGACGAACTGTTTCCAGCAACTGATCGCTAACATAATTCTGATTTCTTTAAAAACAGAGCCCGAGTGATAAGATAAGTATATTAACAAAAAAGCTCCGTAAAACTATGGAAAATTCCCATGCCACTTATTAGCTATATTTGGCCTCAAGCAAACGTATCTGCTTCTTGATTTTTTTTGTCCTTGAAATACCGTTCACAGTATGTGTTAACTGTAAGATACATGTGATTATCACACCGAGGGCAGGAATACAAAGTTCAGTATAAATTCATATAGATGTTATTTTATTCTTCAGTGCATAGTTTATAGCGGGGCTCCCACGCGCGAAGCGCGCGTGGGACAGAGCCCCATACCCATAGATTATGGTCAACCTCTTTTCCTTTGGTTGTCAAGTGATTGACCGAGCGTACGCGTCTACGGATTGTACGGGTGGGGTAGGGGAGACTATCAAAAGGAAGGGAGGGGTGTCTCAGGCGTGTCTTGCCAAGTCCACATCTTTTACATTGGACATTCACAATATGGTCAATTGACAGCTGTCAAAACAGGATAGCCACTGACCAGTATCCCATGACCATATCGCGGGCTCATGTGTCAACTCATTGAGGTGACGTGATTTATTTGGAAGCTGTCCGCTGACCAGTTAATTATTTTACTAGATCGCGATCAATGTTCAGTCTCATACTTTCTAGCTAGTTTGGGATCGGAGCACAGGAAAACTGATACACGTCAATGTTGTGATCCATTGACAGCTGTCAAAACAAGGTATCCGCTGACCAGTATCACTTGACTGTATCGCGGGCTCAGGTGTCGACCCATCGAGGTCAGGTATTTTTTTGAAGTTATCCGCTGACAAGTTACTAGTTTTCAAGTGATCGCAGGCTCAAGTTTAATTTTCTTTAAAATTCATATGAAATATGTTGTGTTTATGCCGCACAATTAAAATTTTGATTTCAAACTGACCTCGGACGCGAAAATTCAGCCAGCTGCTACAGGCAGGGAAGACAGTTGCTTTTGACTTTTCTTGCCATGTTCACGCGTTGGTCACGCTCTACGTCCAATTTTTATGCTCTGATTGGTAAAAATGTGACAGGTGAGTTCATGCGGAAAATTTATGCAGCATCTTGAATCTTGTTTACTTTGACAGCTGAAGCTGACAGAGTTTTGTGTCAACTTGTGATGTTTTTAACTTTCTTTTTCCACTGGATGTACAAAATGAAATTCAGCTGCTATCAGGAGTCTTCTGTTATTCATGGCTAGTTTGTTTATTGGGTTTTTGGTTGAGTCAAAGTCGGAAATCCGATTTCGGATGGCATCGTTTTCGTTTTTATCTTGCTTAATGCGTAAGAGGGTTGCAAAGTCTGAAGCGATACTGGCCTTACTTGATACCTTTCAGGAGCCGCATCTCGAGTGGTAAGCCTAAGTAATTATTGTATTTGATGTTTCTTTTTTAATTCCTAATTTAATGAAGTCGAGCGTAGTTTATGCGATTATTTTGTTTACGCACGTTTGTAAGATTTGAGACAATGATCTGACCGAGTATCAGGTTTGTTATAAGCTTACAGATCTTTAAAAAGCCTTTAGACATTTTCTCACCGCAAATAGAAGAAAACGTTTCAAAGAATATTTAGTTATAATTCTGTCTGTAAAAGAAAGGTTTGAGCGATTTTCTTGCCTCGAGTTCGTCTTTGAAAAAAGCAAACACCGGGAAGCCGGCTTAAAACATAAACTTCAGCTTTAAGCTCGAAGACTCAGGATTTTTAGAGACACTTTAATACTTGTCTTCCTGAATGAAATTTGTCGTCTCTGTATATGTTTCACCGAATTATATTTCTTTTATTGATTGTGAGTACTCTCTCTTGTAATTTTAATCGGCGCGTTGTGCCTATTGTTTTCAGTCGTTCAGCAGACAACGCTTCCCGGAGTACTCAAAATGCCGCGCGTTAAACCGTTTTAAAATAAAAAATACACCGTATTCACAAATGGCGGACACGCGGGAAAAAACTGGTGCCTAGTCATGAAAGCGAGGCGTTGGAGGATAAACAAAAATTGCAAATGAAGACTTTCAGAGAACTTGCAGAGTGTTTAGCACGGATTCCAACTAAAATAACTTTCTACGGACTTCTTTTTAAATACAATTACGTGGGATGTCTTCTGCTTTTAATGTTTAGTAGCAATTTGCTGTTTGCAATCAAAAGGGACGCGTATATCTTCAAGGAAACAGGATGATTTTGTAGGTTTCCAAAGCATCAGAAGCTCGACAAGTGGACGATGGCTGGAGAAAAGAGGCAAACTTCACACTGAAACCGAATACGAAAGCCAGCTCACTGCAATTCGGTGAAACAGAAATATGAACAAGTCTTGGTGGCAAGAAAAAAAGAAATGAGCGACAGATATATGGCCTACTTGCAACTGTTAACGCAAGAGACGTCTGCCGTTGAACAAAACAGTTCAAGTAGAGATGGAAGAAAGGAAGACAGGAAAGAAGAGGTGACTGAGGTTCCGATGAAGTTATGTTTGGTTTTTGTTTGCCAGGAAGTTATTCTCTGGTCTTTATCAATGAAGGACATCAATTAGAACTATTGTTTAGGTATAAATGCAGGAGCGATCGAGAGGAGTACGCTCAAAATTTCAACTTGTTACTCGGCAGACTCGGTAAGCCGGCCACATATCATTTCAGCGAGTAATTTCGTATTTCTTACCTTTGGCTGTTAAGAGTTTTAACTTTATGTTCCATAATATTTTAAAGTTGAAGAATACAAAAATAAAAAAATGATGGTCTTCTTAAACTGATCCAGACCCGAATTCAATTATTCGAAACCGAAGCTTGCCGTGTGCAGTCCTGACAAAAACATTTCCTTGAAATTTTAACCTAGTAAAATGTAAGCTTTATACCACTTTTTTTACCAAGAGCTCTCTGAGATAATGCCCTAAAAAAGACCAGGCAAATAGCAAGCCATAAGATTCACACACTACAGCTTCTAATTTTGATAAAATTACTTTTAATTATTTCGCAATGACAAAGAAATCATGAGATTTTTGCTAAGCTCTGCCAACGTACCTCTAACAATTCACTCCAAAGCGACGGAATTAATTTGATCCAATACAGAATTGTAGTGATCTGGCTTTCATATTCGGTTTCAGTGTGAGGTTTGGGCCAACATGTTTGCCGCTTTTCTCCAGCCATCGCCTACTCTTCGAGCTTCTGATGCTTCGGAAACCTAGAAAATCATCCCGTTTCCTTGAAGATATACGCGTCCCTTTTGATTGCAAACAGCAAATCGCTACTAAACATTAAAAGCAGAAGACATCCCACTTAATTGTATTTAAAAAGAAGTCCGTACAAAGTTATTTTAGGTGGAATCCGTGCTAAACACTCTGCAAGTTCACTGAAAGTCTTCATTTGCAATTTTTGTTTATCCTCCAACGCCTCGCTTTCATGACTAGGCACCAGTTTTTTCCCGCGTGTCCGCCATTTGTGAATACGGTATATAAACATAATAAATTCTTCATTATGTTGGAGCGTAACTCTGTTAATGTTCATTCAAACACTCGCCACTGCTAGCACTGTAGAAGTCAGAACCGGCTGGCCGTATAGATGATTTTCAAAATTTTTTCATCGGTTTACGGCTAAAGCCCACGAGTGCTTCGATCGTCCTGAATAGCAATTTGTATCGCAATATTGTGAAATACTGCATTCTGTTGTCCGTGGTCTGTATGATAAAAACAGTGCCTCATAGTACTGTTTCACCTCAGATGTGACGTATAAATGTTATAAAAGGTTGGTTTACACTCACCCAGATTTGTTGGCAAGATTTTGTAAAATAAACTTGTCGAACGCAAAAAATTCGGCCGGAATTTTTTTTCCAGGCCTAATTAATCTACGGTGATCAAGAGCCATTATGGCTCTTAATAAATGTGATCGAAGATGATTGTCAGTTTTTGGGTGTACTTATGAGGCTATCAACTCGATGTGAGATTTGGTTCACTCTTGGGCTGTTTGCAAATTATTTTTTGTAAAATCACTTAGCCTTTCCCTGAAAAGTCACACGAATGTGCTCTAAAGTTAACTGAATTGTGGAATACAAGTTTATTGTTTGATTTAAATTATAAATTTATTAATGGGAGCCTCGCTTTTAGCCCTGGGTAAATCTATATATTATGTTGATTCAATTTATTGGGCCTGACGATTTCATATAAAATACCCGGTTTATAGTGACAAACATGACTTAACACCCGACAAAGTTTTATTTGCGGAGCATTCCCGCTGTACGTATTTTGCATTTTCATAACCACAATTTATGCACATAAGAAACCTTTATGTGACTTATGTATTATCAGACCGAGACGAATTTACAGTGATTAGAAAAAAGACTGAGACAGGAGGAAATATTCTTTTAAGAAACAAACTGCTTAAAATAATAATAATAATAATAATAATAATAATAATAATGATATTATTATTATTATTATTATTATTATTATTACTTGATCAACGAAATGAGTAGAAATTACAGATGTGTGAGATTTGCAAATCTCTCCGTGAGTTCCCTTGGCGTTTTCTCCGATGAATGCTCCACGTTCCTAGACATGATGAGTGACATTGGCATTGACAAAAAGCAGCAACTTTATATAATAAAGAAAATGATAAATATAGCCATTAGAGCAACATATTATATCTTTTGTTGTAGAAATAGGAACTGGGATAGCCCAGACTTAATGCAATTTTGATTTCTTTTTCTTTTTTTTTTTGGCTTTTGTTTTGTTTTGTTTTTGTTTTTGTTTTTGTTCTTTTGTTTTGTTTTTTTCTTTTTAATAATCCAATCTAAAGCAGCATTTGTAAATTGCCTATACGTAGCGAGATTTACAATTATTGTGCATTCAAAAACACAAATAAAGTTTCCATTATTATTATTATTACTATTATTATTATTTTTATTTATGTATCTATTTATTCATTTATTCATTTTGATCTCGATTTCTTGCAGATGATTTTCACAGGAATCATGGGCATTATTGCCAACTCCGAGAATATTTTGTATGTAAGTAATCTTAACTCACGGAACTTACATTCCTTTTTACGAAACTTTTTTTTTATGGCCTAAGTATATTGATTGATTGATTGATTGATTGATTGATCAGATTACCACCAAAAGTGGCAGGGCAGCAAATAAAGAGCCAAGGGGCTTATTACGTATTTTATTCAGGCTACCATTTACAAACAAATTCAAAGCTTTTTAAGTATACATAAATGACAAAGAAGAAGCTAAGTAAAGGTAATAAGTCAATAATAAGGTTAAGAGGTATAATTATCAATCAACAATATCAAGAGCCATCATGACTCTTGACATATCGAATTAATTTAGGATCTAATTGTTGATTCAAATTGTCCTGAGGAAAAAAATATTCCAGTTAATAGTCTAAAAATTTATTCTAATGATTAAAATTAAGCAGGAACAGAGGAAAAGAAAAAAAAACTAGGCTATACAAGAAATTATTAATCAACAATTAATGGAAATGATTTAGCTTGTTGAACTAAAAATCTATGTAAGTTCTTTTTAAAGACATTTTTGAAGATTCGTCTTTGAGTCAGCAGCAGGGAGGGTTATTCCAAAACTTTGGGCCTTGATATGCTATGGCACATTTCCTCAAATTGGTTCTAGAAAATTGAGATCTGTCAACTCAAGGCATTTCGAGGGGGGCGTAAGGGTTTGCGGTGATGCGGTTTTGCTCGATTTTTGGTGCGGTTTTGTGGAAAGTTTTATTTTAAGTTGCGGTAACTGGCAGTTGTACAAAACCAAGCGGTTTGCAGTATTAAGAAATTTTCCGGTAATTTCATTGCGGTTTGCGGTTTTTTGGTTATTCTGTACGGTTTTGCGGTATTCGTACCCCCATTACCCCCCTTCCCTCACCCCCTCCATTTCTAGTATTATAAGAATGAAGTTGAGAACTAGACAAGAACATATCATGGAAGCCTACTGGAAGTAACTTATTTTTGAAAGAAAACATGAACAAGCCGAGCGTTAGCATATTTATACTACTACATGAGCCATTTCTGCAATTTGATTGGCAGAGAGCAGTGGTATTTCAGCTTAATTTGAAATACCTACATATGAAAATTACAAACCTTTTGTGGGTAGTAGTATAAACAAATAATAGCATGATTTGTGCGTGATATTTGGCATAAATACCACTTGTGATATTTCAGAATTGTCTCAAATTTCACTCGCCTAACGGCTCGTGAAATTACGTATGACAATTTCGAAATATCACTCGTGGTATTAAAGCCAAATATCACTACGAATCATGTTATTACCTATACAAATATTGGTCATATTAAGAATTTCATGCTCATGGAATAATGGAGCACTGGAGGGCATCAAAACAGGACTTAGTGATTACTCTTATGATACGTTTTTGAAACACAACAAGTCTATTCAAGATAGGTAAATAGACCCCCAAACAATTGTTCCATATTGAAGGTAAGGATAGAAAAAATATAAGGTACACAACGATGGCATAGAAAGGTATATGTAGAATCTGGCTTTTGTTATGAATAGATCTATAGACCTTATTTGCAATTAAGTTAACACGTTCTTTCCAATTTAAATTTTCATCGACATAAACACCTAGAAATTTAGTGTGTCTTACGTTCAGTAGTTTCGTTGTTTATTCTATTTTTACCCACACGAGGCAAGAGAGAAGGAAGGGATTTTCCACAGAGTAATAAGTAAAAGTCAAACTGTTTTAGCCATTCACTCCCGTTTCCATGAATGCACATTTCTTGCAGTTTTATTTACAAAGAAGAATCGGCGTTGCCTCCACCCCGAAGGTTCAAAAAGCCCTTGTAAGTACCTGAATTGCACCTTCGCGAGGCTGGCTAAGGTCGCAGTCATATAAGATTTAGAAGAGACCATAGCATAGGGATTTCAAAGCCCCATGCAAAGTGCAAACGGACGCAACATTGTTGACGTCACACTGGTTGAGTCGGTTTGCACACCCTGTCGCATGTTGGTGCGTGTTGTTGAGAGTTGTTGCGTAAAGTTTGAAACCAGTCAAAGTTTTGACTTCCGTGATCACTGAAGCGTAGCGCAACAATATTGGATCCGTTTGCACAACTCTTCCAACATTGTTGGGGCCACGCACGCGCATTACACATGGCAAATTGGTCATCAAAGTCCTGTGGGTTGTATCCTTCCCACGATGCACTGCAGGTGCCAGCATTGTTGGGAGTTGATGCATATGTTTGCACACCACTACCAACACGGACGCAACAACTCCCAACATTGTTGTTGCGTCCATTTGCACTTAGCTCAGGCGGAAACGGACACAACAATGTTGGCCAACAACTACCAACATTGTTGGATGTTACACTGTGTTGCTTCCGTTCGCACACCCTGTTGCATGTTGTTGAGCCAAGTATGAAACCGGTCAAGCTTTTAGCTACGTGCAAACGGACGCTATTAATTTTAAAATCTCAGACTTGGAAGAATCCAAGACTGTCTTGTCACCCCATGTAAAGGAATCCCGGTTCTAGCAAGAATATCCGGTATATTTTTGCTTTTAAAAACTTCAAATGCGTGAAAATTGAGGTTGTGGAATCAAGGGGAATCTTAGGGACTGGTCAAAAAGTTTGCCGGAGCATTTGGAAATGCGGTTGATAAAACACACACGGCCCACCCTCTTCCATCGGTACAAAAATGACTGACCCACCCCAAAAGCAAAGTTGGTTTCCTCTTAATAATCCAATAAATCCTTGTTCTGTGCTTAACAAAATTTGTTGATACACTGCTACAACCAATATCAAAATCACAGAAATCATACCTTTCACTGAAAAGACAAATGTGAAAAACCGAACATTTCTTGTTTCGATGGACGTTATGAGTCTTGACACAAATATACCGCAAAACGAGGGTATTTAACAATTGTTCTTTGAAATCGAGGTGAATAGTGGCTAAATATTTACCTCGCCACTTCGTGGCTCGGTAAATATTCCTAAAGCCACTATTCACCGAGATTGAAAAGAATAATTGTTCTATTAGTATATACACACGAAGTGATCTCAGCAAAATCAGAGGGAAACCATTGAAAGTATGATTTGATTGACAGATCAGAGTCTGGTCAGCTAGACACACGAAAGTTTAAAAATAGATCTTTGAAGAAGCCTTCAGGGTTGAGAATCCTACGAAAAACTCCTCAGAAACAACCTTTGACGAAAATAATTCAAATTTAAAAAAAGCAACAACAACGCTTGATGGACGGAGGCTACCCACAAACTTTGATAGAAAACCTACTCTCAGAAATAAAATTCACAGAAGGGAGTTTAAACTCCTACAACAAAATATCAAGGAGGAAAAAGAAATATTGCCATTCGTGACACAATACTACTCTCAGTGTCTACTATAAAGGAGGCTTCAATGAAAAAATGGAATCTTATACAAAACCAAAAAAGGAAAATCATTAAAGGACATGATCGTTAGAGCCCCAAAAAAAGAAGGTTAAACATAGGGTTTCACGCCCGCATGGATGTGCGGCCTGTCACCCTTTGCATCTTCCTGCACAACGGGTTGGTGAGGATATAGCAATAGTTCCAGCTGGCTGTGTTTTATATAACAAGTGTGATCAACAGTCTCGTGAATAGTTAGTGCCCATCTATGTAATAAAATAGGATGACCCACCCCCTAAGGGTAGCGGAAAATTGCAAGACCCACCGCCTGCACAAGGCTCAAAACCTCATGACCCACCCCCTCTCTGCTCCGCCCCCCATACTTTTTGACGACTCCCTTACAGCTCAAGGAATGCCGAATCTGAATAAAAATTTGAAACCAGAATCCAAGATCTGCTGGCAAAGACTAGAATCCAGTACTTTGAATTTGGAATCCACGGCGAGGAATCCAGAATGCAAGACTGCGTTGGATTCCCTTCCATGGGGCGAGTCGTAGATTACCATACCTCCTCCCGGGGGAGGGTACTCCCCTATAAAAGCCATATATGTTTTTTGCCGCCCCAAAGGATAGGGTTTTTGGGCCGTTTTTGTCTGAAAAGAGGTAATGAATTTGCCCATTTTGGTCTGGAATCGGGTATATAGTTTTCGAGGGAAGTAGGGGTTTGTACTGGAACGTATTCATTGTTTAAATCCCAGATGAGGTACAAAGAAAGAAAAGTATGCGAATTCGAAATGGATTTTAAGAAATCTCTTTTGTTACTGTTTAATCTAAGTAATTAATTTTATGAAATAATTTCTTAAAGGCCAGGTCTGAAAACGGGTGTGAAAAATGATATTTTTTGGTCTGAAATAGGGTCAGGATTTGGAAGAACCGGGCGGCACACCCCCACCAATATTTCCCACAAGTACTCCCCCCACCCCGGGCCATACCTGTAGCGATGTCTGTTCTTTTCCTCTTGGTGTATACCGCTATTGTAAGTACTCTGAGTACTAAACGGCTACTTTTTTTAAATTCAGGCCATTGCCACCTTGTTATTTTGTGCCATCTCCACTTTGCTGAGTTTGGCAATCATCGGCTGTTACGCCTACACCGCCGCGGTTTTTTGGAAAGTTTATTTGAGTCATCGTCACTACCTGGTGATCGCTTGTTTCACATGTCTTTTCGCCATTGCTGAGACCATCATAGGGGCTTGTGCAACCATATATATATACGAACCAGAGCAGGTAAGAAACTAGTTCATGGAGATGACAATTTTTTGCCATCTTTAATTGACTCGATTAAATACATTAAACACCGCCCTTGATTAAACGCTACAGATAGCAGCAGCATTCTAGCCTGCAGGGATCATTTAGTCAATACCCCAGTCACAGCTTAAACATTGCTGGCTCGATTTTCCAACAATTTAAATCCCACGGCATTTGTAAACACAAATAGACCTTTTTACCTATACGGCAGCCATATTGAATTAATTCGATTTGAGGAGTATTATAGGATGCCCAGGGGGCATGAGCACATTTCGTTTGTATTTTCGAGCGCTTTTCGGAACATTTTTTCTTAAAGCTTTCTTAGAATAAGATTGTAATGGTAAAAAAAAACCTTGTGCCGTGTTTGGATGTAATAATGATCACCTTTTCCTAGTTTAGTATTAGCAATGTGGTCTTTCACTGTTTATTTCTCGAGAAAAAGGCGATCAATATTGCATTGAAACACAGCACAAGGATCTTTTTCCCCATTACAATCTTATTCTAAGAAAACGTTACAGTCAAACCAAGTCAAGCGTACCCCCCAAGATTCTATTAATGAATTCATTATTTGAAAAATGAATCCGTTAGTCGTTCCCGTAACTGGTGTCAAATTCAAAGCGGTATTTCTGCATGCGTAATGAGCACTGAATATTTTACGAGAACTTCTCTGTATTTGGTCAGATTGGAAATCTTTGAATGGATTAAGCTTCTTAGAAGACATTTACATCAATTCCAGGAAAATGGAGCTGGTAGAAATTTCATAACTGCCTCGCGCGTGAATTCACGACTCATTACACATGCAAGAATGCAGAGATCAATCTGAAATCTACAACTAGCAACGGATTCAACTTTTGAATATTAAATTCATTAATGGATTCTTGGGGGGTACGCTTGACCTGGTTTGACTGTAAGGAAAAATGTCCCGAAAAGCGCTCGAAAATACAAACGAACTGTGCTCATGCCCCTTAGGCATCCTATAATACCCCTTAAATCGAATTAATTCAATATGGCCGCCGTATCGGTAAAAAGGTCTATTTCACTCTTTTTATTATACATGTAAAAGCCCCCTGCATGCAAAACCATTTGAAAACAATCCAAGGAGATTAGTAAAATATTCTCACTGCATACCTATTACCCCGTCACGGGGAACTAAGTTCTGGAAAGATACCGCGACTGCCAGGGCAATAGGCATGCCGGGAACAGCGGATGTGCAGCTGAACCGCCACCAGGGGAGGTGGGAGGGGCGAAACGCAAATACGTATACCACTTTGACCGAAATCCGTAGAACTGACGAAGAAAGCACTGAAACCGCACTATTTGAAGCGAGGGCCGCAAGGCATCAAGCCCACCAGCGCGCAAGCCTACCACGAAATAATTTAATGGAAATAATCATTCACGTATGCAATAAGAAATATTGCCGGAATTTTAAAGTGCCTTTCCCAAAACTAGCAGTAAAAAACAATAAACAACTTGATCTTCTAAAAAAATGTATCCCTGTCTCTTACTTTATCTTTTACGAAAAACAGGCAAACAGCGTTGCTCCATTGGATGAAACAGGTCAGGTCAGAGATGATGTGCAAGCACAGGACATCCAAGCCCCGAAGGTCAAGGAGGAGGCTTGGACGTCGGGCGTGTGACTTTGCACACGTTGGTCATGTAGCCTACGCTTATACCCTATTATGCTAGTTCTACTTTTTTTTTTTCATTTATAGTTCACCTTTTTAGTGTTTTTGGTAAAAATATTTTAAATTTCGAGTTTATTTCTTTAGGTGGACATTTTCTAAGAATCGCATAGTTTGAAAGCCTGTTTGGTTGAAAAAAAGTAATCTTCAATGAAGGAATGGCAAAAAGTTAATGTCACATTCAGGGATTTTAGCAGGGATCATTTGTAAGCGGTCTCGAGATCATTCGCGGCGTTGTGCAGACTCCCACTCCTTTTCATAAAGAAGCCTACATGATAACTCGGAAATGGCCAATCGAAATTTGGGAATGTACCTATTTGTGAAAAGGGTTGGGAAAACTGAAGTACCCAAGAATAAAACTTTCAGAGCAAAGGAGAAAATCTACAACAAAATTAACCACATGTGGCGTCGCTTCTGTAATTTGATACCGGGCCATAATAATTCCAGGGCAGTGCTCGCGTCACTGCGCGAACTCTCAGACTTTGAACGAAGTGGCGTAAAAGTCATTCTACATATATATTTTGTTGAGTTGGTAAAATGGTTTAGATACAACTACAACTTTTGTAAGAGAGTAAAATAAATAATAAGGCTTTTATATAGGGATAACCTCTAGATATCACCTTTCGAGAGACATTTTGTTTTGTTTTCTATCTCTTGAATAAAGTTTAATAATGTAAAACGAGTCATGTTTGTCTCAAATACGTATCCTGTTTAAGTTTGTTTGGAAAGGCAGCTTCAAAGTAGTCTAATGAGATCGCTTACGGGAGAAGATGGTTTCACTTGGTCGTAGGCGGTCAAGGTGATCACTCAACTTTAGAAAGATAAACGTTTAGACCTTCCTTTACCAAAGAGAAGTAATATAAAATAGGGACTCTGAGAGCCTTTGACGTGTATAAACACTTTTAAATGGAAATGATAAGACGAAGACGGGCATAAAATAGCGAGCCGATTATTTACCCCCTCTTTAGTTTCGATTTGCTGGAGACACAAATAGCACACTACCAGGAGCCCACAACCTAGCCTGCGTAGCTGACGGGATTCTTGTGCCCGGGGTGCTTTTTTTGGCGGCGGAACCGCCACGCGAAGCGAGTGGCAGTACGCACTCTTCTCGCAGCTCCGACGCAATGCAAAAACAGCACTCTCCCACGCTAATCCCGCCAGCTACGCAGGCTACCCATAACCCGGAGTCTTCATCTTCCGTATACACCCTAAAATTATGTAGAATGTCAGATCCGGCAGGCATGAACACTTGATTTCGATCAATTTATTTCGCACTGAGCCTTGCTTTGTATAAAAGGCTCACTTCAACGTAGAAATGCCCCCTATTCCGGTTTTTGGGGCTATTACCTCCCTTTAGGGAAGGCGTAGCCACTATGTCATGGTTGTGTGAGTATGTCCGTCAGTATGTAAACTTGCACAGGACACCCACTATATTGGTCCGGTTGAAATTGTGCTTTTGGTGATGCATTTCGAAGAAGTATTTTGCAGAGAAAATAAAAGCGATTTGGACCAGCAGCTTTAAAATAAGAGGAAAAATCGTTGTATAAAAACATTTGTGATATGTCTGCGACGTGCTTCTGCCCCACAGTTCTTTGATCGCACATGACAACCGTGCGGTACGGGGTGCTCTCTTCTAGCTTGGCTTTTTGTTTGTCTTTTAATTCTTTTAGGCCCCGCCAGGTATTGCAAGAGAATCGTGGTATAATAATATTTGTGATGGGTCCGTGGTTTGCTGATCGTGTACCTGACGAGCGTGCGGTACGGGGTTCGAGCCCTAGCAAAGGAATTTTTGTTTTCTAGTTTTCTTTTTTATTCGCGCAGACTAAAGCAGTAGCCTCATGCAGTCACAGACTACCTTTTATGGTTTACGCTCTAAGCTCTTTCACTTCTGAGAGGATCGCAGGCTCATTTTCCTGTACAAGTTAGCCTCGTTTTGGCTCAGTGTGGACTTTCCCGTAGAAACTTTCGCGGTTCGCACACGGAAGTATTCCCGCCTTCGGTTTTCTTCTTTGATGCAGACATGATAGAGAAGGTAAGAAGTTGTTTTCACTGTTGAAATATCTGTACAATTTGTTCTTACCTGATAGTGGTCGCCAATTTAGGTTAATTCAATTAAGCTATATTATTGATATTTTTATTGTCTTTATTTTTCACGCATGTTTGTATTTCAACCTACAGTATTAACAGATTTTTGAAATCAAATAGCGTTTCAATGTTGTTGTCAGTTGGATAGCTGACTCGAGTATCATCAACTTGATGGTTAAAGTGGTCGGGGACTTGATCTTGAAATTTAGGGTTAGCGAACAAGCGCACTTTCCAAGAAAATAACCTTTTAGCAAAGTAGACGTTAAACGCGAACAACGGCGCGGGTTCGTCCTCCATCGTATTGCGTGTCATTTGTCATTCGACAACCAGAGCATTTAGTCTGATTTAGTCTACTGACCCTTCCCGGCAGCCGGGCATACAACCATAGAACATGGTAATGGAGACTAAAATCTGCAATTCGTCCTTCCAAGCACAATGAAGAGCATCCCCGTCACTCTTATATGGAAGCCGATAGGCTATAGTGACCTTTGGATTGGTTTACGAAAGACGATTGAATTTCAGACAAAGCCCTTGTTTTGGAAACAAACTTTTCACGTCAGTCTCAGGGTATACAAGGAGGAGTGAGGATAGACAGAATAATGCTCAGTTTTGAGACTTACGGCTTGAAGTTATCACAAACACGCTGCAAATAGTCAAAATTAACTTGCGTAACAAGTGTTCCGTGCAAGTAACGAGAAACGAGAGTCAAAGACCGCGCGAGAAATGGGGCGAGTAAAATGCTTTGAGATGTTCATTTTCGATATTTCTGGCTAAAGTGGGCTGCGCTCTTGGGATGGGCTCCCCACGCGAGGAAATACCGCGAGTCACCCTAATTTGACTGTCATTTTAAAATGATCCAGGTAATAATTTCAGCAAATATTTCAGTTATCTTTGTTTTCGTATCTCCTAGTGAGAACGCATGTCCATCAGGTAACAGAACGCAATCCACCAGTATGAGATAAACAATGGCAGCCGCCCCTGACCCAGATGAAATACTTTGTTCGACGAGTGGAAAAACAAATTTCCAACGGATTGCAAGACTTTTAATAAGTGGAGGAACAAGCCTACTGAGGGAGATTTTTGACTTCATATGTCCTCCAAGTCATCTTCCTACGATTCTTAGCAATCCAGTGACAAAGAACCAGCTTAAAGGTGCAAAACTGACCAAACCCCAGTGGCACTGTCTTTGTCCCTCCCCAGGGGTGTATGGGAAGTCGGCCGACTTTGATGTCACTTTGCTCTTCCGTTTGTTGAGGACAATATGTAGCCTCGTCCCCCCGGTCACAGGATGGGATGCACTACCGGCCTGTACAGATGCAAGTTTAACAGCTGATATAGCAAGAATAAAGTATTACCGAAACTCAGTCTATGGTCACGTGAACCAGGGCATGTCAATTACAGATGATGAGTTTCAAACACTTTGGCAGGAAATCAGTGAACCTCTCGTGAGGATTGCTGGACAGATAAGTCCTGCTCGGAAAACTACATGGCAAGGAGCCATTACTTAATATTTGACCGATCCTCTCACAGATGAAGATGAAAGAAATCTACAAGAACTAGAGGCATGGTATAAAAGTGATATGGATATCAAGAAATCGATAATGGAAGTGAGTGAACGGGTTGATAATTTGAAGGTAAGATTAAATGCTCCTCACTTTCTCTAGTATTCATTCATTCATTTCACCATGCAAGGTAAATGTCAACAATTGGCCAATTTCTTTATTTTACATTTTTGACCACGTGATAAGTCACGGTATCTTAATTATAAGTTGAGGCACAAGGATACCAAAAGATTTCCATTCGGCTAAATTTCACCCCGCTCTAGGTATCCTAGCGATAGCTATTGCCAATCTTACATTTTTTCCGTACACGCTTTTGACTCAGGCCTTTTACCCGCATCCCCCTTCCCTCCCCTGCCTGGCCCCACAACCCACACCCAACTTCTCTGTTGTTAGGATTTACTGTATATTGTTGGTTCTTAGGCTCTTACAAAAGAGGTCATATTCTGCCCAATTTTTCATGACTGAAACTGTGAACTGATCTGAAAGTGAAGGCTTTGGTGTAGTTTTATCCAGTTGTATGCTTTGTGCTAATATTATGTTGTGACCTGTATCCTGTGTTTGCAGACTGCCGTTCACGAGAAGTCTAAAAATGTCAAAGATCTGAAAAATATCCTCGACTCAGTTCGTGAAGATATCAAGAGAGAAATCAAAGATATGACTCGTACAATACTAAAGGGAATAGTTCACCATGAAGCAAAAGACGTTAGGGACCCACTGGGGGGAAAGAACCACTCGAAGGACAAACACAGTTCCTTAGCTGCCAAACCTCACTTCACGGCGTCTGAGGGTGAGTTGCATACTTTCTACCTAACAAAACTAAGCAAATGAAAAAGGTTCGTGGTTTACTTTTGGCTACGCTGACACGGCACAGGACAAACTGAATTTTCGACTGGTTGAAAATTCGTGCGTTTAGGTGTTGCGTTCACACGGAACCACCTTGCCGCATGAAAATTCAGACGCCTAGCCATTTAAAGTTCCGTGTGAACAGAGCGAAAATATTGAACCGGCCGGTGTGAACGAAGAGACAAGTCAGATTTTTCAGCCGCTCGAAAATTCGTCCTGTGCCGTGTGAACGTACCGTATTTATTCCATTAACCGCCCTGGGCGCTTAATAAATTTTTGCACCTTGAGAGTGGACGCTTATTTTCAGCAAGTGAAGTATGTTTATTTTGCAACAAAACAATAAATGCTAATAACAAAACAAAACACGAAGAAGTAACAAAGCAAGGTTTCTGTAAAATACTCTGAAGAAAACTCCGTCCTCGGGGAAGTCTCTTATTGGAACTTATATTCACTTAAGTGAGTGGGGTGGGGGTGAGCGCTTATTTGAGTTTGATTGGGGGGAGGAGGTGGTGGGCGCTTATTAACTTTTTCTGCCTTAAGGTTGGGCGATTATTCGAGGTGCGCACTAATTCGAGGTTGGGCGCTTATTCGAATAAATACGGTAGTCTCATACAATAAAGTGAATGCTACGCGCGGTGTGATTGGACGTCTAACTATGACCTAATAGGGTAGAGCAGACACACACGGATGGTGAGGTGGATTTCTTCCTTCGTCAGCACTATTGCTTACCTTGATTTGTCATCTACTTGGTCTATTTAACAAATAGATTCAATGTTGCCGTGCGTCTGTCCATCAATATACAGTGGAAGCTCGATATACCGAAGGGCCAAGAGACTGACATCGAGGTTTTGTTGTTTCGGTGTTCTTTTTCATATATTTTACTGTTACTGAGGTAAAGAAAATCGTTCCCTATACCGAGGTCTTGGTTATATAGAGGTTCGTTATATCGAGGTTCCATGCACTGTAGCAAATCACAGATGACGTCAAAATGTGGTAAAATCAAAGAAGTGGCAAAACTGATGGACAACCGGTTGCAGTGGTATGGCAATATCTACACTAAGAAAATAGATAGACCATGCAAAAAGTACGGCGAGAGAGGATGCTATGAGATTCATAAAGTCAATGAGTTCAGCCCAGTACTTAAAATATTTATATCGAACATGCAAACACGTTTATCCAAAAACTGTCAGATATTTAATTTAGAGAGCTTAAGGTGACTCGACCCAGTTTTTTGGGGGGGTACCATCCTACTTTGAAGCTCTCTGGTATCACCACCTTTACTTTTATCGTAAGTCTAACACATAGAATAGAGAGCATATAGATCAATGTACAATATAACATAAAATTTTTGGCGATCGGAGTAAATGTCACGTGGTTATAATGCCCCGCCCCTTTGAGGTCTGAGTCGAAAATCTGCTGTTGCCGGCATTTTTTTGTGAAAATCTCTCGGCTACACATAGTGCGCATTAGTGCCTTGCGCTGAACAGGATTTCACCAAAATCGCAAAGACCCAATTCGAGAAATTCAGCGGTTTCCAAATTTAGGTCATAATTTATGCGAAAATGATAAGCAAACTTTACACGGATTATATCTAATAAACTATGAGATTCATCTCTTTATTTTGGGCATCGTTATAACAGATGGGTCCTTGCAAGTCAGCAAAACGCTTTAGGGCCTTGTAAATGCGCGCGATTTCGAGCAAAGCAAACATATAGTAATTACAGTTTTCGCTATTTGTTGACGTTTGTCAGCATTTAAGAGTCCTTCTCACGAAAAAAGCATTTTCTTAAAAATTCGTAGTTTTTTTTCCTTCACATTTTTTCAGGGCCACGATTGTTTAACTAACTACGCGGACTCTGAATTTCATGGTCATTGAAAAACTGTGACATTATCTTCTATAAGCCCAAACTTGAGTAAACATTGAACATTTTTAGCGTTTTGGCTGAGTTTGTGCTTTGGGAGTTGTCTATTGTTTCTAGACTGTCATTATACAGCATTCTTGTTCAGCACGCGTGCAATGACCGCGCTTGGCTGACTTCCGAATGCTCACCGAGATATTCCCGTCACGAGTTGGTTTAATTATTGGCTTGCATTAAACCTATGAAAAAATGATATTTTTTTAATAGTAAGTAGATTTAGTGTGTAGCACTTCTTGATTTTTTTGCAAAGGCACAAGAAGCACGAGAATTGATTAAAAATTGTGAGTTAAACCTCTATGTATCACGCAATGGCCTGTCTCACTGTACCAAAATTATCAGATCTCGGTGGGCATTCGGAAGTCAGCAGTCAGTCGGATTTTCACCTCAAAGGGGCGTGGCATTATAACCACGTGACATTTACTCCGATCGCCAAAAATTTTATGTTATATTGTACATTGATCTATATGTTATCCATTCTATGTGTTAGACTTACGATAAAAGTAAAGGTGGGGATACCAGAGAGCTTCAAAGTAGGATGGTACCCCCCCCCCCCAAAAAAAAAAAAAAAAAAAAAAAAAAACTGGGTCGAGTCACCTTAAGCAGCGGACGTTCTTGAGGTCACGGACGTCAGGAAGATTGCGTCCGGCAGTCTGGATCGAGAACGGCGTTTGTGGTACTAAAAGCGAAGATTGAGCAATGCCTGGTTTTTGGTCGAATAAGGCGAGTAACGAACGGCTTGTCTGTGTATACTTTCGCTATTGAAAATATCATCACTCAGAGCATTTCGGATTTGAGAAAGATATTTGTCGCTGAAAGGGACTCGTACCTCTTCTTTCGCCCATTCTCAACCCTCTTAAATAAGGCGTGAGTTCACTTGAAGATGATTCGCATGGACGGGAAATCGAGCAAATTTTACGTAAATCTGCGATTTCTCCAAAATTTGCCGAAAATTTGGAGAAATGGCAAATTTTTCTAGAATTTGAAAATTCAAGTGCTCGAGGAGGTAGAAGGGGGCGCAACCAAATAGGTGATTTCTGCGAAAATTTAATTTAAAAAATAGAGAATTTGCAAAATTTGCTAAAATTGGAAAATTCGGATTCGTGAAAAATTGGGGAAACCAGCGGAAGTTTACGGTACCTGATCAATTTTAAAAAATGCCATAGTCTAGTATGTAGATGTATAGTAGAGTCAATGCCCATGAATATTTAAAAAGGACTTTCCATCAACAATAGATTGTGTTAAGTGGGGGAAGGGTGGAAGGGTCTAAGGGTCTGAAAGAAAAACAGGGTCAATGGATTTATAATTAGGAACACTGGCGCCATATGGCCTCAATAAGAATGACGGCTTCTATATTTTTAGAACACGTTCGAGTGAATGCAAAGGATTAAACGGACATCTGCTGAAGAGAATAAGTTCTAGGTCAATTTGACTTTGAGAAAATAGGGCAATCCCGAGTTCCAAAAACCCTCACTTTCAAAGTAACGCCAAGTGCACAACCTTTCTTTTGAAAATGAGTTTTATTTGCGTGAGAATGAAAAATTATTTCCATACCAAAGGCTGAGCACTTTACCTCGTTTTGATACATATAATTTATGCCCCGGGGAACTCGCGGAAATGGCCCATTCTAGCATAAGTTAACGATGGGTTGAATGCAATCCCTTCGCCTATACGCCCAAGCGCTTCATAATACAGGCGAACCTTTCCTTAAGAACACCTTTAAAATAAGTCATCTTTCTATTGCGCACATTCCTTTTCATCCTTCATCCTGATAAAAGTTCACAGAAGTCGCTCGGTTTCTTCCAGAAAACAAGAAACTAGAAGAAAATTCAGATCCGCCAGAGACAACTTCACAAAGAAAACGCGAACAGAAATCGTCAGAATCACAGCAATGGTCATTAACAAAGCCTGCAATGGCTCACGAGGAGCCACCTTCGGCAAAATACACTGGAGGTAAGCAGCTAATAGGAAGTGAAGATACAGCGGTTAGTTTAAGAGACACACACGCTGAAAAAACATTTGGACTACCTTTTGATGAGAAAGTTAGCGGTCAAAGAACCCATGATTTTCAAGTGAGTTCAAGCCGACGCGTGCGTCTTCCTGGCAGTAAGCTTATCTTTGTGAAAACGTTGGCTGGAAGAACGATCACAGTAGAAGTTGAACCAAGTGTTAATGTTCAGAGTGTCAAGGTGAAAACTGAAAGAAAGTTGGGGTTTCCCTTAGACAAACAATATCTCCTATTCGAGGGCAAGAGACTGGAAAATGGCCGACCTTTAAGCGATTACAACATCCCGACGGAATCAGTACTGTACTTGGTTCCTACTTCTGGCATGCAAATTTTCTATAGAAAGCTGACTGGAGGAGTTATTTCTTTAGAAACTGAACCATATGATACTATTGAGAATGTAAAGGTGAAAATTCAAGAGAAGGAAGAATTTCCACCAGATCTACAACGTCTCTTTTTTGCCGGCAAAGAATTGGAAGATCAATGCACTTTGAATAAATACAACATCCAAAAGGAATCAACACTGCACTTGCTACTTAGACCACGTGGTGAGATGCCAATTTTCGTAAAAACGTCGACTGGAAAAACAACAAAATTCGAAGTTAAACCAAGTGATACTACTTTGGATTTGAAGGAGAAAATTCAAGACAGGGAAGGAATTCCAGCAGATCTACAACATCTCATTTTTGCCGGCAAAAAATTGGAAGATCAATACACTTTGAGTAAATACAACATCCAAAAGGAATCAACACTGTACTTGGTTCTTAAACCAGTACGTCACAATGGCATGCCAATTTTCGTAAAAACGTTGACTGGAAAAACAACAAAATTCGAAGTTGAACCAAGTGATACTATTTTGCAAGTGAAGGAGAAGATTCAAGACAAGGAAGGAATTCCAGCAGATCATTTAATATGTCTCATTTTTGCCGGCAAACAGTTAGAAGATCGATGCACTTTGAGTGATTACAACATCCAAAAGGAATCAACACTGTACTTGGTTGTTGGACCAGTACGTCACAATGGCATAAAAATTTTCTTAAAAACGCTGACTGGAAGAGTTATTTCTTTAGAAACTAAACCATATGATACTATTGAGAATGTAAAGTTGAAAATTCAAGAGAAGGAAGAATTTCCACCAGATCTACAACGTCTCTTTTTTGCCGGCAAAGAATTGGAAGATCAATGCACTTTGAGTAAATACAACATCCAAAAGGAATCAACACTGCACTTGCTGCTTAGACCACGTGGTAAGATGCCAATTTTCGTAAAAACGTTGACTGGAAAAACAACAAAATTCAAAGTTGAACCAAATGATACTATTTTGCAAGTGAAGGAGAAAATTCAAGACAGGGAAGGAATTCCAGCAGATCATTTAATATGTCTCATTTTTGCCGGCAAACAGTTAGAAGATCAATGCACTTTGAGTGATTACAACATCCAAAAGGAATCAACACTGTACCTGGTTCTTAGACCAGTACGTCACAATGGCATAAAAATTTTCTTAAGAACGCTGACTGGAAGAGTTCTTTATTTAGAAACTGAACCAAGTGATACTATTGAGAATGTAAAGGTGAAAATTCAAGAGAAGGAAGGAATTCCACGTGATCAACAACGCCTTCTTATCCCCCGCCTTGGTGAACTGACAGATGACCGATTTCTAAGTGACTACAACATTCAGAAAGATGAGGCACTGCAGCTGGTTCTTAGACTACGTGATGGCATGCCAATTTTCGTAAAAATGATGACAGGGAAAACAACAACTTTCGAAGTTAAACCAAGTGATACTATTTTGGATTTGAAGGAGAAAATTCAAAACGAGGAAGGACTTCCCGCAGATCAACTACGACTCTTTTTTGCCCGCAAACCGTTAAACGATCAATGCACTTTGAGTAATTACAACATCCAAAAGGAATCAACACTGTACTTGGTTAAACGTAGATCTTACACTACGTGACAATGGGATGCAGTTTTCGTAAAAACGCTGACTGAAAACGTAATTTCTTTAGAAACTGTTAGTACCAAGTGACAGTCAGCTGAGAATGTACTGGCGAAAGTTTAAGAGAATGAAGGAATTCCTGCACAAAACCTCTCACTTTTGCCTGCGAACAGTTAGAAGACCAATACACTTTGAGTGATTACAACATCCAAAAGGAATCAACACTGCACATGCTTCTTCGACTAGGTCATCGCATTCCAATTTTCGTAAAGACGCTAACTGGAAAAACAATAACTTTCAGAAACTGTACCAAGTGACAGTACTGAGAGTGTAAAGGTGAAAAGTTAAGAGAAAGAAGGATATCCACCAGATCAACAAAGTCTCGTTTTTGACGGCAAGGATTTGGAAGATGGCTGCACTTCAGACACCTACAATTTCGAGAAGGAGTCAACACTGCACTTGGCTGTAATAGTCGAAGCTTTCTTGGTGATGCCGACTGGTAAACAGATCACATTGGATCTGAAATGTTGCGAAACAATCCGGGACAAAAAAGACAAAATTTACGTCAAAGAAGGTATATTACCTGACCGACAACATCTCTTGCTTGACGGTAAACAACTCGAAGAAAGCCACTTTCTGAGTGAGTACAACACTCAGAACAAATCTATTCCACACTTGGAGACCTTGACAGAGGATGCAGGTAGCAAGAAGAAATGAATTTTGCATTTTGAGCTAAAAACATCCAATCATAAACGTACAAGCGCGGAGACATCGAACTCTTGACATAAATATTACCTTCGAACAACTGAAATGTGACTGAAATGCAGTACGCCAATTATGACTGTGTTTCCGTCTAAAAATGGCGATCAAGTTTACTTTAAGCTCACAAACTTCTTAAAATAAATATTATTACAAGCGGTAATAGTTAACACAAGCTATATGGAGAAATTATCCATGAAAATTACATTTTCGAAAGTGAAAAATAGCGAGAAATAGCATTAGAATAAATTATGAGAGTATCTAAGACAGTTTTGGTTCTTTAAGAAAACTTACGGCATGGTGGGGGTTTGGGGGGTATAAAAGAGACGTGACAGTGATCAAAATACTGGAATTAGGGATTAGGGTGCTTTAGCTAGGGCGCGATCATTCAACTTAATTTCCGACCGGTCCGACCGGGAAAAGTGGTCCACCTCAAAAGGTGAGTTTTTTCGAAACTTTTCCGGTTGGAGCGAACCGATCCATTGAGTTTTTAATTTGGACCGAAATGTCCGGAAATTTTGGTCGAATGGACCGCGCCCTTAGTATCGACGAAGGCGACGGCAGCGGACTCGCTAAAAATGTCAAATGTAGGCGAATTACACCGGATTTGAATTCTTGGGGACCGCACTTAAGTTTAGAAAGAGAAAGAAAAGTTTGTCGTCCTGTGTTTACCTCCGCCAGAACACCTCGCAAAAGGAAATTTCACGATCTGATCGTGCAGTGACGATAGAGAAATGTACCAAAAAGTGTGCTGCACGTAAAAAAATGTTGTTTGCCCTTTTAAACCTGTTGCTTTTTTGACGTTCTCGTTGTCGTCGCCGTCGTCGTTGCTAGGCTTTCTATTAAACCCGGAAAGTAGCCTGCAGGCGTTTTTTTACAGCGCTACGTACCCAGAGGTACATGGAGGAAGAGGCAGGCAACCTCTTCCTCGGAATCATGTTTTAACCCGCCCCAACCGCTCTCGGTCAGTTTGAACGTCCAAATCGATCGCACTGCAAAATACGCCAGCTTTGCAGCCTACTCGGAAAGGTGATCAATCTAGAGGTAGTATTCGAGCCATAAAAGAACCTTCTTAAAGCAGGCAATCAATTTCTGGAACCAATCAGAAAAGCGGCGCAACACTGATGAGACGACGAAATCTAGCTTTCTGAGTCAATGGACAACGAGGCGCGAACTAGACCAACTGAAAAACGTCCTTCGATTCAAGAGTAAAAGTTTTATAAAAATATAGTCGAAATACGTGTATCCCAGAACCTCATGTACCTCGGGGTGGGGGAGGCCCATAAAATGTCATGGATGGAAAGGGAAGGAGAATTGGAGCCTGGCAACATTAAAAAAATGTTCATCCCGTATGTATAAACTAAACTACTAACTAAAGAAACAATTTATAAGAATATTTGCCTGTAAAACTGAGAGATGTTACCTGCATAGGACCTGCTATAAGGGCAAAACCTATTTCAGTCAAAAGGTTCAGCCAAAACATAAAAGGGACATTAAGCAACGACGAAGACGACGTCAGCGAAAAAGTCGCTAAAAAAATGAACTTGCGTTCTTTCAAACTTAATCGCGTCTATTTGGACCCGCTCAATATGTCAAATGTAGGCGTCTTTTCCTGGAAATGAATTCTTAAGGATTTTATTCAAGTTCAAGAAAAGGAAGGAAAATTCTGTCGTCGTACGTCCACGTCCTCCAAAAAACGTCAAATTAGGAGGTTTCACGTCGTAGTGGTACAGTGGTCGTCAAAGAAATGTACTAATAAGCGTGACGCAAGTGCACAGCTTTTTGAAGCTGTCGTCGTCGTCGTCGTCGCAGTTGCTTAAGCTCCCAAATACCAGAGGCCTGCCCGCAAAAGGTGTATAATCATAATAATTAGTATAATTTATCAATTTGCTATACCCCGTTTATTACATATAAATAGCCATAAAGCAATACTGGAGGGAAGAATGGGATGATCTACGGAGAAATCCAAAGAATTTCTCTCAAACATTTCAATTCTTAATGGACAGAAAGTAGAAAAAGGACAAAAGGAGGAGCGAAATATATTTATCTATTAATGGAAGATCAGCATCTTAGTCTCTGAGTACTTATTAATGTTCATGGCCCTGGGAATAGAACGAGAAAAGGTAGAGGTGTTAATGGCAGAGCTAGGGGAAGGGTGTTGGGACGACTACCCTTTGCACTCCGTTTTGGTGGAGAGCACCCCTCCCCGTCCTTTTTTACCTAAAGGTCAGGACCTGCCGCGGCGCAATGAACCTCCCGAAAAAGCATCGCTCGCACTGGCAACAGCAACACACGGTGGCAGGAGCTCCTGACGTCGGCCAGTTTTCCTCAATTTTGAGCGTATTCCTCAATTTATTTTTTGACGACTATTAAAATAACCCATTGGTAAACTGCAAGTCATGAATACATTGCCATAGAGCTACTCTTTCTGATAAAAGTGTCTGCAAATATCTTTGTTTTAGTTTTATGTAGGTCGAAGATCTTCTGTCTCCTTACATTATAAGTAGGCCCTTTGCACTTTTTAGGTAACAAACCGTAAATCTTATTTAATGGATTGTTAACAACTAAATGGAAAAGCTGCTTGGTTATTTGTTTTTGATGGACTCTAATGCAGTTGATACCGGCGAGACTTGAAGCGTTCTTGTAAGAAACTCCTGGGAGATACACGAGAGGACTCTCTTTTGTACTCTCTCAAGTTCGGCTTGCAAGTACTTTGGTGACGCATAGTGGAAAACTGGGTATGCATAATCTAACGAAGATCTAATACACGCGCAGTAGTAAGCCACGAGATCGCCAGAAGGAACCTGCGCACGCTTCAGTTGAAGAAGAAAGTAGTGTGTTCGAGATGCTTTCTTTAAGAGTTCCTCAACTTCGTCATTCCAATGTACGTTAACATTGATCATAGCTTCAAGTAGCTTTGCGCACTGAACTGACTCGACAGAATTTCCGTCAATACATGCCCTTGGGAACAGAGGCATTGGACGACTGAAACTGATGATGAGTTCCGCAGTTTTTGTTTGATGGCAATTAGTTGGGGTCAATCCGTCATATTTTGCTTGATTTCTTCTTTTTAGTTACATCACAGCTAATAATGGTATTTTGTTTTTGTTTTTTTTTTACGAAAAAGTAGAGCTGTTTCACGCAAAAATGATCGGGTTGTTTTTAGTGAGACAGCCTCAAAATAGCCGTTGTACAGACGCCTCCTCCCCTCCGAAAAGGGGTAGGGGCGTCGTTAAAAGCTCATACGTTGCACGTGGTCATAGGGGTATAATTTGATTAGTGAGCCTTGGCTGCAGAACAGTTTTTTTTCTCAAAATCAGTTTAGTGTGGCCCAAGAGTAGCGTAAGAGTCTCAGAAACACTTGTGAAGGCAAAACCACAACGACAAACCAGTGAGGGTCCACCGGATCTTTATTAGGCCTGGATCAGTAAAATCTTGAGTACCAAACTTTAAACCTAAAACAGTAAACTGCCGTAAGAGTCTCACGCGCACGTGCCTCACACGCCCTACGAGGGTAAGAGGCGCGACAGCCTGGCTCCAGACCTTTTGCTTGTCTGTTCGCGCGTGACTGCTTGAATACCGTAAATGATCGATTAAGCGCCGCACTCGAATAAGCAGCGCACCTTTACCGAAAATTATTTAGTAAGCGCCGCTCACGAATCAGAGCCGCGGCGCTAATTTGGGTGTTTACAAATCAATGCCCCACCTTTGTTACAGCGCTTGATATAAAGAGATATCAAAACCATATTGCTTAAGAAATAAGACCTCGACCACCTCGTGGGTTCTAAAGTTTTAATGTAGGGAAACTCTTGAAACTAGGTTCATATAACAGTTCGAGGTGTACATATTTTATATTAAATTGTGCATACCTAGGACGCTCCTCTCTCCTTTCTCTCTATATTCCCCTCAGTGCTTTACCCGTAGTTGACAAGCGCCGCTACGGTACAATTTATTTTTGTACCTTTTCAAGATAAAATCTGGAAATTTGCCTTGATTTATGTGGGGTGACATTGGGAATTTAAAACGTTAAGGGATTAAAAAGAAGATGCGCGAAATCAATACCACAGGTCACACATTAGGGTTAAAAACAAAATGTCAGCATCGCAGTGACAATTATCGCCGAAGTAGACACGCAAATTCAATTTTCTGTGGTTTCTTGGCCGAGGAAGTTTCATTCATCGAAGGGTCCATCACAACGTAGCTTTGTACCGTTTCACTGCCGTATTTCGGTCATGCCGATAAGTTCCCGAAAAGTAATATGCGTGTCACTGGCGCATATTATTTTTGGAACACTTATGACCGTCTGTGGCGTTTTGCAAGTTATTCTTCAGCTGAAATTTTTGTGGTTGGACTCTTTCTACACTGGTATCTGGGTCGGAATATGGGTAAGTAATATTGACCAATATTAGAGTACTGTATCTAGGTGCAGAAACTGTAAGATCCCCTCTTTACAAACTCATCAATAAATTCGTGATTAGAAAACAAAGCCAACCCGCACTTAAGGGAAGAATGTTCTTTCTATGTCGCAAAATTTTGCCAAGAACTCGCCGCCTGATTTAGCGAAACATAACACACCGAGAAAAAAAATAAGAGTGGAACGAATCCACAGAATTGGAGGATATTACAATAAATTTAAAAACTTTTTTGCCCCTACAACGGCTTTTGAGTCATCTCTGTTGTTTGCCACTTTACAACTGAACGTAACAAATCTGTTTGTCGTGAAAATGTGACTTTGCCTCTTCCCTTTTCGGTTATTTTTCCCCCAACCAAGAGTTTTCATTTGATAGTAATAACCACACAACTATCCAAATTAAGCTTTAAACTTCTAGTCGGGAAGGTAATAAAGTAATTTCTATAATTTTTATGATTAAGAGATCTAGAAACCTCCAAGTTGGACCTAAAAATAATAATAATTTGGCTTTTGGCCCATCTTCGGCGTTTGGATATCGAATGAAAAAGTGTCTCGTAAATTAGAGTACCCTTTTGCCCTTTTAGAGTAATGCTTTTGCGAAGCGTGTTTTAACAATAAAAATCGTCAAAAAATCGAGTTGGGTTTTGTGTGGTAGACTTTAACTAGTGGTAGTACGATCTCCTTCTTTTAAAAACGAATAAGTGCCGCACAACAGAGAAAAAAGTAACATGATATGCGGAAGTACAGCAGACAAGTCCATGTTTAAATTGTTTACAAAACGTCGCAGTTCAGTGGAGTTGACCATTTCGCTTAAAATCGAGAGAAAAGTAGATCCAACTTCAATGCTGTACAACTTGTTGCGTGCATATTGCGAATGATTTACAATTACTGTCGCCAGGTTCCTGTGGCTTATGGCAAAAGTCTCAACAAACCGTGGTCCCGCAAATATGGATGGCAGAAATAACGAAAAGATTTACACGTTTTTATGACTTTCCTGTGTATGATTTCACTCAAGAAAAAATTTACTTTTTTTCCATCGTTTGACAATTCAAATGACCGTATCTGTCAAGAAAGATTGAGATCCAGAAATGTTGCTACCATGGTAACGTGTCGTCACATGCATTTAGTTGCGCAATGACGAAATGTGGGGTGAATTGATTGTTGTTTTAAACGTTATCTCTCTCAGTATGCCTTTATCATCATGACATTTATCAATCCAAGACGAATGTAAAGTGTGTGGTTGACGGTTTCGGCTTCCCTTGTTCAAGCTTTATCATGACACTTTTGTAGTGTAAATCCTATCAATTCAGCTAGTGTGTTGAACAAATAAGTTTTGGAGAGTTTTCTTCGTTATTTTGGTTTGTGGATCTTTGAGATCAATATGGATGTAATTTTCTTAAATAAGAGGCTTTGACTTCATCATCGCTAAGAGACAATCGGATAGAGGAAACAATGGATTATTCAGAGACTGAAATATTTCTTCTCGGACAAGCTATGGCGACATTGATATCCTTAAGTTGTCTGTTGTTGCTGATGTTTTTGCAGATGAGCTTCACAGGAATTCTGGGTGTCATCGCCAGTTTTAGGATTAAATTCTTTGTAAGTATCAAGAAGAATGGAGAAACTTAAACAACCCCCAAAAAAAGAATTAAATAAGATACTTTGGAAAGATCTTCATTATCCACTTGCAAAGTCAATGTTGTACAAGATGTAGTGATAGTTCATCCAATGTAAGGGAATCCAAGAGATAGTCCTGGATTGTGGACTTCACGCCGTGGAAGTAATGGGATTCCGGATTCCTTGAGATGTATTCCTAATTCCAAAGCCCAAGATTCCGGATTCCACTAGCAAAAATTTCCCAGATTCCGGATTCCTCGCACTCCGGATTCCGGAATCCACCGCATGGGGCCAGACAGTAAACTTTGACCTTTTTTATTACGGCTTAGTTTGTTGTTTGTCTCTCCTTTGAGACTGCCTGTGATTTTCCGACCGCCATTTGCTAACGCGCATCAAGTAATCGTGTCGAGTCAGTAATTGCGCTATCATCAGGCATTTTCTATGGTCTACCTTGGTAGACCATAACCCTCAACCAATCAGCGCGCAAATAATCGTTCATTTTCGGTAAAAATGTTGGTGAACTACTATCCTCCTTGTTCACGTTAGAAGTTGTTCCCGCCTCAGCGGTCTGCTATGGTACCGATGGGCTATTTTGTTGCACTTATAATTTATACTTTCCACCACCTCCGGTTTTCCATAACCACTGCCCAATTTCTAGGCTTTATACCCTCACAGAATATCGCATATCGCTCTCCACCAATCAGCGCGCAAAAATTGCCCAGTTATTGTAAAATTATTGACTTTTTATGTGGGGAAATGTTTCCGGCTCAGAGCTCCGCTATGATACCAATGTGCTATCTTATTCGTTTGTATTTACTTTCAGGTTGCTCTCTTTATGTTTTTTTCCATCACCTCCAGTTTGTTGGGTTTAGCAAGCGTTAGCTACTACGCCAACACTGGTGCAGCTTCTTGGGATGTTTATTGGAGTTCCCGTTATTACCTGATCATCTCTTCAGCTACATGTCTCTTCGCCATAGTTCAGGTTATCACAGGAGTCGTTGCAGGCATTTATAGTTGCCTGGCCTTTGGTGACGACACTCAGTCAGAACAGGTAGGAACTGAGGGGGTGATGTCATGGCTAGCATTGCGAGTTCTAATTTTTTTTTTTTTTATCAAAGCCGAGTTGAAATTCTAACTAACCTGAGGGTGCGCTTCGTTTTCCACACTTTTGTCGCGAACATAGGCGAGCGCGAAACACGAGTGACTGGTGACAAAGCGCAAGGGACCAAGGGAAGGGGCGAGAAAGAAGAGGGGGAAGAGTCTCTCCCGTTTTCTCCTTCCCGCCTTCCTTTGCGCGCAAATTAACATCGATAGAAAGACGTCTGGGAACGAGCCGGCTAAGTAACTTTTCTAAACTTAAAAGTCTGAGGTAAAGATATCAAACGACTCTTTCATAAGGGAAAACAAAGCAATGATCGGCTTCTGGTCATTTTTCGACAACACAGGTGTTTGACTTGGAATAGTTTGCCCAATTTTTGTAGGTGTCCCAAACCAGTCATGTAGGAGTTGAACTATTTTCTTGTGTAAACGCTTTCATTTGTTCCAATAAATTTGCATAGGTGCTGGACAAGTGAAAGAAAACGCTCTATAGAATATAACTACGAGACAGAGTAACAAGTAGTAACAATAATTCATTTAAAATAATTAATTGTTACCTAGCTACTGAATCTTACTCTTATTTTGTATTTCACGAATGCAGGCATCGGTGGTTTCGTCAAACAAGGTTGTGCCGATAAATAATGCAGGGCCAGTTAGTGATGATGACAGAATGTCAGCACAGGACAACCAGCTACCGATGGTTCAGGTGTAAGATGCTCAAGAATGAAACGCACATGAAGTAGAGGCTGTGCTTTTCAGAGCACAAGAGCCACGAAGTCTATCGATTCACAGTTTCCTTGTTTTTAGGACTTCATATGAGCCGCTTAAATGCGCGCCTCTGCTACCGCGTGAATTTTGGTACATTATTTGTTTTAGCTAGTCAATGAATTAGGACAGGCTCAATCTGTATTTAAACACAGTATTTGGTTAGGCCAGTTTGTGTGAATTCTTCTGCTATTTCTAGGTCTTTAGAAATTTTATTTTCCTTGCTCACATTTTTCTGCGCATCGTATGGATGTAAGCAAGAGTTTTACCTGTACATGATTCAAGTAAAACGTAAAAAAGGGGGAAAACCAAGATTTAAGACGGAAGACAGCAATGTCAATGTTACCTTGAAGCATGCGAATAGAAACAGTTGCTAGAGGTCACGCATAGCTACAACGGACATTACCAACATTCTTTGGGTTTCTTCATTCAATTTGCTGCAATGAAGCAGAAAAAGCTTTCCGTTTTAGCTGCCGGTCTTTTAATACTTAGCAGTTTAGAATTGAATCACGTGCCCCCCACCCCCGCCCTCTCCCCTCCCAATCAACACCTCTTTCCATTTCGGATAATAAAAATAGCAAGACTACCTTCTAGAAAAACCTACCTTTTAGATAAACTTTCCATGTTATTAAAAAAAATTGTTATTAAAAATCGCACTCTTAACAACAGTATCCTCGAACTGAGCATAGTTTCTCCTTACTTTGGGACAAAAGTTAAGCTAGATTTCGAGTTTCCTGAATAAGTCATGGAAAAATATCAAGAACGTTTTTAATTATCGACTTTTAACAAGTCACTTACGAGGGATTTATATGTTACAGAAGTTATTTTTCATTACGTTTTACTCCTTTTTTCACCTTTTCATGATTAAGATACTACAGTTACGTAAATAAAAATATACAAGGATGCACGAGTGTTAATTAGTTTGTACATGTAAAGTATAGTAAGTATTAGCGCAGTATTAAAATGACTACTATAGGATCATATACTAAGAATGCTGTTGATGCATTAATTATCTACGATATATAAATCTTCGCTTGTCTACCATTCAATTAACTTTCTTGCCTACCCCCTTTTTCAGTGGCATATAATGAATGCAGGGTCGATTCATGAAGCCATTACTCCTACATTTTATATAGCTCACTTTTATAACCAACTTGTTGATGTTTTGAGTAGGATGAATTTCGGCGTACTGTTAGTATTTCCGAAATCCAGGAAGGTGGGCATAAGACCTAATTATGAAGCCTTTTTTTACGTAAATAACCAAAGCTTTAATAGACTTTCTTTTTTTTTTTGATGCGCTGCGAGCTTTATGAGCGGTTTATTAAAATGACCAGATTCAATGGTCAGCTGCGTTCTAAACCACATTCATTTGGGCCAACCCTGCTATTTGAACACCGTCTGCTAAGAACGATGTCAGGAAGAAATATACAGAACATGTTGTGAACTACAAAATCTATTATCTACTTTGAATAATCCACTATCAAACAAACAGACCAATACATGCAGTTCATACTGAAATTTGAATGTGAAGAGACTATGATCGATCAGCATTTTACGACTTCTTTTAAATCTGCCTTTAAAAAATAAACGCAGCTTGTATGTAAAAGTAATGGAGAGGAAATTTCTCTATGACAAATACACGCATATTGCGTGTAACTTAAGCTTTGTCTAATTTTACACGCCTGTTTTTCACGTGCATTTTGCGCGTAAATCCGCCATATTGCACGCAATTTACACGCGTGTAAATGCTGCAATTCCCGTGGGCTGTTTTGTAGATGCAGGTCAGTCGGGGTGACCCCCCTCTTCCTCCTCCCCCCAAAAGGGGAGGAACACTCAGGGAAAGTGTGGGTACAGATGTGCGGCGAAGGCCTTCAAACCCTGCTGAAGCTGTTTAAGACAAAAATAGTTCACTTTCCCACCCTGTTTAAGAAAGAGACCTAATTTTATGACCCTGATTAATTCTGTTTTGCAAACAGAATTAAAAAGTTTTCCCTCGCAAAGCGAGCGCTGGAGCATGTAGCCAAAGTTTATATAGTGAACCAATAACTTTTTGAAAAAAAAAAAAGTGGGTACCACACATGCTCCTTTTTTATACTAAATGGTGAAATTGTACATTGTATACCCTGTTAGAGACTCAATACCCTGAAAACCACGCCCTGTTCAGCAGCACATACAGCCACATACTGTAAGGGAGTGCCTCCCCTCTCAGCATAACCCCCTGCCTAAATTAACCTACAGCTATGAATCGACCTACAACAGCAACATCCTTGTGATATACACATGTACTGTAGCCCCTTTACAAAGGTACAGTATACATCAAAAGCGGTATTCACCAACATCTAACTAAAGAATACCAGAGAATAATTCACATGTGATATATAACACAACCCCTGCAATAGTTGCTAGGTACACTTCACTTCAATCTCACACATACATCAACATGTACAAGTAGTACTTCTCTATTGTCTTTAAGCATTTGCGGCTGAATACCCAAACCTACTGGCCACGCTTTTTCCTCCTGGTTCTTGGGATGTTGGAGTAAGCATCAATGGAGTTTCACACTAGAAAGACACAGTGCATGATTATTGAACAGTAGAAAAAATTACAAAAAAGAGAGGCCAATAAATATACATAATAATAACCCTTTATGTCCGAATAGTGACCAAGATCAATTCTCTCTTCACGATATCACTACATAATCAGGAGAACAGGTTAAGAGAGTTTATACAATGATCACCTACGGGAAAATGCTTCTTTTATCAAATTCGCTCAACTAATTATTTAAGAGAATTAAAGATGAAGATCAACAAAATTATGGGGAATTTGTTTGTGAAAATATTGAGGCTTAAAGGGATACAAATAGTTTGACTTTCTGTTCCCCATCATTACAGAACAAAAATTATAAGTTTTATTGCAAATTTTTTAGTGCCGGCAAAAATGCAAAATGTATCTTATTATTTGGGCTTATATTCGGGGGCTTAAAAAATTTGCGTTTCAAAATCGATTAAATACCATTTTTGCTTTGTTTTAATTTGAGGACAAAAATAAAATTTATTTCAGGGTTTTTAACCGGTTTTAATGGGGTTTACAAGGGGTTTAGATTCACGGTATCTTATTATGAAGCAAAATAAATATAATTTTACGAAATAAATGTTTCAAAGTAGATTCAGCACTAAATTTGATCTTTGTGACCTTCTTAAAAGTCTCTCATTGTGAAAATAAATTAATGTTCCCAGCTGTAGGGCGCATTGAGAGTACATGTCACCCTCACCCCACCACTCTGCTACATGTAAACTTAATGAAAGCTTCTCGTGTAACTTACGCAGATTAACCCACTTAACGTCTGGTGTGCCCCCATGCAACCGACAGTACAAGCAAAACCACCCTGAAAATCCAGTGCGCCTGTATACCCCCTTTCATAAATGACTCATTTTAATTGGCTGTAGCTTAGAAACTAGATTCCCCTGGGTACTGAAACATGCAATTGAGGGGCCCAATAGAGAAAACAGTCTGTCACATCATAGAAACTCACTGGTTCATCCTCACGTGACTTGTGATGGTCACTAATGAGACAAATCATGACTGACCAAGTGGCAATCAACAACTCCACAACCATTAATCCAAATATAGAGCTCACAAGTCCATGTTCCTCAGAGTGTCTATCAGTGAAATCAATAGCAACAAAACCATATGAGCCAGAATTATCCTCTCGAGGGCTCCTGAACAGTTTTGTCACAGCGAGGCCGAGTTCAAATGAGTGAGCGAAGAGGTGGGTCGCAGACATCACACAACATGTCAAAGAAAAACCCATGAATGTCATGACCTGCAGGAAGATAAAGCAAACATATTGAGCTTATAAAAATCACTCATATTGGTATGTAGGATTTAATGGCCAAAACCAATTCCGGAATTGTAAACACTTTAGGCATCCTACAAGTGAACAGTTATGACTTTAAAAGGACAGGTGCAGACTGTATTTCAAACAACAGCAATTAAACATCATTGCAGTCTGCCCTCTTCAAACATATGTATGTTGTAGTTATTTCTTTTTTTTATCTCGGGTAATTTATATTTTTCCTTTGTTTCAACGTCATTATCATATGTTACCATACCCAAAAGCAAAAGAAAAACAAAAATTACCTGAGATAAAGAAAAATTAACTACAACATGTATTTTGCTCTGAAATACATCATTTTGTAGAAATTATCATCCACGCAATAGTAGACCCACTATTCAGTTACTATAAATGACCTACATGTAATAACTGCATGGGGCATCTATTTAATTTTAGGGGCATTTCATTGATAGGAGGCATTAAAAGAGAGATGTGTTTATTCTCAAAACTATGGTGGCCCACAACTGTCACAGCAAAACCAAAAACCTCACTGCAAAAACAAAATACCTCATGACAAAACCAAAAACCTCACAGCAAAACCAAAAACCTCACGGCCAAACCAAAAACCTCACGGCAAAACTAAAAACCTCACGGCAAAACTAAAAACCTCACGGTAAAACCAAAGACCTCATGGCAAAACCAAATACTTCACAGCAAAAACCAACTACCTCACGGCAAAAGCAAATACCCATGGCAACACCACAGCTATTTTGTTTTCGCTGTGAAGTATTTGGTTTTGCCTTGAGGTTTTTGGTTTTGCCGTAAGGTATTTTGTTTTTGCCTTGAGGTTTTTGGTTTTGCCTTGAGGTTTTTGGTTTTGCCGTGAGGTTTTTGGTTTTGCCATGATGTTTTGTTTTTGCTGTGAGGTTCTTGGTTTTGCCGTGACAGTTGTGGGCCACCATACAAAACTGATACAAGCTAAACAAAATTAAATAAATATATGCTTTTGGAAAAAAAAAAGAGAGTTTAAAAGTAGCGGAATATCCACTTCATTAATTATTGACACATCTAGACCATCTAGAGATCTACATCGCTCTTTCAAATCCCAACATCAATGCCAGAACCGTTGCTCTGGGTTGTTGTGTTGCTATCGTTAGTCTATCCTTCCCTTGAACTTGACATTGAACAAGACGAAATACGCAAAGCCTTGTTAACCAAGCAAGAAACTGAATGAATTGAATGATTTTGTCCTTCTTTTCTAACTCCTGGTATTTTGGAGTAATTCTCATAGGGGGCATCTGACAGACAGGTGGTGTTTATTAGAGTTTGGCATCTAATACAGTTTTAACAGAGTAGAGGGGGCGTTTATTAGATACGTGTAAGAGGCATTTATTTGGAAGTGGGTGTGTTCTAAGGCCTGACGGTATTAATTTTTATGCTCTTCCAATAATTTCTAGTAGTTTTAGGGTTGTATCCCTTTAATTTGGCACATGAGATAGATGAAATGACACTGGCCCTGGGTGAGGGGGTTGGGTTGAATGGAGACAAAAATCATAACCCAAAAAATTCTAAGGTTTCCAACAAAACTCAAAAAAATCCGTAGACCCAATTAAATAAACCCTAAAAAATCCCATGCCGATTTTAGAAGCCTTAAAAAATATTTCCAGAAAGCATTAAATTAATGATATAACACGAAATTATCATGTCACTCCATGCCACTTCGTTGTCATTCTCATTGCACATTTTGTACTGGCTTACTGACTGGGAAACGCTAGCACTACCATGGATCTTCAGATTGTTTTGATAACCAAAAAAATCCCTGCTTAAATCAATCCACCCAAAAAAATACTTGCCAAATTTTCCTACACAAAAAAATCCCAGGATTGAAAATTTCAAACCCCCGAAAATTCTTTGATCATCCCCAACACTTGAAATCAAAAGTACTCCCCACCCCCTCCTCCCGGGCCCCAGCCAAGCTACACAGGGCCTATATTTCTGATTCCGCTGGTAGAATGTGACATAGCCAGTCATCAGCAAGTGGGGAAAAGAGGTTGACGTTTTATAACTTATGCATTAGAATGATTCAGCACTGATTATCATATATTGGAAATACATAAAGACAACCTTTCATATTGCTTTTCTTGTTGACAGTCTCGGTTGACAAAAAGTGGGTTCAAACCAAAGAGAAAACTGTTGACTCTTACGATTCAAGCATCAAACTTAACATGTGCTGAATGTCATAATTATATTAATAATAACAATAATAATAATATTTTATTTAATAATATCAATAATCACTAGACTTACAAAAGTGCATATATACATGTTAACCTCAAGATTTGAACCAGGCCTTAAAAATAAAAATATTGAACCTCACCAAATGTTCAGGAATAACTGAACCATCTGACATTTTCTGAACCCTTTTAAAAGTAATGAAAAGACCAAAAGCACTAGTGATGCCGACCTGTAAGAAAGTACCAAACAAGGATAGTGATTAGAAATCTACTACACAGAGAAAAATGACTGATCATTTCATACTGATGAACATTAAAGTACAGTGCTGTTGTACATGTTTTTGTAAAAGGGTGATCCAGTAAAATTTCAAAAAGGGATATGGCCTTGAAACAGAAGGACAGAAGAAATGGGAAAAATGACACAATAATAAGTTGAAACTGCGACAGCACTTTGACAAAGAAAAGTGCATAAAGGATGGTTAAAGACTGAGAAGGACATGGCTTCCTGATCCTTCCATTCACATCAGCTAAAGATGTTTGACTAAAATAGAGTTTTTTAAAAAAATGAAAAACTGAAAAACTGGATCACAAATAATAAGCAAGGTAATATTTACCCGGTAATACATACTTCATCCTCCCTCCCCCACCGCCCCTCAACAGAAAGACGGTTCGTTTAATCTTGATCGGGCAAAAAAATATAATTATAATCCCACTATTATTGAGGGGAAAATCGGGGTTTATGGTATTGCAGTATTGAGCTTTTTTTTACGCAGAATTTCGGTAAGTTTGATTTCAATGAGCAGTATTGGAGTATCATCTAGCCCTGCTGTATGCAGTTTTTCATCCTTTTGGCTAAACAACCCTCGATTACTTTCCGGTCATGTTGAAGGGTCCCTGTGCAAATTACAAGATGGTGAACGAGAACAGTACGTGTATTGGGAAAAACACGTGTAAATGCAAATAAAATATTGCACAGATTTTATGTCGGCACCCTTCATGATGAGATGTGGTGCTACACACATTGTCTTCACCATTTTTGCTATGTTGGCCTATATCAGAGATTTCTCCGGAAAGTAATCGGGGGTCCTTTTGAATGCAAATTATTTTCTTGATCAAGTTGTGCACGTGCATATGAAACTCGCAAACAGTGCTAAGTGAACAATGATTGTTAAGTAAGGGTGACCGATCACAAATGCAGGGTTCTCAATAGATTTTTAAGTAGGAGGTGATCACTGATAAAGTAGGAGGCTCTTCAGCAAACAGGTGTACTTAAACATAAATCGATTTTCTATTGAGAACCCTGCAAATGGGGTATAGGTACAGTACTTCATCGATTTTCGACATGGTATTTTGGTATTAATTTTAACTGCCAATTTTTTCTTACGATATTGCAGTGTTGGGTACGCCCCAATGTCCCCCTCTATATTTTGTAGAATCTCCAAATTTTTTTTCACAAGTCTCCGGGCCTGCCTTTATCAGTAGCCTGGGACCAGGCACCCCAGTGGTGGGAATTAAAAGGTGAAATAAATTGACATGGAGGTGAGCTGAGCAGGAGTCTAGGAAGGGAAAAGGGCAGTGGAGCCTGGAGACATTCTGCTAATATGCCCTCCAGCAATTAAACTGTCATTGTCAACACTTCAAGTTCACATCACAGATGTTTCTTTGTTTGAATGCATCTGAAAGTCAACATGGAGGGGAGAATTTGCTACGAAATGCAATGTGAGCATACCGTATTTCAATTCGACTAAAAGAAAAAGAGAGCAGAGAGATCTACTTTGCTTTGATCACCAACTGGAGTAACACTGGCTTCAGTGAAGTGAAATAAAGACGTTTCCGTTTCTCCTTCCACATACTTAACTTATCAAATATTCAGATGTGGCATAATATGCACTTCTCTAACCATTTGGATACCGTGAATGGCCCTCCCCTCCCCCCTCCAAACAATGTTGGGATAAAGAAACACTTTTAGGACAGGGTAAAGTGTACAGGGGTGCACAAACTACAACATTGCTTGGGGGCAAGGGGGAAAGGGGGAAAAGTTAGGGCAGATCGTGTTTATTGTCCTAAGAATTTTGTCCTCCATTGTAAGTATAAACTGGAGGGAGTGACAGGCTGTCCATCTTCACTGGCATGAAACCTTCGAGAACTTTTTACATATTGCTACAACAAGGAGAACTCTATCTTGGATTTGCAAAATTTATTGTATGAAAGGTGCGTTATAACGCTTGTTGACTTAGCTTCTATGTACCAGACGAAATATGACTCTGTACTATGGTGGCCTACAACTGTCACGGCAAAACCAAAAACCTCACGGCAAAAACAAAATACGTCACGGCAAAACCAAAAACCTCGCGGCAAAAACAAAATACCTCACGGCAAAACCAAAAACCTCACGGCAAAAACAAAATACCTCACGGCAAAACCAAAAACCTCACGGCAAAACCAAATACTTCACAGCAAAAACAAAATAGCTTTAGTTTTGCCGTGGGTTTTTGCTTTTTTTCACAGTATTTGGTTTTGCCGTGAAGTCTTTGGTTTTGCCGTGAGGTTTTTGGTTTTGCCGTGACAGTTGTACGGTACAGTTTATATACAGTGGAGGGAAAATGTGGGAGTTCTTAAACACCTTTAATATATTCAGGTCGAGTGTATCCCTGTTGAATTTGTTGCCCGTTAAGGCATTTTATAAGATATGTCTACTCAAAATCACGTAAAAGTAACAATCATTTTTCACAACCACTGTTATCTGCATTCAGTTGTGATTTACGCTATCTCAGTGCACAATTAAAGATTAGCTGTTTAGTCTACCGCTTACCCAGATGCCAATCCAAATAGGCATACCCACTCCGGTGTATGCCCATCTCACACGCACTCTCTCCACGATTCCAAGCACGACTAAAAACCATGCAATCAAACACTGCATCACAGAGACGATCCTTAATAGTATGATTTTGGCCGTAATTGCCATTTTCGCGACCCAGATGATGGCAAAACCGCAGCTTAGTGCACTGAAGCTTGGAGGCCGCCAGTCGAAGAGTGGGATAGATACTTTATTTATGGTAAATGTAATGTTACAACGCTGACCATTGACGCGACCGCAATCACACCTATCAAAACAGTCATCTACAGTTTAGTGAAGGAATGAATGATTTTCCAGTAATCGGACACTTAGTTATGCGCACAGGATTATGGGATCGCCAGGGGGCAAACATTGCAAGTCGCTACAAAGAAATGTATGGCGTGGAGCTGTTTCTCCGGTAAAAGCAGTGTCTTTGGACAGAGAATGCAACATTTTGCCTTCATTTTATGATAAGCGGAGGTGACTAATGTTGGTGCGAAGAAATTGTAAGTTTTCGTAGGATCAATGCGATGAAATCTATCGATAAACACTGATTCTTGCGAAAGGTCGACTGTGAATTTACTGAATGGTCTCGAAATATATAGTACTAACTTCGGTATAAATGAGCGGGGAATGCGGACTCAGTTAAACCTTTCCAGTTGTACTTACATGTGCTCATATTTACAACGAGTGTAATTACGCTCCGCTCGGCGGCGATCACAATGCTGTGCCGGTTTGTGACAACGATCGAAGGTAATCTTATGTATTGTCGAATTTGATATGTATTTAATTCAAAAACAAAAACATCTTCCGCACATTAGTATATTGATTTCTTCTCGCCAAAAAAACACAAGCGAAATGTTTTGTCATAATTCTGAGAACCGATGAATTCTAATGCCTTTTCCAATCATTTTGAGGGAAGATATAGAATCTGTGAATTTCGCACATCAACTTGGTATTTATTTTCACACTCACCGCTTTTGTATCGGAAATCTTACTCGTTTGTACGATTTCTACCTCATCTACTAATGGTTAAATACCATGTACTTTCCGTGAAATATTTTGTAGATGTCACTTTGTTTATACCAAAGTAAAGGAGGATTTTTTATTTTTATGGCTACGTACATAACTACGATCGTTGTCTTGTCATAACCCGCAAAGCGCCGCACAGCGCTGATCGCGGCCGAGCGTAGTTACACTCGTAAATATCACCACACGCAATTATAACTTAAACGCTTGAATGAGCCAATCCCCCTACATGTATACCTAAATTTGCACTATATATTTCGAGACCTTTTCTTCGAATTCTTCATGTCTGTGTAAATTCAGTGAACATAAATTTCACACTCAACCTCACGCAAGGAGTGTTTATCGATAGAATTTATCGCATTAATCACACAGAAACTTGAAATTTCAACGTACCAACATTAGTCACCTCCGTTTCTCATAAAATCACGGCAAAATGCGGCATTCTATGTCCAAAGACACTGCTTTTAACGCAGAAACAACTCCACGCCATACATTTCTTTGTAGCGACTCGCAATGTTTGCCCCCTGGCGATCCCAGAATCCTGTGCGCAAAACATGGGTATCCGATTACTGGAAAATCATTCATTGCCCCTTTTATGATAAAATACTGTAATGAAACATAGCACATTTGCAGTACATGCCCATACATTTCTAGCGACGGGGCCATCTCAAGTTGGCAAGTAACCAACATGCTGAGGACTGCAAAGGACCGCAAACGAATATGCCGGAGAACGTAGGATCTATAAAGACCTGATCAGCAAAAATGAAAAGTAGACATATTAAATTCTGCAAGCAGAATACTGCAATGCTGATCGTACTACGTGAAAATTAACTCTGCAAGACATCAACACGACAATGAAAGAACTCAAAACAGAGCGGGATTGTAGCATTGTTTCACGGAGACACCTCCTTATGCCGATATGGCACACACTTTAATGACCGTTTATGTGCATTTTAACCGTTTTATCGAACTTACGATAAATCCCCATACAAATCTTTATAATTTGGCTTCGAGGAAACCGAGGTTGTTGAGAGCCTGGGACCCTCTGGTCCCATATAACTACTGTTTTTGGAGCCCGTGGCTGTGGGATGTTTCTCTAGCGGAGGAAATGAATGAGGAGGGTTGGGGAGGAACCTCCAAGCTTAATCCATGTCGTATACAAACCTTGCACCGGTTCTTACGTATTCCTAATTCCACGGATGAAGGGCCAAGGCTCCATATCAAACACGCACTTACCAGGAGCCTGTTACCCTAATAGGCCAGCAACAGGATGGTTACCCATGCGGTGGTCAGGTGACCGCAGGGGCCCATATTAAACCTGGAGCGAGCAACTCCCATACTAGGCCTATGTCAAGGCGTTTTTACGGACCAGTTTATTTTTAGACACATTTTAGGGCACTTTTTCCAGCGACAAAGGAATCTCCACCATATATGACCGCATTCGAAGCAAAAGAAATCAAAACGGAAAACTAAGCAGTATTAACTGACAAAAAAATATCATTTTAGATTTGTAGGTTTTGCTGACTGGTTTGTGGAATTTAAAAGATATTCAAAATTTCCGCCAAAACCGTTCTAGAAATAAACTGGTCCGTGAAAATGCCGTGACAAGAGCGTATGGAAGTTGCTCGCTGCGGGTTATGGGCTCCTGGTGACCGTACGTCCGCCCGCCCGTCGGCACAACAGACATACCAATGTAAAATAACTCAATCAACAGGAGTGGCAACCAAAAAGCAACGCGAGGTTTTTTTTGGTAGGAAATCGGTCTTTTAGAGAGAAAACAAAAAAAAAAAATTAGAGTCTTTCTCGATGTTATTTTTAATTTCTACACAGAGAATTTAACGTAGACTGCGCATATTAGGTATCGTAACTATTTATCAGAAGGGGGTAGTAGTTTTATGATGTGCAGGGGGAAGTGGTGGGCGAGGTAGCGGGCTTATTGCAAGTGGAAAGAACCTGCGTACCTGGCGAGCTGGCGGTTTCCTCTGGCGAGGGCGCAAATGAGTGGCGAAGCTGCCAAAGGGTGGGCAAAGCAAGCGTGAACGGTGGAGGTTTTTGCTTAGGGACGGACCATTAGAAAACTTATGGGGGGGCGGGCGAAGTACAAAAAAAATATTCGCGCAAGGGAAAATGAAATGAAAAAAAATTTGTGCACGCCAATTAACCCTAAAAAATATTCATGCTATGGGCTAAAAAAAATTCATACAAGGAATTTGATAACGAAAAAAATTCTGCGGCTCGAAAATTCCCCTCCCCCCCATAACTTTTCTAATGGTCCGTCCCTTAAGCGTGAATTTACGTAATCGTCTATCATCAAGTGTTTAACCAGAGTAAACATGGAATTGTTTAAGACACTAAATTGGCACTCAGTATGGTGTACTAGCTTTTTATAAGCGCATTTCGCGCGGACGGGCAAGATAAATTGATGACGGCTTTGAGAGAATTGTTCAAGTTACTTCCTCCTTTATTAACTGATGAATGGAGACCGTTACGGTATTCCTCCCTTTGAGAAATTATATAGCATAGTCAAATACATATCAATGGAATTTCCTTTAAGACGGAGAACTACCTAAATCGGACTCCTAGAATTGGTTCCTGCAGCTCTTCAGTTTTTTTTTTTTTTTTTTTTTGATTGACTCTCTATGAGACGGACAACTTGTTAAAAACGGAATCCTTGAGGATGTTCCTGCCCATCGTCAGTTCTTCTCTTCGTCTTTTCCATAACCGCACCAAGACTACTGTAGCTCAGTCAGCAGAGCGCTTGATTGTAGAGCGGGATGTCGCGGGACGATTTCCAGGACTGGACCAAAACAGTCAACTCCCTCTTAACGGACAAGTCTGTGAGATGGACAGCTCTCTGAGATGGACACTTCTGTGAAATGGACGCTTCTGTGAGATGGACACCTCTGTGAGATGGACGCTTTTGTGAGATGGACACCTCTGTAAGATGGACACTTCTGTGGGATGGACACCTCTGTGAGACGGACACCTAGATTGCCCGCCTTTATTTACTAATTTTAGTTGACTCAGCATAAGACGGACAAATAGTGCCGGTCCCAAAAGTTTCCGTCTAAAAGAGAGTTGACTGTATTTAGGGTCTTAAAATAACTGAAAAATGAAGGTAGTGCCTTTGCCCTACAAACGGGTAGCCCTTCGAGTAGCTCGGGATGAGAGCGTAAAATGGCGGTCCCGTCTCCAGCAGAGGTCGTAAATATAGTGTCTTCACTAAGTACTTCCATGCTAAATACATTGACACTAAAGAACAGGACAACTCCCTAAAACAGACATCTCTTTTTTTCTGACTATATACATGTAAATTGATTGTGATGTATGTATTTAAAATAGCCTGTGTAGCAGCTGTTACAACTTTGTTCCAACACCTCATCCAAACGTACAACTTCTCTACTGCCTCTAGGCATTTCCGGCTGTATATCCAAACCTACTGGCCACACTTTGGCCTCCTTGTCCTTGAGAACTTGGTGACACTATCAGTGGAGTTTCACACTAAAAAGAAAAATAAAATGCACAAAAAACTACCATTAAAAATGCAATTATTTCACTCTGCAAATAACCATTTTTATTGTTGGATGCGAATGTTTCTTCCGTTTCATTAGCCCCGAGTCCTCTACGTGACCTGCAAATTACTGCCTACAAATTATGGTCTGCTCGTGTGCAATTTCGTCCTACCGTGTAAATTGGCTGCAAATAACATTCTGCTCATGCGTAAATGAAACCGTGCATTTCTCCTTCTTGCGATCGCTCTTGCGTGAAAATGGCAGATCACTTCGCTTCCCAAAGATATTCATTAAAAAACAAACTCGGTGATCGAATGGAAAAAAACATTTGAACTCGGTTATCGCAAAATATCATGATTTGTCAGTGTCTCACAGATCAATTATTTGCCTCAGCCATCTGCTAGCCACTGACAAATCAGGATATTTTTCTCAACCTTTTCTTCTAGGAAGGCTTTTATCTCAAATGAAAGGGTATTGTCAAACATGCACACAAGTGATGGAGTTAGTTTCAAAACAAACCGGCTGCGATTTTGCATCAGTGGACTGGTACCCAAAATTTGATTTTACCAACTGAGTTGATCATTGATTTCACATTTGCGACATAACTCTGAATTTTTAATTCCCTCCTTAAATCTTTGACCCCTTAACAAGTTACATGTACGGTGAAACCACATGTATTTATAAACCTTGCTTTTAAATTGGTGGGTCAACAAAATCCTATGTTGTTACCATTCAAATGAGTTTCCTCTTTGGTGGAATTTTTGAAATATGGTCATATTTGCTTTTACGGATTTCACAAAAAAAATTGAATTTTCTCGTGAATCTTTTTTGCTTTGACAAGTGGCACCCTGTTGGAATAAGATTTCAACAAGTGACATGACCTTAAAAAAGTAACATAAGAAATATAAAATGGTGACAAATGAAACAAAAATGAGTTGAAATTACGACAGCAATGAAGATAAGGGCAAATATATACAGTACAGTTCAAATCCTCCTAGGAGTCAGTAGACCTGTTACCACGGAGTTGCACTGGCGACTACATGGTCGACCAGTGCAGCGAAACCATAACAGTAAAATATTGATAGGGAATTTTGCTTTCTTCTGTTTCTTTCTGAAACAACAGGTTTTGAAATTCAGACTAGTTTAGCGTTGCCTAATGTTAGGGAAGCAATGGCAGTCTTGGATTATGGATTCCATGCCATGGATTCCGGATTCCAAGTACTGGATTCTAGTCTTGAAGTGGAACAAACATTAGTGGGATTCCAGATTCCTTGAGCTGTATTCTGGTTTCCAAATCCCAGGAATCCGGATTCCACAAGCACAAATTTCCCGGGTTCCTTTACATCATGATGGGGCAGCTAGGGCCATACTCCTCCACCCTTTCAAGAAGGGCTCGCTAATTTAATGTTAGGAGTAAAACTGTTTGTACATATATTGCCTTTAAAAGAAATTGAGTGGCTGGGGAGGGTCAGGAAACTTACCCGTTCTTCTTCAGTGGGTGACTTCTGATGGTCGCTAACACGACAGATTGCCGCTGACCACATCGCAACAATCAGCTCCACAACTGTAAATCCAAATATAAAACCTACAAGGGTATGCTCCTCAGAATATTTTACATCTGGTATGAGAGAAATGTTTTCTAAAACAAAATTCTCGTCCCCTCTGCGGGTGTAATATCTGAGTTGCTTATGGGAAGCAATGGACAGCTCATGTGAGTAATTGAAGATGAGAAGGGCAGAGAGAACACCACATGTCAATGAGAAACCCATCAAGGTCACGGCCTGCATTTGTAAAGGTAAAGAAATGAAACATAAATAGAAATTAATTCAAGGGGCTGTATCACAGCAGTCTATATTTGTTCAATCTGTATACTTTTACTGGTTAATTAACACAAAAGCCAGCTTCCCTTGAAATCCTAGAAGACCTTAAAATTATTAATATTCTGAGTTCTGATTTGTTTTGAAAGGGATTTGAATTTTTGGGAGGGGAATCCCTATCATGGTATATAAAGAGGGGCTCTGCCTAAAAGATGTACCCTTTTTTAGGCTTCAGGCATGATGTATCAAATAGGAGGGAATTCACAAGTTGAAGAACACTATAAAGTATATGAAAAGGGTTACAAGGAAAATCATTAATTTTTAAGTGTCTATATGTAAGGACCGTTAACTAAGTGTTTTGAAAACGTGGGTGTTATGGCTATACCATTTCAATTTATATTTAATATAATAAAAAATTAATGGAAATTTCTGATGATGCTTACCAAATGCTGAAGAATGACTGGACCATGTGATGTGTTCTGAATATGTTTAAAGGTGATAAAAATACCAAAAGCACCAGTGATGCCAACCTATAAATAAAGTGCAAAACAATATATAAATTCACTTTGCGTTAACGATAAACTTGTACCTCTCCTCCCCATTATCAATCATATTGCTATTAAAAACACTCTTATTTGTCCCTGGGAAAAATAATGTTACAAAAAAAGTTTGACCAACTTAATACGTAAATGTCACCTCTCTCACAATAATTCCGCGAGTCTCCCAGATACAACACAATAATGAATAATATAATCAAGACACTGTCCCTTTAAACCTGTTCTCGATCATACAGTGTACATAGTATGGTCTCTGTGGCCCCTTAACATCTGTTTTACAAGTAATTTATTTGATTATATCACTGAAATTGATAATCAGTGATAATCTGCAACAACCTGCACAACAACTTTCCCAATCAATAATGTTTATCAATCAAAACATTTTACATGCAATAATTTAATTATCTTCCAAACATCAAATAAGTTAGTACCTGTTTAAGAACTCGGAAAAGATCCCCTGTTGTTGACTCTCGTACAGTATGAGACCACCTCCCGAAAGCAACCACTTAATCTTCACATTTATTGTTATGGTGGCCAGTTGTGACAGTGTTAGTTGGTTTATGGTCACTTCGTTCCATGGTCAGATGTTTCCAAGCAAGATCATTCTTCTTTATGACCAGATCATTCCACAGTTTTAGTGTAAAACTTGATGTGAGGGCAAAGGGCAGTATTTTTATTTTGTTTTTGTTTTTGCTTCTTGGCTTAAAAAACGAGGTATACACTCGGGTAACACCAAGCTTTTAAGACTCCTGAAATTAGTTTTGACTGCATTGTGGAACGATCTGACTATTTTAAAAGTGGAACGAACTGACCATTCCAGAACGAAGTCACGGGATACCTATTGATCGATTAATTGATATCTATAGTCATCGATATATTATCGCAGTGTTCATGTCCTGATTTAAACTTCTCACTGCAACGCACAGTTAATTACTCAGTATGTTTTTTTTTTCTTTTTCACTGAAACTGAAATCTACGATGAAACTCCAAACAAAATAAGATTTTTCCACATAATAAGGATCAATTTTCGTGTTTTCTTACCCAAATTCCAAACCAAACAGGCATTCCCAATCCACTCTGTTGCCATCTAACGCGAACGCGTTCCACGATTCCAAGCACCACTAACCACACTGCAATACAGCATTGAACCACCGACAGGATCCGCAGTAGTTTTATTTTAGCAGTTAATGCCATTTTCGTGAGCCAGGTACAGTTGCAAAATACCAGAAGACTATGTAAACAGCGCCCTGCTGCAGTAAGTACGTTATGTATGGAAATTGTAGATTGCGACAAAAGAGCCAGCCGTAGGGAGGTAGCCTGGAAAAGGCTCAGGGTCGGGAGGGGACAGGTGAAAAATGGGAAGCGAAAGAATATTGGGATATTGTTTTTTTCTCGATAGGGAAGCCACATTATAAAGCAGATTGCATCACGTTTAATTCAAAACGGAGGCAAGGCCTTATCCCGGAGCCTTATACATTTTCATTTCATCATTCACAGACAGATGACTGCATGATCATCGTAAACCGCCATCATGAGTGACGCCCTCAGTTCCGTCCAATGTTAAATTGCTTAGAAAGCTCAAATTCCAGATTAAGTTTGTTTTCTTATTATTGTTATCATTATCATCATCATCATCATCATCATCAACATCATCATCGCTATCATTACTTGCTATATTTGAATTTTTGAATGAAATTTGCAAAGGAAAGAGACTGCAAAAAAAACAAAACAAAACAAAAAACGCACAAAATGAACGATACCAAACTTTTCGGCCACTTGAGGTTTAATACCACCAGACACAAGTAAGATGATAAAACTGTGGCGGCTTATAATTCCAAATGCATGCTTGCAGGCCCTGATAATAAGAGAAAGTCTCTTGGTGCACGGTCATGTGATTACCAGATTTTCTGGGATGGGTAGATTACCACATTTCCTTAGCTATAGGGCTCCGCCCACGCGCGCGCTTCGCGCGCGGGTGGAGCTCCGCTAATATGATAGATATGGATCATTATACGCTTCTGGGAAACTGTCCACCTACCCCTCCCTTAAGGCAACATTTTGCCCTGTAAGTGTTAATGTTGGCTTAGGGGAGGGGTATGTGGGAAGTTTTAGATACTAAGAAGAATGTGGCGGGAGCGGGATACGCACTCTTATGGCATTTACGGGGGGGCCTCATCCAAAAGTAAGGGATACCTTTTTAGGCTTCAGGTATATCAAGTATAAAAGGTTAAGAATACAAAAGTTGAAGTTCAGAGAGAATAGGGAAGCTAATCATTTAAGTCTTTAAAAGGGCCTTTCTAATTCTCGGCTTGCACTGTCACACAATGAAAAATAAAAATGCAAACCATTCAATACAGAAGGACTAGAATCTGGGAAATGAAAAAAGATAAATATACAGAAACCCTTGCCAAGAATCAGGTCTGTGAATTATTTCAAATGCGAGATATTGGGAAAAACGGTTTACCTAAATTTATATAGCTTTGTATAGAAACGCCATGTTGGTGTCCCTTTCAGGAACACCAATATGGCCGCCGGATACCCACAGAAACATCTGTTTTCGAGTTTTCCTACTACTACGTGAATTCTTCGCTTGAGGAACTCATAAAGATTACAGTAATATTTATTCTGAGACAAGGAATGTTTAGATCGCAAAATCTCCCAAAATCGGTAATGTTTTTAACCCACATAAGAGCTTTCCCGGCCACCAGCTAAATGCCGAGTCACGCAAAAGCCTGGAAATTCAAGCGTCCTCTCTCGCAAAACGAAGAACCCTTTCGAGCCAAAAATTTGTTTATGTAAAGGTGTTTAGGTACTGTAATACCTCATGAAAGTAGAAACTCAGAAGAATCGATAGTTTCTTAGTTTGATTTTTGGTGACGTCATGTGCAACCCAAGAATTAAAATGTTTCGAAAAAACACTCCCTATCAGGGGCGGATCTAGGAGGGGGGCGCAGGGGGTGCGCATCCCCCTCCCAGCTGAGATGGCCTGCGGCTTTCTAATAGAACTGATATACTGCAAAAACAAAATATGTGGTTTATTGGAGTTGAAGTAAAAATGAGACGAGGTTGAAGAACTAATGTTAACCGCCATAAAAATGGTAGTTTGCACGTCACATCACCCGAGTCAGTTACGCCATTTCTTAGTGGTCCACCCCTCCTAAAAAAACACCTTGGATCCCCCCTTGCATGCCTATTACAAAATCAGACGTTGCACGAAAATGAAAAAAAAAAGCTTCCGTTTTCGCGGTTTATGGTTACTGTGTTAAAGGGGTACCATTGTATAATGGAAGGTATATGAAATGTGCCCCTTTTTCCGCGCGCGAAATGACTTCTAAGGAAAGACTACAAAAATTCCATACTGATGACGTGTCACTAACCAGAACTAGGTAGCGCTCCTGATTGGTTGAAGCGTTTTCCCTCGCGGCATGGCCAATCAAGAGCAATACCTGATCTTGGTAATGACACGTCTTAAGTATAGAATTCCTGCAGTCGTTTCTCTGCCGCAATTTCGCGGGGAAACCAGCGGTAACGTCGCAAAATTTTAAATATTGGCTTTTTTTCAGGCTAACTACCGTATTTATTCGAATAAGCGCCCACCTCGAACACGTCGAATAAGCGCCCACTCTCAAGGTCCAAAAATTTATTAAGCGCCCAGAGCTGTTCATCGAATAAATACGGTAATAGAGAAAGAAACAACTAACTGAGAGCAGCAAATGAGAATAAATTTCATTTTCCCATTTATTCATTTTGTGCAAGGGAAAATTTTTTTGAAGCGATGGCAGCGGCAGAATTTCATGTTTCTTTTCACACCTTGTGCTTGCTTTTGGACTAAATGTTCTCAAGAACAACAACATACAATACAATAATAAATTAACTTAGCAACAGGCTCTCTTCAACTTTTAAAAATGCCGCTGCTATATCGGGAAATAGCAACGTTCAAGAGAATCACGACCAATAAGTGACGATTTTTGGCAGTGACCTGACATTGCTCTATAAGCAATTGACCTAATACAAAATTGAAAAATTGATTCTGATCAATAACTACACGGTAAAATACTACAATAACCTTATAGCACAATATTACCAAACTTAGTTAACGCGACACCAAAAAAACCTCCCGATGTTTCCATTTTTCACATGAAAACACGGAAAGATATCAAAAAATACTACTTTGAAAGGCTCGAAATAAAAAGATTAAAGAAAACTTGCTTCTGTAAGCGTGATATCAAATAAAAAAGCATAAATAATTTATAAATTTGCCGCTCGTTTGGTTTTGCGGAAAATTATAAGAATTGGAAAAGGAAGGAACTAGCTTGTGTGGAAGCCATTCGAAAGGGAAGGGAAAGGGAGGTTGGGCGCGAGACCACGCGCGCGCGATGGACCGAAGGGAGGCTCCCCCTCGCGCACGCGCGAGCCTTTCACGTTTCTCGGCTGTCCAGAATCCCCTTCTCTTTCAAACGCCTGCCACTCGGGCCAATAGACCTTTTCACGGTGTTTTTTAACTTTTGACGTGGACTAGTTAGGGAAAATCCGTCGATACCACTGGAAAGACCGCCTTAATATTAGTAAAATTGCCAAGTTTCAATGTGATACGTCTCTGCAAAGTTGCGAAAAAAGTTGCTGTAAAATTTCGTGACTTTGATCGAGGACCTATATCTTCGTTAGTTTTCAACAACTCACTTTCAAACTAGGCAATGTTATTAATCTTCAAGCGCCCTTTTCAATGATGTTCGCGGACTTTCCCTAACTTGTCCATGTCAAAAGTCACGATACCGTGGAAAGATCTATTAAGCCGGGAAAGAATGCAGATTTGAAGTCATTTTTCCGATGCATCATTACAAAACATTAACGGATGTCACTCATTAAAGACTGAAGGCTCCATTTTCATCACATCTTCACAGGAAGCTACAAAGAAGAGGGAACAAGTATGATTTAATAAATGAATAAAGTAAATTGATACAGTCAGGGGCACCCATTGACAGTTTCCTCCTAAATACATTGAAAGCACTTTTTAGGCTATCTAGAGTACTTTTAAATCTCTGTAGGCATTCTAAGTGGTGCTACAAAATTTGTGTCTGTTCGGTCATTCTAGGGGACCTTGAGTCTTTTCGAAATTACAAGGGCAATAAGTATTATTTCCCTTTCCTCTCTCAATCACATTTTTGAATCCGAAAATTTAACGTTTACCTTTTCTACGAAAAACATCTTAACTTGGGAAGTGAAATGTGAAGAATAAATTTCAGAAAATCGTAGGAAATTTATAAGATAAGTTTCGAAAACTATACATGAACGGAACGGTCACCTAGAAATTTTTTAGCCGTCCTCAAATAATAGAAAATTCTCGGCAACATTTGTTTCTCCGAACAGATATTTTACAGAAAACAGTCGTTAGGTGCCCCTGATACACCGTCGAATTGAAAGGGCTTAGACGCCATTTCAACTTTAGTTAATGCAAATACATGTATAGCCTTAGAGTTCTGGTTGTGGCTATTAAGTTGAACTTAAGGTACAGAAAAACGGGCAACAATTCCGTGCTACTTGTTTTGAAAGATTGCTGCAAAACAAGTTGAAACGTGATGTTGCACGTTTTACCACCTACGCCGTTCGAACCTGTCTTGCAACAAATCAGGTTTTTGCAGGTTGTGACAGTTGTTACAGAAAGGAGAGAGTAGTTATACTTTTCGCAAAAAATCTGTACATGTTGCGTTTATTGCCGGCCCAAGGAAAACTTTTTTTTGCAGTGACGTAAATCCCGTATAAGGAATATGACTCCCTTCTATTCAGTCAGCAGTTAATATTCACGCATTTTGCTACAACTCCGTTTGTTGCCAGACAGGTTTGAATGTATGTGGTAAAACGCGCCATATCGCTGTTCAACTCGTTTGGAAGCAAAGTTTGGAAACAATTTTGTTGTCTGTTTAACCGTCTTTAGACCGTCAGCGATTTAGTATAACAGGAAATGTTGCTTAAGTTAAAAAATAACAAAAGTGAAAACGCATTACTCTTACTTGTTGGTCTGCGTTATAGGGGGGCGGGTGACCTCCCTCAGCTCCAAATGTGGGCACCTGGCCCATCTGAGCTCCAGATGTGGACATTTGGTATGTTGGAGGCTGACCGGCGACCTGGACCATGCCTTGGGGAGGCATGCAAACCACCTGGGTGTGGCCACCAGGAACGGTAGCGACACCTCCACCTTGCTGCACAGGAAATGCCATAGGGACACCACCAGGACCTTGTGCCATGACGTAACCACCAGGGACCACACCCTGGCCGTTGACATACATAACTGTTTGTGTCTGCAAAAAAAGGTATGCCAAATAAAGACACTCCATTGATCCAGTGCAGATAACTAAATATGTTATTAAAGGGCTGCGTGAAAAGCCCTAAGAAACTTCTTCTAAACTGCTAAATTCCCCTTCTACATTGAATGTACTTGCTTTCGAAACCAAAAGAGAATTTGATATTAAATCAATAGTCACTCAACTCACTTTCAATGAATGATAAGGCTGAGCGTGATATAAAGAATTTGCAGATCAAGGAGAGTTTATATATGTTAAACCCAAGGGGAGAGGTGCTCTCAGGCTACAGTTAATGAGCATGCGCCACTGTCAATGGTACAGTTTTCAAGCAGTTTACTCTCGGAAACGGTACAGTATTGAACCCCCCATAAGCAACCACCTAAAAATGTGAGCAATTAGTTGTTGTCTTACAGGAGGTGGTGAATTAAAGGGAATTGAACCAGCAACATCCTGCTCTGCAGGCCGGCGCTCTACTTACTGAGCTAATCCCGCCACCTTTTAATACAGTGGAAGCTCTCATAATGGACACTCTCGTAGGCGGACAGGCTGCTCTACATATGGCCACCTTCACAAAACCCCGTTTTTCTCAACTCCCACAAAACTCTGTATTTTTACATTTCCGGAAGCAGCCAGCTCCAGTTATGGGCACCTTTTTCGCGTCCCAAGGGTTCCACTCATGAGAGTTTCCACGGTAAAGCACTTCTCAATCATTTCTGCAATTTATATGCTTATATGCTCTCCTAGCATCTAATCAAAGTAAAAATAAAAATTATCCGGAATTTATCAAAAAGCAATTTGCAAACACTGATTCATTTTACCTGAGTAGAAGTGGAAGAACAGCAATTGACAATCAAGCAACACAAGACTGAAGCCCAGATTCCGATAGCAAACTCAACGATGCCAAGAATTAGGATTATCGCTGTAACGGCCATTTCTGAGTGATGAGATTCCCAGTACCAGCGCCGCTCATGGCTGTAAATTGCCACAGACAAACTGTAGCAAATGATGACCACACCACCAAACACAGCCGAGGTGATGGCAAAACCCATGAATGTGCCAGCCTAGAAATAGTTAGCCATATACATGTATTAACTCTTTAAGTCCCAATAGTGACCAACATCAATTTTCTCCTGACTATATCCATACATTATCATGAGGTGAGGTTATGAGAATTAAGAAAATGATCACCTAAGAGAAAATACTCTGATCTTTTATCAAATTCTCTCAACTCATTCTTTAAGGAAATGTATGGAGATCAGTTTGGAGAATTTGTATGAGAATATTGGGGCTTTAAAGGGTTAATTTAGTGGATGTTCAATAAAGAATTTAAAACTTACTAAAACTTGTCTTTGAATGATAGCATTTGTGATTGTATCCATGGCAACAAAGTTTATTTAATACCACTAAAAATATTTCTGCATTTCTGTTTGGCTTAATTTTTTCCCCAGCTAATAAAAATTCTTGGTAACTAACTACTTAGGCTCGATTTCCGCCACTCTCTCAGTCCTTCCCGAGAGGACAAGGCTGGATGCACGAGTGACCTATCGTGTCCATGACGTAAATTTAAAATTTCATTTATGCATCATTATGAAACACAGGAAATGGAAAATGTCATTAAATACTGAACACAAGTTGTGCTTTGCCTCTTTAGCTTCATCACTTTGGTATTTGCCATGAAAATCAGCAGAAACACGTACAGATTTAAGGTATTTACATTGATGATGTCTTACTGAAGTTTGGAATGAAATAATTACAACAGAAATGTCTCTTTCACTGTTAGCCTTCATTGCAGACTGAAAAATAATTAATGATCCAGCAGATCTGGTTTGTTGAATTTCAAAAACATACTCACCATTAATTAACAATTGACTTCTTTTAATAGCGCTTTTCTTTGTAAATTTTTACATTAGGTTTCTAAGCTTAAAATGCTCTAAGACATGATTGCACACCACATCAAACAACACCTTTGCATCTGCTGTTTAAAATCTGCTTGTCAAGGGGAAATAAATTTTATGCTGCCTGCTCATGATCTGATTGGTAGAAGACAAAATAGACAGAAGTTCCTAATACAAACTGGTCCATTAGAAAAAAAAATTAAAACATACAAACATTCCTGAAGACAGATACTGTAAAATTCCGAAAATAAGCTCCTCCATGTATAAGCCCCTCCAAATATAAGCCCCCTAAACCAGTAACACAAAAAACCCTCCGTTAAATTGCCCCTCCAAATATAAGCCCCCCGGGGGCTTGTACTTGGAAAATTGCCCTCAAATACAAAGTATAACAAAGCAAAAACGGTAAATTTACTCCCAATTATAAGGCTAGCCCAATCGATTTTGAAAAGCAAATTTCCCTCCGTAGAGAAGCCCCTCCAAAAATAAGCCCCTCAAAAAGGGCCTATTGAAAAGTATAAGCCCTGGGGCTTATTTTTGGAATTTTACAGTACCTAGTCAATGAACCAAGTCTGATATATTCAGTACATACCAAGGCATTGCTAGAGGGGCTCCTCTCCCTGTTACTTGCTGGAATCCCCAGACCTCCTGTGATGCACATCTGGAAAATATTTACATGTTTATGATTTAGAAAAGACAACCTAGTCTCTCCCTCACAGCTATTTTTGTCTTGTCACCCAAATGCAATACTCCTTCTCAACAAATGGTTACTCACATTCAAACCACACTCTTTCCCGATTTTAGCCAATCCCAGCTAACTGCTTCATGCCAAATTATCCTTTCACATGCTGTCAAATCATAACCTGCATGCTATTGCCTCATATGTGATGCACATTGAGTTCACTCTCATCACATTCATTAGTTGTTGTTCCAAATGAAACCGACTTAAGATTGCATCGATTTAACAAAAAATCAATATCCATGCCAAATATTAAATTTGAAGTCCACTTGACACTGTATACTTTTTTTCTTTACTTGCAATTCCAATGACTTGTTTTATAAACATGCAAGCTTTAAAATATAATATTAATGTCCATATCACAGGACAAATTTAATTTCAGGCTAAATTTTTTTAACCAAGGTTGATTCTCAATTATTATTTCCTGAGAATACTGCTCAATCAACCTCGGTTAAATAAAAATTAACCTAAAATCAAATTTGACCCCTAACATCAACAACTGTAAAGTGACAGCTGGACCAACGAACAAGGCTGATAAACTGATATCAATCAGCTGTTTCCTGCCAAAAATATTTTGGCAATGGAAAATTAACCGTCTGGCTTTTCTACCAAGCTTTATACAGTTTAAAGTTGCTCCCTTCAGAGCAAGTGTGCATTTCACAGAAATCATTGATGTCAATTCACTGCAAGAAAGCAAAACAGAACTGCGGCGGACACCTCTATACAACCAGAAATCACACGGACTCATTCTTTGCATGAAAACTGACATCATTCTTATAATTTGTTGATAAATGATTGATCATTTCAGTGACAGATAAAACAATACTGGGAAGGAATGTGGTTTGAATGTGAGCAGCCATTTGTTGGGAAGGAGTACTAATGTTGCATGACACAGGGTGCAAAGAAACTAATTTTTACAGCTTGCCATTCAGGCAAGCTGAAACTAGCATTTACTAGCCCAGACTTCATTTCAACTAGTCCCAAAAGCTTTTTGACGAGCAGAATTGGTTTCACAGTTCTTCTGTTATTCAAATTCCTCAAAAAACATCACTTGCCCGTCCGGCAAGTTAAAAACAGAATTCACTAGCCCGATAGCAAAATCCACTAGCCCCGGGCTATCGGACACGACTTTCTTTGCACGCTGATGACAAGACAAAAATGGCTCCTACTGCCAGGGAGACTAAAGACAGCCAGGACGAGGGTAAATCAACCTACTTGGATGAGATTTGGATGCACGCTTTATTTTTAATATCAGCTTGGGGGTTTCTAGAGTAGGTACATATTTTAGAAAAAATTAATGCTGACACTGTATTCAACATGATATAAACCTGATCTAAAATAGGTTGAATTCATACTTCCAGTAGTAAGCTTAATTACATGTACAAATTAGGAGTGCACCTGACAGGCTCCCCAGGGTGATTGGGGCATTTTCAAAGCACGTCATGAAGTACATATGTAAATAAGTGACGGGGATGATCGAAGGATTTTTTGGGGTTTGAAATTTTTGATTCCGGGATTTTTTTGGGTACGAAAATCTGGCAAGTATTTTTTTGGGTAGCTTGATTTGAGTAGGGATTTTTTGGGGGTATTAAAAAGAATCGGTAGTACCCTGGCTGCGTAGTTCTGCGAATAAAGTACAAACAAACGTGTTTTGTTGTTGTTTAATAGTTAACTATGGTGTCACTTTACATTGCACATGTTATACAATAGTCTGCATTTTTGGTCCAAGGATTTTTTTGGGTCTTGACTTTTGGCTCCATTCGATCATCCCCACTTGAAATCCTGAGTACCCCCGCTGGGATTGTTGGCAGCTTTAGTCGCATTGAAAAAGGCTTAGTAAGCTTAATCAAACTTCGGTTAGTAACGTCCGCGAAGCAGCGCCAAGATACTTGTTCTGGGAAACCAATGGACTCAATGAATTACTAGAAATAAGTTTCGAATTTCCCTTCAATCTTACTAGCAATAAAGCTTCCCTTTTTTACATTTTTAGAAGGAATACGTGCACGGAAAGATACAGCTGTTGTTAAAGGCTTGATAACTATAATCCGCTTAAGGATGAAAAAAAGTGGGAAAAGTTGAGAGTGAACTCGAGGGAGAAGTATTTTTTATCGATTAAACAAATATCAATATGACAGGCGATCGCGAACTCGTCCTTGTCAATGTAATTAGCAACAGAGTGTGAAATCAACATTCAATGTATTCGAAAAAGAATCGAACGTTCGAACGTCTTGTAGGTTTACACCGAGCGCACACGGCTTTGTGTATACTTTTTTGGTCTGTTGTAAGCGGAAATATAACTTTTGCTTGTGTTATAGAGTTGACGCAAAAAAAATTAAAGTCGTAAATGCACAAATCAACCTACCCAAGCTCCACACCAAATACCAAAGCATCCATACCCTGTCCAAAAATAGCCATGTAGACGATCGATGATTCCAAACACAAACAGCAACACTCCGACAATGATATGTGCTAAGGCGATGAACCTCGCGTATTTCAAAGTATTTGTTATGTTCTGCGCCATTGTGACCTCTTCCTCTAGTTCGCGCTGACGACAACGTCCTTAAATAGCTTCTGCTTGATAAATATTTATTTGGTTGCCGCCATTTTGAATCTTATTAGTTGACAGAGAAGCCCTGGGCCGAGATAAATGGTACGCAATGCATGCAAAGTAGAGGGTTTTTAATTTCAAAGAAAAAATTCCCGAAAATTCCCCCGAACAAACAGCGAATGGTAAGTAAATGTTCCTGGGAAAGATTCCAAAGAACCGAAAAAACTGGAATTTAGTTGCGTATTATTAAGCGCAAAATTGATGGAAGTTCTAAAATTCCTTGACTTTCCAGATCTCTCTTAGAACGCTGACCCAGTCAAATTCCCAGGTAACGTGCTCCTTTTTTCTTAAATGTATTATATCACACAAGAAGAATAGAGAGGGAGTTGCTTTGCTCGGTGCAATCTGGCCATGTATATATCAATATAAAACTGAAAAAAGTGCGGAAAAGTATTTATACATCCGTTTCTCCTTGCTCCTCGCCGCAAGGGGCAAGGAGAAATGGCTGTATTCGCAGGCTAGTATTTTACTTGCAGTGCAATAAGTGACAAAAGTAAAAATTTCAAGTGATACTTGTAAAGTCTGAAGGGATTAGCAGCCGGACCAACCTAGTATATTTTGCTCTTGAGCATAACAAATTCAACTACCTAAAAGACGAATCATTCTCCAATCAGCTATGGATCTGCCTTCTGAAATGCTTACCTGGAGTGGTCGTTGTCTGTGTTTCGGGAGGCCTAGACAATGACCTTAACCATTTTCTCTCGGTTCGGGGAAGGAGCGCGGGCTCATTTTCTGAACAGCTGCTGGTAATCGAGCCTACGAAGGCAGCTACCTTATTCCTTCTTTTGTTCTTTTTTTGTCTGACTGAGCTGGAAAACGTAGGCCGCCACTTCTCTTTTTATACATCTGCCACAGGAATAGTATGCTACACAGCCTTTTTTTTTTTCGTCACGCAACGCTTCCCCCTCCCTCCCCTTCCCTCCTCTCCTTTTGAAGATTGAGGAGAGTAGGGTGACGACAAAGAACGGGTGGGTAGCAGCGGTCTCCCCGAGGAAAAATAGGATCATTATAGAGTGTTTTCACTCACGTGGCCAGCATCTATGCAAATTTATCGGAACAAAAGAGAGCGTTTGCATAAGAAAAGAGTTCAACTCCCAAAGGATTAGTTTGGGACACCAACATGGCCGCTGTTTCATTGTTTTGGGACACCAATATGGCCGCCGTGACGTCATGTGAAAACACTCTATACGTTTCTGGGAAACTGCCTTCCTACCCCACCCCTAAGCCAAAATTTTGCCCTATGTGAGAAGTAAGTGTTAATGTTGACTTAGCGGAGGGGTAGGAGGGTAGTTTCCCAGAAACGTAGATACCGTCTAAGGCTTTTACAAGCCATAATCAACACAAGGATGTTAACACTTGCCATGTGCATAAATAAGCATACCCAGGAGAAGAAGAATAAAACTTTGGCGCGACTAAATTTCGCGCTCAGGATGAAGAATGTTTCTACCTTGGGAAGAGGCTAAATGAACGTGGCAAGGCCCATTTATCGTTGTCTATAATTAACGTACTTATAATGAGTGCGTCCTAGCTAGAAATAACACCGACAAAAGTATGAGACAAAAAAGAATAGAATGTTTCGATTTTCTTTTATGTTTATTTGACGGCTGACATTAGCTAGGGAGCTTAAGCAACAGCGTTTTTGAGCGACGGACGTCAACCGGAAGTGGACTTTTTGCATCATTGGGCAGTGTTTTGGCTGAAACTTTCGGGTAAATCGCCTTTATTAGGAAAAAGAAATTCAGCAATACAAATTTGTTAGCGTCAAGGCATATAAAAAGGGAGAAGGCCTCAGTTCCGGTTGACATGTGTCGCTCAAAAACGTCTTTGCTCACTATTATTACTCGGGGGGCGGGGGGGGGGGGGTATATAAAAGTGACGAGGATGCTCGGGGGGGGTATATAAAAGTGACGAAGATGCTCGTCAGAAAGTTAAAATTCACCTAGTGGCTATTCGTACCCCTAATGGAGCCTCGGACCAATAAAGGTGGGCTCAAGCTTAAAACTGACCCCTAAAAACATACATAATGGCACTTTTGGTAAATTCCTTTGTACACAGCCCTAACCGATAAATATAGTACGTTTTCGTACATTATTGACATTATTTATATTTATTATATTTTCTTTTGTAAAGCGCCCTGAGCCCATGGATATGGCGCTACAAAAATGCTTTTATTATTTATTTATTTACTATAACTTCGGCTTCAGCCTTCAATTTTATGGTGTGGCCTTTTTTGTTTCTGTGGCGTTTTAACGGCTTCGTTTGAAGCTGGCGTTTTGTTGCCGACAAATAAATAATAAGAAAAACAACTAGTGGCCATCTATCGTTTAGACTCCTGTTCTTTCTTTCTTTCCTTCCTTTTAATTAATTAATTTATTTATTTATTATTGGGCTGCCTGTAACAATGCCTAATCTCAAAATGGGCTTAGCCTCTACGCAGTAAAAAGACAAAATGGCGGAAGGACTACAATAAGGCCCGATCTTTTGATTTTGAGGGGAGGGATGGGTCATTTTAGATAAAAATTCCGGTAAACTTATTTGGAACGAAGAAAGTATCCTTGCCTGGTATTCTTATTTACGCCTAAAAATAGGGGGAAATGGGTCACGTCGCAAGCCTCTTTGTTCCATTGTTCTGTTTAATTCTTAACTATATATAGAAATACGTAACTCGCGAAACTGGCCACTTAAATTAAGCCGTGTTGGGCCCGCCGCAAATTTCCTGTCGTGAAGGCAGTGGGCTCAATTTCCGCCGCTCTCTCGGTTCGGGCAAGCTCATTCTCTCTTGGTTCGGGGGAGGAGCACGAGCTCATTTCCCGACCAGCGGCTGGTAATCAAACCTTTGAAGGCAGCTACTTTATTCTTTTTTTTGTTCTTTTTTTCCGACTGAGCGAGAAAACGTAGGCCGCCAATTCTCTACTTATACATCTGCCGCAGGAATAGCATGCTACAGAGCCATTTTTCTGTCGTCAAGCAACGCGCTCCTTTCTCTCTCTCCTGGTTGAAACTTTCGAGTAAATCATCATTATCAGAAAAAAGAAAGTTAGGAATACAAATTTGTTAGCGTCAAGGGATATAAAAAAGGAGAAGGCCTCACTAAGTTCCCCATTACTATTCAGGGGGAACCCCATATAAAAGTGACGGGGATGCTGGTCAGAAAATTAAAGTTGAACCCTTAATGGAGCCTCGGACCAATAAAGGTGGGCTTAAGCTTAAAACTGACCTCTAAAAACATACATCATAGCATTTTTGGTAAATTCCTTTGTGCACAGCCGACTCATGAATGGATAAATATAGTACCTTTTCGTCCCAAAAAACCTAAAGAACCCTTACACGAGAAGACGAGCATCCCCGTCACTTCTAAATGGGAGTCCCCCTAGGGCTTTATTGCCAGCAAGCAAAAGTCAGTGTCTTGCGCAAATGCCGGCCATGTCTCACTTGTGAGAACGTTACCCAGGCTCTTAAAACCAAAAAAAACGACATGGAAATTTTATTCAGTTATACACTGACATTTTGCAGGTTGGAACTGTCTAGTTCATTCTACTAAGGGTATTCTTCGTAATAAGCGCCCTCCCTTGAACTGATAAGGTCTTATTTCCAAACGCTACTTGGACGCTTCATTAAAGAGTAGTCAAGTCGTTTGTCTTCGTCTATCGGTAACGTTCCATTTCCGTCTCCTTGAAAGGTACGTCGTGGAAAACGGTCAGATTAGAGGGAGGGCAAAAGAGATCAAATCAGAACCAAAAGGTTTTATCGGCAATAATCTTCTGAAATAACCCTACATGTGAATTTTTTTGCCATATTCTCTACAAATTGTGTCGATTCTCTTAACATTCAAGTCGCCAGAGATCCTCGGCGACGTCCACCTCCAAGCAAGAGGCTTTCCAAGTAGCTGCCATCAAACACTAATGCTAGCATTGACACCACTTTTTTATCACTCTCCCATCTTTCTGGCGCATCAGGTCAAAGCATTAGCACTGAGACGATTCGCAAGCGTAAACTTAACACCAGTTAAACTGGAGGTTCCAACTTTACAGGTAGGTCAAAACAGAATACTAGAATAAAAAAAATGAGAACTCAAGTAAGACTTGGTAGTAACTGCCGAACAAGAAGAGTTTGACGAAGTAAGAATTGGCGGAGCTGTGTCACGGAAATTGTCAAAATTCAAACAGTGGGTACTGAGTGAAACATACCAATAACCTCTCAAAACGTTAAAAGAAATAGAGGATATTACATGGCCGAAACGAAATTTCTCTTCTCGTGTTGAAAAATATTTCACGAGTGAGCGCAGCGAACGAGTGAAATATTTTCAACACGAGAAGAGAAATTTCTTATCTCCAAGCGGCCATTTAAGGTTCTATTTATTATATAAACACCAATGAAATACCAAACCATTTCAATGAAACAGTTTTTTCCTGCGAAAGGCGCGATTCATTATGTAGCCATAGCAACGGTGATATTTTCACGTGTGAAAATAACATGTTTTCGCGCGAAAGCTCACCTGGTATTTCATTGGTGTTTATATAATTAGGTATAAATAACACAGCAAAAACAAAAGAAGGAACGGATGGACTAGACTGCAAAACAGTCGGGTTTTTTTCTCAAAATGAGTAAAGAAATTAGTAAAGCGTGGCGTAAGAGTCTTACGCGCGCGAAGCACGCGAGCCTCAAACGCCCGCGAGAGAGGCGTATTTTTAGCGTCTCTCCCCAGTCTCGCTCTCTGTTTTCAACCTCGTTCCAGACCTTTTGTTTAACTACTCGCGCGCACTTGAATACGCAAAAATACGGACTGCTTTGCAGTCTAAGGATGGACAAACGTAGATTTAAACGGATTGTAATTGATTTGAGGTTTTGAAAACTTGATAGCCTAAAAGTTGAGTTGTTTGTAACGTTTGATATAATGAGTCGAGACACCGCAAAATCGCTGTGCACTGGCCCACGAAAGTGTGACCGGTAGCAAGAGAGGATAAAGGGGACAGAGAAGGCATCCCCCATACACACCCTATTCCATAGGTAATTCGTCTCGAGTTATTTTTTAAGACACACAGATCCCAAGGGGGATTAGACAACAGCCAATCACATAGCGAGAATGAATTCCGCGTGGATGACCCACGCTCAGAGCCACGCGTTCTTCACGAACTGAAGCAGAAAAAATGGCGGAATACTCGGACAGCGATATTGCTATTCGTTTTGTTGACGAAAACGACTAAAGAGAGATTTCTGCTAAAGCGGTGTCAGCGAAATGGAAATTAAAAAAGAATCGCCCTTCCTCTCTTGTATAGAGCTAACAGTACAGCAGGGAAATCATTAACACACTGAATATTCTCTAAGGATCATTTATAATTTACAGTTTGAAGAGAGCAATTTCTGGTTTGATATTTGTTCTTTTATTAGTCTTTTATTATTCAACGAAAATAACACTTGGCGTCCTACTTGCTTTATTATACAAACAACCGATTTCAATAGACCGGCGAAATTTCTCATTTTATTAAAGCACTGAGGTTACGACAACTTCGAGTTAAACTGATTTCACGGGTTGTCAAAGAGTCCAGCGATTCCCTTTTCCCAGGTGAGCGCCGACTCATTTCGCTTCAATATTCAGAAATGCTCTCGATGTCTTCACGCTTTCATTGCCTTTCGCCCGACATGTTTTGCACGGCGTTTAGTCATGTGAAACCTCCACGAAACATCCACGCAGCGCGCGAGGTAACTTTATCCCGATTCTAAAAATAACTCAAGACGAATTAAGCGCCGCGGCGCTTATCACATTATTTTCGGTAAAGGAGCGGCGCTTAATCGATCACTTACTGTAAGCTCCCTAATAAACTCCTTGTATTACAGCCAAATTTGTTGTATCGCGCTGCGCGTTTGCAAACTTCTAATGGGTTTTTCTGTTCCGTCAATCATTTGACTGGGGGCGGGGTTAATGCAAATCACAATGCCACGCGCTCGCCCAGCTTGGCCCGCAAAAACAAAACTCAGCATGACTCTAGACTGCTCAAGAATAGCGAAGGAAATCGCGATAATGAGTGGAATTTTTGTCGAGGGCAGGAGGCAGGCATCGCTTTATTCTTGCAAGAGACAAGAATAAGAAAGATCAGATTAATCTTCGAAGAAAACTAGTCGACTATTGACCGAAACAGGGCGATCACAAGCAACGAACCTTGAAACACCGAAACAAACAAAGTGGACCGAAATGCATCAATCACAAGTAAACATGTGTTTCCTAAGAGGTCCGCTAAGATGATTGACGGAACAGAAAAACCCAAAATTTCTTCGAAGTTTGCAAAACGCGCAGCGCGATAAAACGAATTTGGCTGTAAACAAGAACATAACGCAATTTATACTTTACACTTACTTGTTCGTCTTCTGTATAAGGAGGAGGTGGCTCTCCCTCAGCTCCCGATGATGGACCTCCAGTTGCACATGTGGAAATCTGGTGATAAGGTGGAGGCGGGCCGGTTTCCTGGACAACACTTTGAGGAGGCATCGGAGTCACCTCCAAAGGGACGAGTAGGAGATCAGGATCCTGGGAACCAGGTTGGGTGTCACCATGATAGGGTGGAGGCTGGCCGGTTTCCTGGACAACGCTTTGGGGAGGCATAGCAGGCATCTCCAAGGGGACAAGTAGGAGATCAGGATCCTGGGAATCTTGGGGAGGCATAGAAGCAATCTGGGCGTCACCACCAGGAATGTTAACAACACCTCCAGTTTGCAGCACAGGAAAGGCCACAGGGACACATCCACCACCTCCACGACCCCGCCCTATTGCATTATCTCCAAGGACCACACCCTGACCAGTTATATACATAACGGAACTGGTCTGCAAAGAAGAAAAACAAAACAAAACTCGACTTAGTACGGAACTTGCAAACAACATGTGACAGAAGCTACCTTCCCTCTCCACAACATGCTTCCCCCCAAAAAAACTACCTATAGTACCCGGGTAATAATGTTTGTTCCTAACAACAAACAAAATAGGCGTATATAAAATTACCAAGAAAAAAATCGTACCAGTTTTTTTCTACACCTATATTTAACTTCGAGATTTGACAGTACTTCACTTTCTATTGGATGTGAAATCAAGATGACTCTTGAAAAATTTCTTAATGACACTGCTTGAAAAACAAAACACTAAATAAAAATGGACTGTATTTGATGCCCTCCAAAAAGCTTACAACCTCCAGTCGCTCAACAGACTAGCACTCAACAACTGATCTATTCAAACCAGGCTGCTGAAACAATACAAAATAAAAATATTCTGAGACAATAATGCTACAAAAGTTAGTTTTGTTTCATTGTTACCTACCTGACCAGACGAATGAGCACAGCAATCACATATTAAGCATCCAGACATTGAACCCGCAATTCCAATAACAAACTCAAACATGCCAAGTACCAGGACGCCAGTACAAATGGCCTCCGGCGGCGCCAATAGAGAAAGAATCATATAGAAACTGAAGACCACAGCACCAAGTACAGTTGATGCCATGGCAAAGGCTATGAAAGTACCAGCCTGGAATTAAATTATCAATGAAAATAAGTTCGATCCCCTACTGGAAACGCGAACAGACAAATAGTTTTTAGGGCAGCTCCAAATTAACTAAAGAGGCTTCTAAATCATAGAAAACCTTCTGAGACAATTCTGACGAACACATGGAGTTGTTGGGTGCCTCCCTACTGGGCCTTTTCAGAATCTTATTTTCAAAAGATATGTTATACACTATTAAAATAATTATGGCGAATTACAAATCAAATAAAGGGAGATGTAAAGATCTCAACCATAAGAGGACACAGAAAAAATCTGAGCCCCAGATGGGATTAGAATCCACGACCCTCCGTGTTCTAGATCGGATGCTCTAACCTCTGAGCTACTGAGAACTCGTTGGCGAGCAAGGGTCATTTTTGTGGGTTGGACCTGCGTACCGCACCTCGCAGTCACACAGTCCATCACAGGCACGGAGGGTCGTGGGTTCGAATCCCATCTGGGGCTCAGATTTTTTCTGTGTCCTCTTATGGTTGATTCTTTACATCTCCCTTTATTTCCTTTATATATTAATATCAGTGGCATAGGTTGAATTACAAATCATCACGCTTATTAACGCCCAGAGGCTCAAGGGTCTTTCCTTTATGGATGTAATGCGCTTCGCGCGCCTTCCTGCTAGAATCAAGTTCAGTCCTGAGTTGTTCAAAAGAGGTGAAGAGCATATAGTTGTCAGAATGGTTATTACTAACAAAATGATCAGAAACTGCTGTATGGATGTAACTACCATTAAGTACTGGTCGCCTGTGCTCATTAAAGCGGTATTTGAGGCGACGTTTAGTTTCCCCAATGTATTGTAGATTACAAAGAGATACTGAATCATGTAGATAACATTGAACGTAGTACAAGTTATATGAAATGTAACACTCGGTAGGTTCACCGGTGGAATGAGAAGTGTATCGATTTCGGCCTTTTTCAATGTGGGACAGGTGGTACAATTCCTGCTATGGTACCAAAATAACCGCGGCAGCAGCCTGGTAGTGAGTTTCTGTGAGCTGGGCGCAACAAGGATGTCACTAATATTTGTACAGCGCCGGTAGGCTACCAACGGAAGGTTTTTAAAGACATTTCTACAACAATTGGACGAGTAAAGTACGCTACCCTGTTGAAAATCCTCACAGGATCCTTCAGGAACTCTGAGGATCGTCAAAGATCTTTAAAGATCTTCAAGCGATCCTTTTAAGATTGTTGAGAAAGTTATGAGGATCTTTCAAAGATCTGTTAAAAAATCCTTATAAAGATCTTTGTAAAGATCCTTTAAGATCCTTGAAGATTTAACTAGGATTGCTTTAATAAGGATCTTTAAATCAGGTCTTCAAGGATCTTTTAAAGAACCTAGCTGGGATCCTATAAGATCTCGGAAGGATCCTTCGAAGGATCTTAAAAAGAGGGAGTGCTTGTGAATGCTGCGCGAATTGTTAGGTAATGCTGGATCGTATGTAATGACTGTCTTAGGTTTGTTTTTGAGTGCGTCAGTTCGACGAGAAAGGTTTTGTCGTGGTCGCGTTTAGTAAGGTAGTCTATAAGTTCATTAGTACGTCGTATGTCCTGGTTAGAGGAAATGCGATTCCAGGATTTTTTTGGGCAGGAAAATTTGGCAAGTATTTTTTTGGGTGGCCTGATTTAAGTAGGGATTTTTTTGGGTGTTCAAAGATTCGTGGTATTAAAGATACCGCGTATCCCGTCCGCGCAGTTCTGTGAACAAAGTACAACCAAACTTGTTTTGTTTTGCTGGAAATTTTTACGGTTCGGAAATTCGACTTGGGATTTTTTTGGGTTTTGATTTTTGCCCTCATTCGATCATACCTGTCACTTGAAATACAGAGAACACTGCTAGCATTTAAAGAAGGTCTTTTATGTATTTGTTATTTATTTAGGAATGTAAAGCAAGTGGCTAAACGCGAAAATTACTCATTTCTGGGAATATTTTTTTGGAAAATAACGTATCCAAGTCTGATTCGTCTAAATAAAAAATACCCATACTTCATCGACATTTAGCCGGAGAATTATGCGTAGTACACGGAGAATTCCTCCGATCTCCGATGCTTAATGAAACCCCTGCTGACAGTTACAAATTTTAAAGCACCGAATTTCTGGCTGGATCTAAAAGTACTCTGCATGGATAGCCTAAAAAGTGTTTTCAATGTATTTAGAAGGAAATCGTCATTGGGTGCCCCTGAACGATTTTCCTAGATCAACAGACAAGTACAGTCACTGAAAACCTGATTAAAAATTCACCCCATATCAACACTAAATGGATGACAATTAACTGAATTGTTCATCTTCTCTACTACCAATAAACTGGATGTATACTCTGATATAATCATACTATTTGTGCTTCTTGACTCACCAAGGCATTGCGGCAAGGACGGGACCTCCCTTTTATATTTGCTAGAATCCCCAGAACACCTGTGATGCACGTCTGTCAAATAATCACATGTGAATGATTTAGAAAAGAAAGCCGTGAGAAGGATCAGCCTTTTGATCTGTACTTCAGTCTTGAGTATTTAATCAAAAGTGTGCAAAGTTCTGGTCTCTGTTTAACCTGCGATCATGCCCTCCCTATATAAGACTTGCTGCAAGTTGACCTCACGAGTTTATTAGCGAGCGGAGGGGGCTTTTTAAGCCGCAAAGCGACCGAACGAGCGATGAAGTCTTCGTCCCGTGCCATATTAAATCGGATGAAGGACTTTTTTTGGAACGTCTATCCCTATTATATATCTGATCTGTATATATCTTTCATGGGAAGGAAGGCAAGATAATTATATTTAAATATCCCCTACCCCATATCTAAGCACTCTAAAATATCCTTGACCTCATCCTCTTCTACCCCTGGGGTTTGAAGAGGACTAGACTGTGACAACATTGCTCGAGTTTATTGCTTGTTTTGATTGTTCTGTCATTCACACATGGGGCACCGATAAAAGCAAAGCTGCAATTGGAGGAGTCACAGTACCGCAAACAAGGCGCGAACACCTTCCAGAAAATGGGAGCTGAATTCTAATTGGCTAACCGCGGGAAAGGAATGTGGTTCGGTTCTCAGCAGCCGTTTGTGGGGAGAAGCGTTGTGTGACGACACTAAAACCGGCCTTGTAGCAGACTAACTGGCGAGGCCTCAAGAGGTTTGTTTTGACTGCGTGTCTTGTGGTTTGCTCCGAGTTGTTGAGTGCCTGAGCGCCACCAAAACTGAGGAGATTTTACTCTAGTTGGAGCTACCTTTACTTTCCTGTCATCTTTTCACAAAGAAAGTTAAGGATTCATGCGATTCGGCGCAGCGATGGGAAGCACCCTACAGCTGCTACAGCGACAACGCGAACGTGTCACACTGAAGTGTGCTCGCTTCACTTGCTTTTGCATAAACACTGTTGAATTTAGTATATAAATGGTAATACAATTAAACGTTTTTCGATCCCGTAAGAGATCAAACTTATGATCTGTAGCCGGTCATGCGGGAGCTGATGATATCTGGAAGTTAAGAACCCTATGCGTCACCTTCTTGGTTCAATAGTTATTTACTTGTTACACTTGAATTGCACACAAAAATTAAAGGAAAACTGTAAGTCGTTACCACCAAAAATACAATCATGTCAAATAGCACACTTAGCCACTAAATGCAAACAGATCACCAAGCGCACACGGGTAAACACGGGTTTTGTGACTTTTGTACTTGTTGATTTCTCGCCCCGAAGAAGGCGAAAATATGCTTTTTAGCTAGCTTCCATCAAAAGCAGAGGAAGGCAAGTTAATAGGTCCTAAATTCTCCGAATTTAAAATTTGAAAACAAATAATATTGTTACCTACCCAAGCTCCACACCAGATACCAATGCCCATTTGTCCTGTAAAATCAAAGTAGCGGGGATGTACGTGTACACGTTCTATGATTCCAAATACAAACAACAACACTCCGACAGGGATGTGTACCAAGGCAATAACCTTGCTAGCGCATTTCACGATACGGCTGGCATTTTCCACCATAGCTGTAACCGATTTCTGCACAATGATGGCTTGGGCATCTTAGGCTCTGTTTACACGTATCCGTACGCAACTTTTTTTCTCCGTTTTCAAAAGCGTGCGTGTCCACTCGTAGCGTTTTCGCATCATTTTGGCTTGTCCACACTTCAAATCGTTTTCAAATCGATTCTCGTACCCGACTGCGCATGCTTGACCCATACCTGTCCGCTACTATGAGCCCGCGAAATAAAAAATGGACGCTATCTTTGAATTTCTTTGGTGTGGCTTTAAATATTGATGTGACCTTCTCCGAAGCCGGAGAATCAGTTTAAAATGTCAAAATCCGGGCAAAAACAAAGTCAAACTACAGGGAGATCCAACCTTCGGCCTCTTGACACCGGTAGCGAAAGTAACCTGATAATGTTCTACCGCCTCCTGGAATAATCAGGTCGAAGAATTAACAAAGCTAAATTTGCTTGAAAACAAGCAATTAGGTCAGAAATAAGCCCAAGTATAAAAGACAACGGAAGCGCCCGTCCGCCATCTTGAATAAGTTTCTAATATTGCGCGGAGTGGATTGGAACTGATATTGATACTCGAACTAGTGTGTCCTCAGAGTTTTCGAAAAGTTCCATTTTCGCCTGTCCACATGTACCAGCGCCGTAGCTAGTATGAGGCCAACCGAGGCACTCGCCTCGGTAAAATTTTGACGAATTTCGCCGATCATTTTTATTTTACATAAGCGATCATCGGATATTTTTAACGCATCATGATATTACAAAGAATTCAGCAATTCAGTCAATATACTATGAAAAAATTACCATATCATCGATCTCAAGGGGCTACGTACGTTAACTCAAATTTTTTTTGAACAAATACTGATCAAAACCATTGGCGAGGTTAACGGTCACCCAGATTATGTAGCTTGTTTCTGATTATTGCTTTTTAAATTCCACTTAAATTAACTCGAAAAAAAGTTACCGAAAGGCCCAGAAAACGCTGCAAATCGCATTTCCGAGAGACTAAAGTTCAAAATTTCTCGGGGGGGGGGTGGGCATGCCCCCGAACCCCCCTAGCAACTCCCGCCTGCCTCGGTTGGCCGTTTGGTCTGGCTACGGCACTGTGTACACGCGAAAACTGCGTTTTCAATAAGTTCCACTCTGAAAAGCGTTTTCTAAAGGTTCCGTTTTCATTAATCGTTTTCATCTGATACGAGTGGACGGAAGCCATCCGTAAATAAAAGTTGCTTTTTCAAATGAAAACGGATAGGTATCGACAAGGTCTTAGTAGTGCGGTGGTGCGGAACCGCGCAGTTCACAGTAACATCCGCATCTTATCACCTGACCCATTTTGAATTTCCAAGCTTCCATGTCTACTATTGACTCCCTGATTTTTATTCTCGTAGCCTAAATCTTGTTGATGCTAGAAAGAGGAAAAATCAGGGACCAGGTCCCAGGGTACCAAAAATGCCCGTAAGAACTGAGAATATATTTTGCAATGTTCACATGCCCGAATCTTTTGGGCCTTTTAGTATGGAGTCTAGAAACAAATCCCAAATTATTGGCGAAGAGGAATTTTCTGTTGCAATTAGCTGCGGGTCCAACCACAAAATGACAGGACTATATGACGACCTCAGCGATACCACCATCACAAAACTAGGGCTATTTCTCTGAAAAGAAAAAATTAAGGGGTCTGTGATTTCTCAACGTTCGTTGTTTTATTGCTTCGGAGTTGCTTCGGTACTAACATGATGTGTTGTAATTCAGTGAAATAGGATACACATGTACAGTGTACCCCGCACTGTGTGTTATGTCTCTTTTAGCCTGCGCATGCGTAGCAACCGTATCCGTTTCTTTTAGCCAAGCAAGAGGAGTGAGAATTTTTTTTCCTCTCAATTTTTATAGTTGCTCCATGCCCTCGCGCGCGTCTCCTGCGCTTCTCCCGCTGGGTCTTAGTGCCCATAACTTAAAATGTTTATTTATTTGATTGGAAGTTAATATGACTACGAGAAACTCTGTGAAAATACTTTGCGACTTAAACACAACATGATTTTTTTTATAATGTTTTAGAAGCGTTCAAATTTGCCGCCATTTTGGCACTTCATTCGTCTAACTCTTCTCCCGGAAAAAGGAGGGGGCAACGATAAAATCACGTTAGTTTATGTCTCATGACGTCACATTTGACCTTGTCAATTAAGTGATGAGCGAAACGGGTGTGCCAAAGAAATTTAGACTTAATAATTTTCTAAAAAAAATCTCATTGTGCTCAAATCGCAGGGTACTTTTGTTCTAGACGCTGCCATCGAAAACGTTACAGCAAAAAAGAAATGGATTCACCTAAATTAGCCTGCGTAGCAAGCGTTTCCGTGCGGTTTAGGAGCAAAGAACGAGGAACGAGAGTCGAAGACTGCGCGAAAAATGGTGCAAGTAAAAGAGCGGGGAGGGGGTGGGGAAGAAAGTTTCCTTCTTTCCCCTCCCTCTCCCCCCTCTTTCATTTTTTGGCTCTCGTTTCATTTCTCAGGCGGCCAAAACTGGTCTTTCTTTGCTCCGAAACCAAACGGAAACGCTTGCTACGCAGGCTACACGTAAATGTGAATAGAGTTTTGATCACATTTTCGAAGTGATCAGGAGGGGGGTCAGAGCTAAGCTTGCCTTTATTGGCCGGGGGGCGCTAAGTGATATTACTCTAAGTAAGCCTAATTTTTCAGCCCCTCCCCCCCCTCCTGATAAATATTGCACAGTCCCTTATTACAATTTGCCTCCCAAAATCTTTGCTCGCTAGCCCTTCGTGGAGAAAAAATGTAGCTTTGAAATTTTTCCTCAGTACAAATTTTTTTCACATCTATCGGTCAGCGCCTCGGTTCAAAACAATAGCAGACGATGTAGATTAAACATTAGTTAAAAACTGGAGGCTTCCTCGAGGACACAGTAAATTCTCTTCCTGAAGTTAGAAAAAAAGAAAGAACGTAAGTGAGATTTAGCTGTGACTAAGTCAAGTGAAACGTTTGACACAGTATGGATTTAAAGGGATCAGAGCTCCATTTCAAATTTTTGAAATTTTTAACTTCTGGTGGCCATTATTGGAGACGCCGTGTTGGAACCCAACCGGATGGGCACCAACACGGCGGCCGGAAGCCAACAGATCGGTCAATGAGTTTTGCAACGAAAGTGTGAATTCACCTCTCAAGGAACTCATAAACAGTAAAGTAGAGCTTTTTCTAATATAATGATTGTTCCGATATCAAAATCCCCCAAAATAAGTTACTTTTCAGTTTTAACCTACATGAAAGATCTCTCGGTCGCTAAGAAATTGCCATGTCACGCAAAAGCTTAGGAGTAGTGCCCGTTGTTCTCGAAATGATAATTTGTGTAAATACTAGTTTTTAGATGGAATACTTCATGATGGTAAAAACTCAGAAGGACTGATAATTCCTTAGTTTTGAATTTTGAAGACGTCATGTGAAAACCAGCAATAATTAGCGTTCTATCAGGATGGTAAATAGGTTTCGCGTGACGCGTACAAATAATTAGGCTATACAGTATTTACAGACCCCTGATTTTAAAAAATACGCTGTACTGTAAATAAAGCCAGTTAAATGTTTAAAAATAAGAAAACAAACCAAAACATTGTTCGCTTATGCATCAGTCAATTCCAGCTGCGCCCCCCCCCCCCGCCCTTTTCCCCTTCCGGGCTACTGCGGGGCATTTGCCCGCCTTGTCAGTCCCGGGAGTCGGGCATTTGCAAATTTTGCACTGTCCGGGGGACGGGCTTTTGCCAACCCGGGGCCATTCCCGAGCTTTTGACACGCACACGGTTTCTATTCAGAATATAACTACACAGAAGGTTTTACTGGAAAAAAAGCAGATTGGCTCATCTGTCAAAGACAGGAATAAATTGAAGAGGGTTGTAAAGGCATTTTCTCGATTTTATGCATGCATTTCTTCATTGCTTCATTACACAGCGCAAACCGGAGCTATCGATGTGAATCAACGTTTTTGGTTATTGAATCAAATTTCTGTTGATATGATTTGAAGAACATCCTTTCATATTTAGAAAACTACTCATAACATATAAAGTTACAGCGCTCTATTGATGGGCGCAGCTGGAATTGACTGATGCATTAAATCCAAGTTTCAGATCAGTATCGTACAGTGACGATAAAGAATAACGGACCAAGTAGTGCTGTGATGCACCTGTAAGGTTGTCGTTTGGCTTTGTAATTTTGATTGAAAAATTGTTGTTTGTTGTTGGTTTTACATTATTGTTACCGGCGCTGCCTTCTTCGCCGATTAAGGAGCTCCTTTTTGGCATAGACTGTTCACAGTCCCTTATTTTTCGGTGAGATCGTCGAGATGTAGCGCGTCTTACCATTAGTGGCGGCCATCTTGATTTTCAAATGTACCGAGGGGGCAGGCGTCAGGGATTATAGCTCTTGCCCCGCCCCCTAAGTAGTTTTGACACTCATGCAAGATGGCAGCCCGTAACGCAAAGCGCTCGATCTCGACAATCTTTCGGGAAATAGGGGACTGTGAACAGTTAAGTTTCTGCATTAAACAAGAACAAATTAACACAACACTTTACACTTACTTGTTCGTCTTTGCTGTAGGGAGGAGGTGGATCTTCCTCGGCTGTAGGTGAGAGACCTCCAGTCGTGGAAATTTGGTCATAAGGTGGAGGCTGGTCGGTTACCTTGGTAACACCTTGAGGAGGCATGGGAACTATCTCGGCGTGACCATGAGGAACAGTAACACCACCTTCAGTTTGTTGCACAGGAAACGCCATGGGGACACCACCAGGACCTTCGGCAATGACGTAACCACCAGGGACCACACCCTGGCCAGCCACATACATTACTGATGTGGACTGCAAAAATGGCAAACAAAAACAAAAACAACGACAATTATAATAACAACATAGTCATGGGTATGGACCGTGCAAAGGATATTTGAAGGAACCCCTCCAACCTCTCCCCCCACCAGAAAAAAATGATGGTCCCATACATCCTTGAATTACCCTCGGCTAGTAAAATCCCCAGGTGGGGGTGTGGCTTCGGATTTCAAATGACGGGAATGATCGAATGGGGGCAAAATCAAAACTCAAAAAAATCCCTGGACCAAAAATTAGCCCCCACCTAAAAAAAAAATAAATAAAAATTCCCATGCCGAATTTCCAAGCTCTCTGGATTCTAACAACAGTCGAGGCACCCAATTCAAGAACATCGTCTGTTTCACATGATGCAGAATGACAACTTCAGATTGTTTTGAATAGCCAAAAAACATCCCTAGGTAAATCAAGCTATTGTAGGAGAAACGGCTGTATTCTCAAGCTAGTTTTCAAGCACTTGTTCATTCTTCAATTGTTCTTAATTACCTGATCTGAAACAGCTCCACAGCAATTACAGATTGTGCTGCACATTGAGAATGATCCTGCGATTCCAATAGAAAATTCAATAATGCCAAGAATCATCATGGCAAGTGTGATAATGATTTCTGAATTAAAACGATGATGTCCCAGCTGCAAGAATGCAGTAAAAAAACCGTAGCAAATAATGACCACTCCACCAAATACAGTTGAGGTGATGGTAAAACCCATGAATGTACCAGCCTGGAAGGAAATCATTTATCAAATATCTGAGGTCATAGCTGATAAATTATCTGATATTTAACAATTATTCCACGAGTGCACGTTGGATATGAGTTGGTTATAATCATCTCATATCCAACAAGCGCGCAGAATAACTGTTTAATTAAAAAACGCCCTCAAAATATCGAGAATTCTTCCCGACTTTATTTGTAAAAACGAAAGATTTTCAGCTTGTTTTTAATTTTGAGCAGACACGTACAGTTACCATTGGAGAGCACGGTATAATGGCTTATATACCATGATGGCTAAGCCAATCAGAGCTCTGGAATTGCATTATACAATTATTTAGTTTGTAATAATTATTAATATCTAGAACCAGCTGCATATGAGTGACATAATGTTCTCTGCTTGCAAAGTATTGATGTATCATGAAAAAAAAACCGTCATTGATAAAAATGTGTTTTGTAAACTGAATAACAAACAAAATGCTAACTTAAGATCTACTGTTGCTTTTATAGAAACACCGTGCGGAACGCCTTATATCCAGTGTTGATGTTATGCCAGCTAAGGAGAGCATTATTCTAAGGCCTCCAGATATTTTTGAAAACGGAGATTTTTTTTTGCCGTTCTCCGAAAACTAGGCTTCCACACGTAGTGTATTGGAATCGTTTTCGCCTATAATCCACACAAAAACGCTAAAACGATGAAAATTAGATAGCAACCCTTACAGGGCATGCGCTGTGTGACGTATGACGTCATCGCATTTGAAAACCTCACGAAAACGATAAAGACTGGTTTCCACTAGCGACGGAGCCGGAGTTGTAATCAGACGCGTAGAACTTTACGATTTAGTGAAATTAAACAGCGTTCTTATTCCGCTTACGACTCCGTCGTTTATCGGATCAAGTGAGAACTAGGTTGTCGGAGTCGCAAGCAGATGCGGAAGAACTAAACCAATCACAAAGCGTGGGAAGGTGGATTGTGAGTGGTTTACAGTTATTCCACTTCTTCTTCTGCGCGACTCCGACAATCTGGTTTTCACTAGATCGTAAGCGACGGAGTCATACGTGGAGTCGTAAGAAAATGGAAACGTTCTGATTCTTCCGACTCCCATTCCGTCGCGCTTATGACTCTGCTTACGACTACGACTCCGATGTGCGCTTAGCACTGGAAAGTATAGGGGCTATATAAATATTTATTACTATTATTATTATTTTTATTATTATTTATTATTATTATTATTATTATTATTATTATTATTATTATGTTTGATAAGAGTTCTAACGACTTCGCTTACGACTCCAACCCCGACTCCGTCGCTGGTGATCCAGCCTTGAGCCGGCTATTTTAAAAAACTCCACTCTGGGAACCGTTTTGGGAAACCTAGCACGTTCTTGGTGCCCTAAAACGCAGTTTACGTGTGGACGGAAGGCTAAAAATCACCGTTTTCAAAAATATATGGATACGTGCTGAAGGAGGCCTAAGCGAAATAGAGTCTGTCACTCTATATAGAAATGGCATAATAAACTGTTTTTGGACACATAATGTGACTCGATCCCTGGAAATTCTGCATGGCATATTTTCCGTTATTACACATTCATTCAAAATATTTATCCTTTCGGACTAGCTTAAATGCTCAGGCTAGCGCTAATTCGTCACAAGTAGACTATCAAAAAAGTCCTTCGTTTGAGTGAATGAAGAGCTCGCCCCGCTTGCGAAGAAACTCGTATGGTCGACTTTCAGCAAGTACGTCATAACCAGCTGGCGAGGTATGGCCATCTTCTTGAAGTCTATTCAGTTAAATCACGTCAAAAGAACAAGATATCGCCGGAAAAAAAGGGGCGGGAAAAAAACCGGGGGACGAGGTTGAATTAGCTCAGCTGTTTTTATAGAGCTGTTTGGAGAAAAAAATAAATAAATAACGGAAAATTTCACACTGGCGAAAAACAACTTAGTATTAAAAGGCATGAAAATATAACTCGACGGATGACAATTGCTTTTTGGAGAATACCTGTTAGACTAAAGATCCTGAAATTGGTGAGGAGCATAACCGGAGAGAATTGCTTGCGCCGAGTTATGGGCTCCAGCTGCCTTGTAACATTCTTAGCTACACCGGCCCCGATTGTCAACTCACCAATGCATACTGACTAGCAGAGCCTTTACTTGCTAGAATCCCAAGACCTCCTGTGATGCACATCTGTCAAAAAAGTTTCGTATGTTCATGATATAGAAATTATTGAGAGACTTTACAGCTAGAGGATATGCACAAGACGAAATAGGGAGTTTACGCAACGACGATGGCGACGGCTAAAAAAACGTCACTTAAAAACTGAATTTGCGCTGCCTCAAACTTTATCGCGCTTATTCCATCTCGTTTAATTCGTCAAATGTTGGCAAATGTTTTTGGAGTTGAACTCCAAAGGACTGCATCAAAGTTCAGGAAAAGAAAAACAAATTAAAGTTGTTGTCTTTTGTTCCCGTCCTCGACAAAACGTGAAATTAGGCAGTTTCACATTGAAGTCGTGCAACGACGGCTGAAAAATGTACAAAAAGTTTTTTTTTGTTCTCGTTGCCATCGCCATCGTCGTTGCGTAACAGGCTCCTTAATGACGTGTTTCTGCCGGAAACATAGAGTTGTCTATATGGGGTGTCTCAAAAGTTTGTTCCTGTACTTCATAAGTCTTTAATGCAGTACTATTGGACTTGATAAGCAAATCGTTCAAACAATGAGTCGTGTCTTTTAATCTTATCCCTCGGACGTAAAATGGGGGGATGCCACCCCCTTAAGTTTTTTTGCTAAAGGAGAAAACATCAGCACCTGACGTTTTCAGTAGCTGTTTGTTCATCCCTCGCGCACATTTTGAGACAATGATGGTCAGTTACTATGGTTACGAGATATGACGTCATAAGTAGCAGGTGGTTAAGCCATTTTTGAGTGAAAGTACACGTTTTTTCAACTTTTTTCAACAATAAACGTAAATCTTGTGGCTAAAATCATGCAAAGTGCTTATTTATATGTTATTTTTTATGTAACGCACAAAAAATTACCATTTCTCGCGGTTTTAACCTGATTTCTAATTCTTGGTTAAATTCAAGATGGCGGCCAAGATGGCGACAATTGTTAGTGACGTCACAGGCCTCCAGCAGCGCCAGCACCCATGAAATATACCTCGTCTTGTTAAGAAGATCAAAGGCTTTCCAGTAAAGGTAAAATCGTTTTTAAATACTGCAACATATCAAAAACTCCGGGGAGGGCTTCCATCCACCCCACCCCCCTTGTACCACGGTGGCGGGGTATAACTTTGCGTGTACGTCCGACGGTTATTACATATATTCTTCCGAGTCATTCATCTCTTTCTGGAAAAACTACCGTTTGACTACTCCACATGAATTGACCAATTTCCATATTTTAGCCTTATTCAACCTCAAACAATTCGAGGCTGTTGGGAATAAGCATCTCTAGGGAATTACTTTAAAGCTTTCACAAAAGCGTTTTGCTTTAGAAAACCTCATAAGTAAGAAATAAGTATGCTATATCAGATGATAAAATAAAACATAGGTAACATGTTTTTGCATGCGTAAATGGAAAGTATGTTCAAAATAAGGTTAGGGGAAGATAGATTCCGAGCGTGTCATGGCGGCATCGAAAGGTTGTAGAAAACTTTTCTCGCAATTTAAGTATATTACATGCAGCCGTCCCAAGAGAAATTAAAGACCATGCTTACGCAACATTTTTTCTTTGGGGGGAGGGGGGGTATAAACAAAGTGCATTACGGGAAATCCGCAGCTGGAGTGGCGAATAGAATCTAGACTCCATACCCTTCACATGAGATAAAGGGAATAACCAATTTCGTTTCCAGGCTGTCTCCTTTTCCCCGTACCCTGGAACGAGAGACCCTGGGGACGAGGTTGAAATAGATCATGAAGACTCTCATGTCCCACAGTTCAGAACTCAAAACGTCACCTTGAAGTTTCAATATTCATTTATTTGTTACAAATTGATTGCAAACGAGAAAGGAAAACTATAAGCCATATGGATAATCCGAAAAGGAATCCACAATAGCCAAGTATAACTGAACAGATCGGCAAGCGCACGGTTTTGCACGTCGATTTTTATTTTTGGCCCTTATGTAAGCAGAAAAAATAGAAAGAAAAAGAATCTACCCATAATCCACACCAGATACCAAACCCTAATTTGCCTGTCCATGAATCGCCGTGTAGTCGATCTGTGAGTCCCAATACAAACAAAAACACTCCGACGATGATGTGTGCTACAGCGATGACTCTGGCGAATTTCAAACCACTTGTGTTTTCCTCCATGCATAGAGACCACTACTCGATGACGACAGAAATCTTATTTGAAGTTGACAGAGAAGCCCTGGGCCGATAAATAGCTAGTCTGCTACACAGCCGTTTTTAGTCTCGTCACGCAACGCTCCTCCCCACTTAGTGGGGAGGAGCGTTGCGTGACGACACTAAAAACGGCTGTGTAGCAGACTAATAAATGGCCCGCAGTGCATGCAAATTAAAAAACCGAGCACCCTCAGCGTTGGGGTTGGGGTGGGTACTGGGGTTCATTGGCAGAGTGGTGTTTTCATTTTTATTATTATTATTATCATCATCATAATCATCAACGAAATGCTTTATCTCTGGTAGATGTTGCACCGACTTAAACCAAGGGAGCGAGCCATAGCCAATGGCTAGAGGTCACTTAACGGTTAGTTTTCCTCCTTCAACTTTCCAACACCTTCCTCTTTGCTGTTCCCAACAAAGCTGTTTTCTGCCGCAAACCTGTATTAATGGTGATCCCCAGCTTGTCAAGCCATGTATCCAATATTTTGCTTCCTGCACTCAGTGCACCAACCACCATTATTATTACTTATCATTAGTACTATGACTTTTTAAACCGTAAAGCTAATAAACTTTTATTTATATCAAACACTTTTCGAGTTCAGTGGCTTATCGATCACTTCGATTTGAAACATAGTCTCTCCTACGGAGAGAACAGTAACAGTCACGCAAAAAGAGAAAAAAATTGGAAACATCAGTGCCAATGCGTTGAACAATGTTTGAAATCATTCTTAATCATTTGACAAAGTTGCACGCATATATGCCAAATCTCCCGGATACGGCACTGATCTCCCGCTCTCCCAAACCGGTCACCAAATCCCTCGGGTAAAATGGACCTTTGAGCTTTTCTGTGCTTCAGTTTGAAATTTAGCCCACTTTTCCCCTCAAAACTCGAAGTCGTTTTTATTCAGTGTACGCTTTCTGGGACATTTATGCACGTATTTAGTCACTGACAAAGATTATTTCGTCATTACAATGATGAAAGCGAATTTTGATAGTATATACTTCATGTAAGCTTCATATAATGCCCTAAGCTACTTTACCAACTCGTAATTTGTCGGCTGGGTCAATTTGAGGGCGGGGGTGCGTCAACATTCAAGTGGAGTAGGGAAGGGGGGGTAGGGCAAAAGAGGAGAGTCTCCACCGTACGTCCGTCCGCACCATAGGCACACCAATATAAAAAAACCTCATCAACAGGTATGGCAACCCAAATGCAACGGAAGAAAATCGCATGGCCGCCCGGACTTTTAGAGGGAAACAACAACAACGACAACAAAGTCGTGTCTTTTTCGATGTTATCTTTGATGTTTACAGTCACGTGGATGACAGAGGAACAGCTAAAGCGAGTGAAAACAAAGGAGACGAATTTCGTTGGAAGAAAAACATAAAAATTTCATAGCGGCGGTGAGAAAATGAGAAATGCTAGCGGCCAGATGAAAATGAGCGGAAGTGAAAAAATAAAAGCAAACATGAACACAGGAAACAAAATCTTTGGTAAGCACATACGACAATTCCTCCATAAAAATAATGTGTAACTAGGAAGTTTGACGTTTTAGTCGAACAAAACGGCATTGTAGTCGTGCAAAACAACGGCAAAGAACCAGAGCTTCGCTTTTAGCCCTGTCTAAATCTATGTATTAACGTTACAATGCAGTTTAAAGCATTCAAATGCGTTGAAAATGCATTTCAACGCAAATTTTATTGCGCCCGGTTTTCCCAAATAGGGTCACATGTACATATACCTGAACGCCTCTGACTCAAGAACTGTTTATGTGAAATAGTGCGAGTTAACTATGCACAATAGCGGAGCTCTCGCGCGCGAAGCGCGCGCAGCGGAGCACCATGGGTAAAAAAATGAGGTAAACTACCCATCCAAGAAAATTTGGTAATAACGTGACCATACACCGACCGACCCGCTCCATTTTACTCGCTCCTCTTTTCGTTTTTCTCCAAAATAGCCCTTTCCTTCTCCTTTCCTATAACCTTCTGCTTCCTGCAAGTGCATGTGCCGCTCTTATACAAAGCAGTTACAGTGATTTTGTTAGAAGTAGTTTGGCGAGTGATGGGACTCATCTTAAGAAAAATCATGAGTCCCAGTCCAGAAACAGTTGAGTCCCAGTTCAAAAAACAACGAGTTCTACATTGAAAGTGCTTGGGTTTAATGTATTAAAGCAGGCAGTTACAGAATCTGAAGACCGACTCCAAAACTCTTTATCAAAGGTTACTGAAATTAATATAATTATAGTCGTAACAACAAAAGTAAGACGACTTAAATTTAAACAACAGCCACATAACCAGCTACATAAATCAAACGAACGGACTTTTCTACAAAGAAATCTTCAGATGGATCGATCTTTGCGTCCTACGGGATGCATCCAATAAATTACTTTGCGTCTTTGGGGATTGTTATGCGTCAGGGACGGACGACGCAGAGGTAGCAAAATCACTGCAGTTAACCGACGCAGGCCCCCACTTCAATACAAGCTCCTAGTCTTAATAACTTATAAATTACAAAGTTAACATTATCATTATTATTTCTCCACGCTCTTCTGTTCGCTTGCCCTTCTTGAAAAGAAGTTTCAAAGTTCCTACATTACTTTTACATTTTTCTTGTCATTACGCATCGGGTTACGAAATGCATTAGCAGATGATGAAGATTAATTGTTAGTTGAGAACTGGAGTCTCCAGCTTCACACGTAAGTAGTTACACGATGCTAGGAAAAAGAGAGAATGCAAGTAAGATTTAGTGCAGTCAAACCCCGTTAATATACGGACACTGAATTAACAGTATGTCCGTATTGAGAAGGTCATGTTATTCAAGTAAAACTGTAAAAAACGCCTTGTATTAGAAAAAATTCAAATGAAAGAAATGAAAGAGGACATTAGCATGGACAAATTAAACATTTCTAACCTTCACAAAACCATCATTCCGCGGATTAAACACACGGAAACACTCAAAAATCGCTCATCCATATACTTATAATAATCCAAACCGTTCTCTGCATGACTGGTTTGATGAAAAAATAGTCTGAAATTTTATTTGCGTTGATCTATAAATCATCTTATCCGTTGCACTTTAGCGTTGGGAACATTGACATGCTAGCTGTCAGCTAAGGGTTTTTTTTTTACCTTCAAAAAAGGAAAGCTCAACTTCAGCTTATTTTTCATAATAAACTTTCTACGTTAATCTAATGATTGATCAAGCAACAAGTGTCCGTTGCCGGCGTTAACGCGTCCGCATCAAGCGGGTTGAATTTAGAGAAAATGTAAGGGCTTCACCAGGGAAAAAGAAAACATTTGCGTGATAACGAAGAGTCCGTGAAGCGGGGTGCGACTGTTACTGAATCAACAGTATCCATTGAAACCTGGCCGTATTTTTCCTTTTGGGAATAGACCATAATAATGAAAGTTTTCGTAAGGATCCTGGGAAATGAAACGTTGCGATCTTGAATTTTTAAAGAGTGAATTATAGTAAATTTATTTAGACAATTAGAATTAATATTCGTGAAGGTTTTGAAAAAGTGAAGTTTTATTTTACGCCAAAGACAATGTGGAATACCTTTAAATTGAATGTGAGAATCAAAATTAAGTAAACGAAATTAAGGTGACCAACCAAAAATGTACATGAAAGAGTCTATAATCAACTTTAAGTTACACTGTAAGTATGTGAAATCATAAAAAAAAACTAAATCTGAAGTCCAAGTCCAAACTAAGTCTAAAGTCCACAATTTAGTAAGCGAATCCACGCAATATAGCAGTCATATTGCATCACGCAATCGAACGCAATATCGCAGTCACGGCAGATTCCATCGTGGAATAAGGCCGTTTTGTTGTCCGCTTTTTTCTCATTTGTGTTCCCGTAAAAGTAAGAAAATTGCATTATTTTGTTATTTGACATGATTTCTCCGATTTGCAATGGCTTTAGAGCGATGTTTCCATATCGAAACATTTATTTTCATTGTTTCACTTAGTCTTCGCATCACAAAGTGTTCAGTGACCCACAACAAGATCATGAATATTCGCATAGTGTTTTAGCTTCCTGAACAACACAAAAAGATCTGCTCTTACTTGTTCATCTGTACAGACATAGGCCGGGGGCTGATCTCCATCATGGAAGCTCGACATAACAAACCCTGTTGTTGAAATTTGGTGATACGGTGGAGGCGGGCCAGTTTCCTGTGGAGGCATAGGAGTCATCTCCAAGGGAACGAGTAGAACATCAGAACAATGGGAGCAAGTTTGGGCATCGACAGTATAAGGTGGAGGCCGATCGTTATCCTGGAAAACACTTTGAAGAGGAATGGGAGTAATCTCCAAAGGGACGAGAAGGAGATCAGGGCCCTGGGAACCAGCACCATAGGGTGGGGGCCGGTCGTTAGCCCGGAAAACACTTCGAGGCGGCATACATGTCGGCACCATCTGGGCGTCGCCAGCAGGAACGGTGAAAGGGCTAAACATTGGATCAGCCTGGTAAAAATATATGAAAAATATTACCTAGACAAAAACATATCACTTCAATTAAGATTACTTTTAACTTAACTTCACGACTAAATTGCAAACATACACTGTATTATCCAGGCTGTAGGAAAAAAAAATGCAAATTCTCTAGGAATACAGTTGCAAACACTAGTTTTAATATTTGTTATCACCTGACTAGAAGACGAAGTAACCCAGCAACAACCACTGCATCCTGTAATACACTGAACAATGCTAAGTGTCAATACAATAGCTGCAATAGTCCCTTCTGGTTCATAAGGGTATTCAGCCCAATGGCTCAGAAATACAAGTAAAAAACTGTAGCAACCACCAACTGCCATACCACACAAACTTGAAGTAATAAATAAGCCAACCTGGAAATAAATTATTAAAAATCAGGTGGTCGATAAATCATCTCATCGTTATTATTGTTCATTCAAAATATTTTGCCATTTCTGATTACTGTAGCTCAAATCCCCTAGCTAGTTCTTCAC